GGGTACTTTTGATTAGACAAGATATTTATTGTTAATCACTCTAATCCTTGTCGTATTCACGTGCTTGATTAGATCTTGAGTGGGCCACTCACATTTATAATAAGAACTCTATATGCCAGGACGGGTGTGAAAAGACAATTCGTTTCGTGCTCTGTGCGTTTTGGCAAGTACTATTCAGATCGGCCCCTTACCACAAGTAGATGAAGGCTTCATCATGAAGCAATGGTCTTGGCTCCAATTTCAAGGAGTAAACTAGAAAGAAATTCTATAGATACGTCATACGTTCATATTAGAAAATTAATGATTAAAATGAGTTCAAAGTTCAAACAAACATTTCGAGTTCAAAACAAAAAAAAGTTCAAACAAACATTTTTTTTTTAAGATATAATTTACAATATTTTTAACATGCTATTTTTTCTTTTTCGTGGGCACTTTGTAGATCAGTAAAAGAAAGACATTAAAATTTGTTAATACAAAAATTATTATATCGCTCGATTGTGTATTTTTTGGCTGCTGGGCTTGACAGGAATATTAATGGGCTCAAAAAATTCATTGGACAACAAAATTTTAATGCCATTAATGGGCCATAAGGAATTGGGCTCCAATGGACAATGGACAGCCAGTACAAAAAGAATTAACGTAAAACATAGGGTATGAACAATGAACGAAGTTACCACCGAAATAGATTCTTGTAGGCCTGGGCAAATAAACCGAACCGAATGTACCTACAGAAACCGCAGCAAAATAAACCGAACCGAACCTAACCGAAAATTTGAAAATAACCGAATGGATACTAAATTCTATAACCGAAATAACCGTAACCGAATCGGTACCAAACCGAAATATTTCGGGTAACCGAAATACCCGAAATACAATTATATTTTCAAAATAATTAGTTATTTATAGACCAAATAATCAAAAATACTTGAAAAATATATAAAAAATAGTAAAAATACTCGAAAATAACCGAAATATATCCAAAAATATCCGAAAATACTCAAAAATAACCGAAATATCTGAAAATATCCTAAGCAAAATAACCGAATGGATACTAAATTTTAAAACCGAAAGAATCGGAACCAAACCGAAACCGAACCGAAATTTCACAATATCCGAATGGATACTAAATTTTGAAACCGAAAGAACCGAAATTGAATAGACCTAACCGATAACCGAACGGTTAACCGAAAGTCCAGGCCTAGATTCTTAATGACGTGGGCCCATTTTTATATCCTTTGTTACATTAATATATAACTTAGAGTGTGAATTATTTTATAAAAGTTATTCATTGTACTTAGCTACATATACACGTAACGTACGTATATATTGAGTAATTTCAAGTTATATGTGTGTAAAGATTAGTCAAAGTTGTCAATTTCATTGTAGGTCCAAAGATGCCAAGTCTGGATATAAGTTCCGGCGATGCGGGAAACAGTCACGTGAAGATCACGTGTTCGAACACTGACCGGTCCTTATCTCGATCGCTCTCAAATCTCCGTTGGTCCCAAGTCCCCAGATTCTTTACGCCTCCCATCTTTTGATTTACCAAATTACCCCCGACATAATCGAACATTCTCTATCCTCTTGAATAATATGTGAAATTAATAGCGTTTTGGTCATGCAAGTGAATGACTATTCTTTTCTGTAATTTAGTACTCCCTCTATTTCATTTTATAGGATATTTTTGAGTTTTTAGTTTATTTTAAAATATAGTATATTTACAATTTTCTATGTAATTTTTAAATGACTTTAAATTCATTTAATATTTTATCATTATTTATATTATGGAATTTTTTATATCATTGGTTGAATTTTATTAATTAAATATTAAATAATAATTTTTAAAAGTAAAAATTATTTTTTTTTAAATATGTTATATGTGCTTTTAGCCAAAAAATCATTTATTTTGAAACAGAAGAAGTAAAAAACATGTATGTTTTTGTTTGATAATTACGTAACCTAAATTTAATTTTTTTTTCGTTTTTGTATTTGCCCAAATGTACAATAATTGGTATATACCGACAAAAAATCATTGAACAACACACTCTGAAGTCAATGGAATTATAAACCTTAAAAACGTATATTAATTACTTTAAATCAGATCCGACATGTCTGGAAGGAATCAATAAACAAAGGAGTAGATTAATTTATTTTCTCTTAATTAAAAAAAAAATAGCTGTAGTGGATGACGTATTAATGTAACCAAATACAAAGTGCGTGGATTAGGAGATGAAAAAGAGTTTAGGGGATACGACCAATAAAATTGTTGAAGGGGCAAATGTCTCTTGGACTCTCCCACGACGAAGGATCGTTTATTTGTAAAAAACCTTTATTAATTTTTGCCTGTTCATTATTGGCAAAAACACACACTAGTGACGTGGCTTTTGTCTTTAGAACCCATCTTACGTCATATCTTATCAAATCTCTCAACGATTAAATTACTTACAATTTATATAAACACGTTAAAACGATAAACCAAATCATGTATATCGCTCTTAGTTTTAAGTAAAGAATTAGTTTTCCATTCCGATAAATTGTAAAATCGGGTTGAGTTTCGTTCTCTCATAACAATTTTCTTTTTTAAAAAAATAGTCAGTCACTATGAATTATGATAAAGTTGATACTAACATTTTGATAGAAACATTTTAGAATATAATAGATCATTTCATTGATGCAAATGGATAAAGCTAAATAATATTAAGTCAGCAAGTGGGCTCAGAGACGTAAGGTGAAGGACAAAAGACTTAATGGGCCCTACGAGGGTCCAATTACAACTACGGCTTTTTACATCCAGCACGAGTCATCATCCTTCCTATCCGTTTCTTTAAACATTATTGACTTTAATTTCTATCAAAGTTTTTATATATCTAAAATTTCTTACTCTTGCGACAAGTCGTTGATGATATCATCTTTGGATATAAGTCAGGTAAAACTAGAAAGAAGAATAACTTTCAGTTTTTTTATTAATGTAAGTTTTTGATAAAAATATATGTTAGCATCATATCCACATGTATCACATAATGCATATTGTTTATAATAAATAAATTTTATCTTAAAGCATTAAACATTAAACATAAAGAAGACAATATCCCATGTAAAAAGGATTTTGTCAAAAGCAGACACGGTTGTTTTTAAAACTGTCTTCTTTCAAAAATTAGGTGGAACTAATTTTTAGTTAATTAGTATGAGTGGAACGGACGGAGCAGATTGAAAGATGGAAGATGACGTGGGACCATCGATCACGTTCCCAAGATCGGTGGAGATAAAATCCTCATATCAGGGAAGATAGAGAAGATAATTTATCAAGAAACCATATCATAAAATGCCAAAATATAATGCTACCAATTACAAAAAAAGAAAAGAGGAAATTAATGAAACAGGATGAACAAAGCCTAACGATTCCTCAAAAAATCTTGCTGAAAAAAAAAATGGTGTATTCATATTAATTGACCTCTAATTTTTATATATGAATTCTGGTAATCTTAAAATAATTAAATGTGAGTACTGAGTAGTGGAAGCTAGATAGAGCCTGTGATGGAAAAAAAAAAAAAACAAGTAAAATTAAAAATTAGAAAAGAAGTCAGAGGAAAGGAAGATAGCTGACGTGGACCACTGCCTTTTGCTTGCCATTGGATGGTTGGCAGAAGAATAATTGTAGGTCCCTTGTAATAATATCTTTATGATGTATAAAAAAACATTATCATAAAACGCCAAATTACCTCATAAGAACCGAGCTATTACTTATAATAACTTGCGTTATTTTCCGCCAACTTACATTTGTTATTTGCATAATGAATAAGATTTTCTATGAACAAAAATTATATATAAAAATATACCAAAAACCTCGCGGATGCAAATCTTGAAACTTAAAGAGTCATTGGGGTTTAAATCCTAATTTTGCCATTCTGTGATACAAACAAATTGGGAAACAAAAAGAACAAGTATTAAGATGCAACTTGCGTATTTACCGAACAATTAGTAAAAGAATCACAAACAAAAGAACCTCAGAAATAATACTTAACAAACAACACGTAATGAAAATCAAAAAAAAAAAAAAAAAAAAAAACACGTAATGAAAATCAAGAAAAGCAACGATATGATCATACGAGGGTACGTTATTGTTGAAAAATGGATTATTTAGTGAATAGTGATTGTTTTTAGCATACAATCTAAAGATAATTCGATTGATGTTTTCACATTGTGGCTATTTGATCAAATGGCCTCGTCCTATTAAATTGGAGAGTCATCATCGATCCAAAATCATGGGATTGATTATTAAAACAAAAATAGCCGTTTCCAAAGTTTTAAATATTATTGATAAAAAGAAGATATATGTGAAGAAAAAGGAGAGTGTGGTTTAGGGTATTCCATGGGTGAAAATTGGCTCTTTGCGTCGTCCAAAAGCCGCCTCTATAACAAAAGGGCTCTCTGTGTCATGTGTGCCTCCTCTCCTCTCCAACCATTTGGTCCAACCACATGCTTAGATATTATATATCCACTTTGTTGTTATTATTATTATTATGCACATATTCAAAATATATTATTTATGTACGGTCCAGCTATTTCAATAGTTTCGATCTTTAATTTTCCATACTTTTACTCTATTCAATGTGGTAGGACTTTGGAGTAGTCCATTATACTGGTTGGGAGTTTATGTAAAATTCTTTATATATTATAAGAAATCTTCTTTTAATTTTTTATTGAAGTTTCGAAAGGCTGAGTAAGTATCCAACGAAATGAAACATGGGATTTGCATATCCATCAACACATGTCAGCCAGTAAATATTTTACTACCAAAAACTGAAATATATTGGACGTGAAGAATCGATATATCCGTGTTTTTAGATGTGTAATTATTTCGAGTTTTTCTATACAAATCCAAACAAAACGTTCAACATAGCCGAATCAGCTTATTTTTTGAAGCCCGGTAACTCTTCCTCAGCAAGGCTTGTGTAGAATAGCGGAAAGTAATTAGAACACATTGTTACTGGATTATGAAGGAAAACTAAAGACAAATTAACATCATAGAAATTTTCACTCGATAAAGTTTTACATTGGTTAATGGGGGACTCTAAACCGAGAGAACAAAACGACGTAGTTGCTAATTCGCCGGTCCAATACTTTTTATCCACGGGAAAAAAGAGAAGAAAATGTGTAAAATTACATTTTAAACCCTAGACTAAGTCTGAGAAAAACCGACGCCGTTTTGCATTAAACAAAAAGGTTAAGCAACTTGCTCGTTTCTCCTCCTCCGTTCCCGTACACATCACCTTTGTCACAAAACGCCGTCGTCGTCACGGAGTCCTCTGAGTTCATCGACGGAGTTAATGATCGCCGCCGTGTAGAAGAAGGCGTTGTTGTTTTAACGGGAAAATTAGGGATCAGAGATAGATCAAGCTCGGAAGATGGTTGTTGGTCTGATGCTAATCGCTTACGTTTCGTCGGAGAAGAAGAATCCATGGTAGATCTAGATCTAGAGCTTGAAAATCGAGAATGATGATAGATGTTACGACCGGTTGAATCATTTTGCTGAAGATTCAACATTTCAGTGCAGATCTCAGATGCTTCTTCAGATGTAGGCGAAGGAAAACCAGCGAATCCGCCGCCAAGCTCCGGGATCGGTCTTAAAGAACCGCCTCGAAGAACCGTTTCAACAGCCGCTTGACAGATATTCCAATTTCCAGTCCATAACATTCCGATTGCTCCGTTTACTGGATTCACAGTTCTTCCACAAGCTTCGTAGAGCAAAGACTGAAACAAAGCTGCACCAAAAAAAATCGTAAAAAGATGAGAAAACGAACGACGAAATCCAAAACCCGGTTAACAGATATGGTTTAGTAGAGTGAAAATCAATTACCAGGACGTTGAGATTCCGGTACGGCGGAGATAAAAGACATGAGACCAGCACGCCCGAAAAATTTAGCGACGAAGACGGTGGCGTGACCTTGAGCATCGGCGGTTTCAATCCATTGAATACATGGCCGGAGGATACAATTCTCGCTGCAACCTTTCCGGAGAACACGGCAACCATTGCAGCTCATTTTTTATTTCAGATTTAAATTTAAGTTATGTCCTCTGGTGTTTTGTGTTATTTTAGTTTTAAGTTTTTTCTCTCCTGAATGTTGCTGATGTCTGGGAGAAGAAAGAAGAAGATTTGATTTTGCTTTGGGAGCAAGAAAGTGATCTTTGCACAGAAAAAAAGAGAGATAGAGAGAGATTAAATGTTTTATGAAGAAGATAGAGAAGACCACATATATATATACACATTATTACATTTGTATTAAAATCCAAATTGGAATATTTTTTATATTTTTAATAATAGGAATAATAAAAATAATTAAGAGACATATCGAAAAGGAAGCGTATTGGTGCGTGACGCTCGACGCCGTAGAAGAATCTTGCACAAATTTTAAACAATAATAATTAATTACTCAGTTTTTATTCCACAAGAAAATAACTTAAAATTTATACATTTTTTATTTTAATTTTGTATTGTGAAGTGACCTTAGAGAGACAGAGAGTGGTAAAAGATTCCAAGATGATGGGTGCGAGCGGCTCCGTGTTTCCGCGAGAAGTTGTGTGTTTCTCTCAACCGTTAATTTTACATTTTTACTTGTAAAATTATAATCTCGAAAAGAAAAATATGCGTCGACATTATCCGCAGCTAGTAATTGATGAGTTGATGACAACTGTGAAGTGAAATTGGAGCTTTTTATTTGTCCAAAAGATACATGTTTACGGGTCATTTTCTCAACGGATTCCTAATCCTTTAATCATCCTACTTTATTTAGTAGTAAGTATATCAGGGTAATTAAGGGTAGTAATCGATTGATTTTGCAAAAGGACATCAATAATTGGTTCCATATTTGGTGAAAAAATCTATCTAATAGGCTTTTTATCTTTTCCCATGGAATGGTAATCATAACACCCATCTTTAATATGAAATTCAAAAGGTGGTCACATGCAATGCAATACAAGAGAGATATAGAGTTAAATATGTGTTTTTGCCCTCCTAATTTCCACTAATTACCTAGCTTGATTTTATTTCATGGACTCTAGACAATCGTGTATATATGAGAGTTTGAATAAGAACATTACAAAATCTAAAAAGGACAAAACTATGGGATAAAATTAAAATAATTAAGGGGACTAACCTCTATCTAAGTCGACCCCTGAAAGGAAGAAAGAAGCCATTGACCCTATAACATCCTTAAGAGACCTACCTATAGTTTAATAATTAATTTTGCAATATATAAGTCTTCTTCTTTTTGTCACTCTCCACACAGCTAAAGCGAGTCTTTGCATGCAACGATGTCATGGGTGACGCAATCAACGTTTTCTTTTTCCCACACACACTAATCATAGATTCATAGTTGGGATAAAACCAATTCCATGAAAACGTCGTCGTTTTACTCGGGGATATCATCTATCTCTATCCACTATAGCCTTAGGCCCGTTACCCTGTAATCAGAGTCCTCTTTGCTTAATAAAGACCACTTTTTAATGGGCCGATAGTTTTTCTTTATTCGTAGGGGGCCGAATTATATGATCTTTGTAGGGGTTATGTTTAAATGGGCCGTTCATTGTCTAAAATCTATATATCAATGAACGAATCGTTTTCAGATTAAACTTTTTATTGGTTAAGCAAAAAAAAAGATATAAACTTTTTAATGGGCCGTTCATCATCATTATATCTCCTTACAAACAATTATATTATTATTATTCATGACGACCAAAACTAATTTCATCATGTAAAACACCATAAAAGAAAAATCAAATCTAAAATAACTCTAAGTTGAGACACATATACCTATCTACAATAGATCCATGCTAGATTTAATCTCAATTTTAATACAAAATCCTTTAAAGCAGAAAATTTTAAATCAACATTTTTTAAGTGAAAGTAAAACATACATACATTTACCTCCTAAATTTTCCACTTGTCCGTTTTTCTAAGTTAGATAAACTAATGAACCGTACTCAGATACATGCATTTAAGTGGATTTTATCCTACAAAAAATGCTTATATTGATGTATGGCTGTATACGTGTTTGGACCAAGTTATTTAATTTCGATATTATATAGTATTAGGCTGCTTGACCCCTAAAATAAGGAAGAAATAAGATAAAAATAAAAATATGTTTGAGAAGTCAGTGATGTCATAAAGTCCAATACATCAGCATGTCTTTAGCAAATGACATTACATACGTAGCGTGATGTACAATTTTGCCATTTTAACTTTTTATATAACAATAAAAGGAAATACCCTAGAAGTTTAGAACTAGTCATGCCCATTTGATTATGATTATCTCTAATTAGGCATTTCTTAATCAATTTTCATTTCTTTTATGTGGAAAACAAACAAGAATATAAAGAACTTAACTAAACTCGTGAATATTCCAAAGTAATGTTCCAGGCAGTCGCACGACACACATATTTTTTATATGACATTTCATTGTTTTCGGTAATATCTATTTTAAACTATATATAGAAAACAATATGCGTCCGTATTTTAATCAATTATGTAGCGTACCATTAAAAAAATGTAAAGATATCCATTATTTGTTTCTATATTCGATCATCTATCTTGTTCTCTAGTATATTTTTTTATCGACGTCAGAAAAGAAGAAGAAGAAGATAATCCATTTATAATCCAGCATCTTCGTATAATGTTATCTTTCTTTTGTTCATTTTGAATATATCATAAATCTCGACATATCAGTTTTTTTTTTTGATATATCAGTTTAAGTAAAGCAAAATTTAATAACATGCCTAGTAGTAGTACAAAGGGTTAGTTTCTTTGTGTCCCGGGTTCAATCTTTTTTTGAAACGTCAGAAAAACATTCTTTAAATTGGAATTGAATAAACGCTGGCTCTGGAGACCGAGAGATGAATCAAATGTTCGGAACTTTCACGGTTCAACAAAAAAAATTAATAATATAAAGAGCAATTTTAAGATAAATCAATAAATAAGTTATGTACTGTAGTATCAAATTTAGTTAAATATCTTACTGAAATATAATTTTCGTTAGATTGTGAAAACTGAGAGTTAAAAAACATAGTTAGTTTTCATACTACAAAGACACCATATATATTCTTATTTTTTAACAATGTTTATGTGCCACTAAAAGTAATATTACTGGAAACTATAATTTTTAGTTTTTAATAATAACAATTGATTGGTAGTAAGAACCTGAGAAGAGAGATTAGAGAAGAAACTAGAGAGATACGAATCCAATCCAAAGAATATGAAAAAGTGAAGAGAATATTGTGGAAAAAGCAAGCCGTCTGATCACGTTCCTTATATTATGATTACCGCAGAAAGATGATTATTCCACTGCTAAGCTAAAGATTGCGAAGCACCTTCACATTTATCTAAATAATGAATTTAAAATGTAAAAGCTAGAAAGGTTATCGTTTTTATTCTAACTGGGTCCACGTCGAGAGCAAATCGACGGCCTTAGTTTCAGGAGAAATTTGCAGGACCACCACTCTCCTTATGCCATGTTGCAGATTCTTCTTCCGCATTGTTCATCGGACCTATCTCTTTTTAGTTTTTATTAACAAAATCCTTAACGATTTAGTAACCATAGCTTTTATTTTGAAGAAATATGATTATAATATATCCATATGGTTCTTAAAAATTCATTTCTTCTACCGTCATGGTAATGTGTGATTTAGTATATGTACTCAGCTCAAAAATGATAAAAGAAAATACAAACGCATTCATAAGCATGTGGACATCTTATTTAGTTATTTTGTGTGTGTATGCATATATACCCAATTATTAATACATCATAACTATAAAGTGGTCAAATATAAATGGTCATGTTTCCATATATGTTAATACTTAATTAGAAACTAGTTGAAGTGTCATATGTTCGTTGACTCTCTATTCTTCTATGTCGATGGATACAATTAGCATCATCGTTTACACGCAAGTTTTTCCGGAATATGAATTTGTCAAATTGATAACTTTTGTTGTTTATTTAAGAGTATATAAATTTACTTTCTGGTTAACTCAGATTTAGTAATTTCATATTCTAGTTTAGTTTATTGGTTAGGGTTGTACTTAAGGAACTTTATCTTTTACATTTACACTAAGTGCACAAAACTAGCTATACTCATATTTTTCTCTGGTGCTGTTTCAAGTCAAGAATTTGAATTGTTTTGGTCATGATCATGAAACACATGTGTTGCGTAAAAGACCACAAACCATTGTGGTGTGATATGTGAAAATAGAGTATGATTGTGAATAAAGATAAGAAATACTTCGAAAGAGAAAGGGATCGATACCGTGGTGATGACAGTGATGATAATGTGTAATCATTATGACATCAATTACAAAATATATATGATATACCTGCAATACTTCTCATTGAGCTCTACAATCTACATTTTTATAAATTCAGCAAATGATATAGGCATATAGCTGACTCTATATATATTATAGATAAACAAGATTTAAAGCAAATCAAAAGGGATCGTAGTTAATCCTAAACCCACCACGTTTCTCCGCCGCCATTTCAGCTTTTTCTGTGTGCTTCGATCGACTTTTTCTTACATATTTTTTTTATTTAGTGGTTCGTATTGTAAAAGATTTCTGTGTACTTAAATTCCCAATCGCGCCTTTCTGTCTGTGTTCTTCATTTGTAAAAGATTTCGATCGGATTAATCAATAATCCGTAGCATAATTGGTTGAGGGCAGTTGAAAAAATGGATAAAAAATTGAACTAAAAATGTTATGTAAATTTCTTATCAAAAAAAATGTCATGTCAATTATTCACGATAATGAATATACGATGCGAAGAAAAGTATGAATTGGTATATATATACACATGTATACATATATGTTTTTATTTTGTGTAATGTGTGTATATAATATAATATACTTAGTTTTATTTAAAGTTTGGGATGTAACGCAGTCGCAGTGCCAAGAACTATAAAATACGATAGAAGTTAGAATCGTGGGTTATATTAGTTTTTGTATCCGTTCATATTTTATATTTGAGCCGTGATATTCCCGGAAAATATAGCTATACACGAATCCTAGCTAACCCGATCATCGATATAGAATATAACCAGATATGCGAATTAAATAACACAAGGAAATTAAGAAGAATCGACAGAGCTCCAAAGAAAGAGCACTAACCACAACATTTAATTTTTTTATAAATATATACAGAGAGAGATAGTGATGATTAAATAAAACGCTAATCATATAATCTAACTAGGGAGAACAAAGCAACATACTAACTATAAATAGACTAATGGCTAGACCCACTTTGTGAAAGAGAACGATTGCTATATTTGCAAGAAGGAAAAAAGCTTTTAGGTTTTGATTTCTTTGTTATCCGTAAGGTTTTATACTTATACTTAAGTTTAGCTAAAACTAAAAGACATGGGGAAAGGATTCAAAGTAGTTGTGGTGAGAGAGTATGATCCAAAGAGAGACTTGACGAGTGTGAAAGAGCTCGAGGAAAGTTGTGAAGTCGGATCTTTATTAGTGGATCTCATGGGTGACCCGCTTGCCCGGATCCGACAATCTCCTTCTTTCCACATGCTGGTACGTATGTGACAATTTATACGTTTATGTCTCAAATGATTTTGATGCGTTCTATTGCTAAGTTTTTGTGCAATGCATGTGACAGGTGGCAGAGATCGGTAACGAGATAGTTGGGATGATCAGAGGAACGATCAAGATGGTGACACGTGGTGGAAATGCATTACGTCAAGCAGGCGGCGTTTTGCCGGAAATAAGCACCACCAAACTTGCCTTCGTCTCCGGCCTTAGAGTCTCTCCGTTTTACAGGTTCGTGTTGTAGATAGTATTTTTCCAATATTAATCAACTATAACAACAACAAAAAATAAAGAATTAGTACAATATCACTTCTATTTTAAAAAAATGTATGATGGTTACAACATAAATTATACTATTTTGATGATACATAACGCCTAACGGAAAAAGGAAGTTTCTAACTAATCAAATTAAGAAATATTTTAGGAGGATGGGAATTGGACTGAAATTGGTGCAAAGACTCGAAGAGTGGTTTCTACGAAACGGCGCCGTTTATTCTTACGTGCAAACCGAAAACGACAACACAGCTTCGGTCAAACTCTTCACCGAGAAAAGTGGTTACTCCAAATTCCGTACACCAACTTTCCTGGTCAACCCGGTCTTCAACCACCGAGTCACCGTCTCTCGCCGAGTCAAAATCATCAAACTCACTCCCTACGACGCCGAGTCACTCTACCGCAGCCGATTCTCCTTCACCGAGTTTTTCCCTTCAGACATCAACTCAATCCTCACAAACAAACTCTCCCTCGGCACTTATTTGGCCGTGCCACGTGGCGAAGACCATGTTTCCGGTTCCTTACCCGACCAGACCGGGTCATGGGCCGTTATAAGTATCTGGAACAGTAAAGATGTGTATAGACTACAAGTCAAAGGAGCGTCGCGTCTTAAACGCACATTAGCAAAGATAACGCGCGTTTTCGACGGAGCGTTTCCGTTTTTGAAAATCCCGTCGTTTCCTAATCTTTTCAAGTCGTTCGCGATGCATTTCATGTACGGTATCGGCGGCGAAGGGCCACGAGCGGCGGAGATGGTGGAGGCGCTTTGCTCACACGCGCATAACTTAGCTAGAAAAAGCGGTTGCGCCGTCGTGGCTGCTGAGGTGGCGAGCTGTGAGCCGCTTAGTGTTGGGATTCCTCATTGGAAAGTGCTCTCGCCTGAGGATTTGTGGTGTTTGAAACGTCTCCGAGACGACGGTGACGATGACGGCGTAGATTGGACTAAGTCACCACCTGGATTGTCTATTTTCGTTGACCCTAGAGAAATATAGTAATGTAACAACCAAACACAAAAACAAAAATAGAAAACCTTATATTAAACCAGAGTGTTATACTAAATTACACTTTTTTAACTATATATGTAGTTTCATACTGAATAAATTGTAAATAATTTGGATTACAAGCACAAGCTAGCAAAACATATGTAACCAATTATGTTTGTACAGTGTGAACTTGAATTATATCGTTTGTATATATTAACGTATACCGGATTGTTGTTGTACGAGTAGATTGTTCTTAGATTTGTTATGTTTAGCATTAGCCACTTCACTGTTTTTTGGTCAACTTGTAATTTCCCTAATTTCTATGTATTTTTCATTTAAAAGCAGTTGTACAAAGCTAAGTAGTTGGTGATAATTGAATAAATCTCCATTTGTGGAATACGAGAATGTAAATCTTCCGGCTCTTAGCTTACTCTTAGGTTTTAATTTGATTTAAATTAAATGGGAAATGATGAATAATGTTAAGAGTTGTTTCTTAGTTAAAGAGACAAAACTCATGTTAAGAGGCGTCCACGTGGCAGTGTCTGACTGGTTGCTCGTAAATCTGGGCATTCGGTTAATCTTTCGGTTTCGGTTCGGTTGCGTTCGGTTTCGGTTAGTACATATATTATGATTATTAAAGTATTTGATTGTTTTGATTCTAAAATAATTAATATTTTGAATTTATAATTATAATTTTGGGTATTATTTTTAGATATCTTCTAGGTTTTTGGATATTTCGGTTAACCGTTTGATAATCGGTTCGCTTTGGTTCGGTTTCGATTAGTTTGGATATATTATTTTACTAACTATTCAGTTATTTTAAAAACTTCGATTTGGATACGGTTCGGTTCACCAAATCGGCGAGCACATAAGGACAAAATATTATAGAAATCAAGTTTAAAACTATTGTGCTTTATGTTATTTAAGTTATAAATTGTATTTCATGTATGTTTTAATTTTTTTAATTTGCAACAATTATTAAATTTTCTATAATTATAAATTTTATTTTTATATTAATATTTTTTTTCTAAGAACCACATGTTAAGATCCTACCATTAAAGACACATAAAATCTTAACCTAAAAATACAATCTCTTAACTATAACTTTTACAAATTTATTACTTAAATATTTCTAAGATCTATTATTAAGATCTCATTGATAATCATCCTCTTAAGGCCTTAGCAAAGGAAGTCAAAACCAAAGTCTTGTTTTTTTTTTTTTTTTTTTTTGATAATTCAGGTATCCGGGTCGAAGCCCGACTAGCACCAAGGCTTGATGCCGGTTTTCTTTCGGACCGTCTGAGCCAAACGCTTAGTGTGTTTTTTGGAGGCCCGATGAGCTAGATGAAAACCTCGGTGGCCAACGGGAATCGAACTGCGGGCACCATATTAGGATTACTCCTTCAAGTACCAGTAGCCCAATCCACGTTGGTTGGTTTTATTTTTTGTTTATATAGTTCATTCTTTTTCTAATAGAGGATTTGTTTTCTTTTTGGTCAACGAGGAAAAGGGCAATGCAATGAATCCCAAATAAATAGATAATCAAAGTAAATAGATTATTAAAATGGTCCAAACGTAACCTTTTGAAAGTATATAATAAATTTAGATGACGTAGAACAAAGAAGCTCATGGAAAATCAATCGACTTTTTTTTTTTTTTTCGTCAAGAAAATCAATCGACTTTGTTTATAGTTTTGATGGTCAATTCTGCCGGCTTAAACCTTTTATTTTTCAAAATATATTATTTTCTTGCAAATTGCTAGTATTATTATTATCACAAAGAAGAAGAACAGGTTCGATCAATAGATATGAAGTTTGCAAGTAATCTTCAAAAGATTTTCTTGACATTCTTGTTTACTTTTTAGTCAAAAAGAAAACTTAAAAAAGGTAACATCAGTAGAATTCTTGACAAAACTAAAAGGCAACATTAGAATTTGGATTTCTCAAAATTGTAACGGTTACATAACCAATGACTTTGGGTTGTAATAACCAAAACAAAAACCCAACTTTGATCTAAAGCAAAGTTAGCTTAAAGAAAAGCCCTAATTTAGAAAAGCCCAATTTGTCTAAAGTCAAGACGATGATCTTCTCCGGCGAGTCGACGGCGTCGATTTATCACCGACGGTAGTGACTGAGCCAGGACTTTCAGATGTATCCGAGCTACTAACATCTCCAACACCATCTTTATCTTTACCTGTCCAAAGCTTCGAGAAAATTCGAGACATTACAACTCCTTTAGCTTTACTCTTCTCAGAACTACTCGTCTTGTCTCTCGTCGTCTCCTCCGTGGCCGTGACTGAGTCACACTCTTCTTCCGTCGTTGTCCTCGAGCTCCCGTGAGAGCCACTCGGTGGAAGAGAAGGTTTCGTGGTGGGACAAGTCGCACGAACTTGCTCGAAGAAGAGGATCTGCACAACGACTCGTAATGGTAACCTCTCGTTTTGCACGGCGTGAGCACAAGCCTCCGGCGATAATTTCCGGCAATCCATTAATCGACATAGAGATTTCTTCTCGCTCTTTGTTATTCCTGGATGTTGCTGTAAAATCAAAGATCAAAACTTTAGTTTCCAATGACACAAATCTGATGCATTTGTGAGCGGACATTACCTTCAAGAACATGTCAATGGCACGATAAACACCATCGTGTGATGATCTTGGGAAATTCGAAACTTTTTCTGCTACTGTGATGAACTTTAAAGGAGACAAATTGGGTTCGATTCTGGAGATTTCAGCTAAGTATCCATCGATTAACTTGGCGACATTTCCTTTTGAACTGTCTGAAACAAACCCATTCCCTTCGTCTGAACAATCAAGCTCGTCCCTTCTCTGTGTCTGTGTAAGAAACTCATCTATTAAGGTTTCAACAATGTCAATGTCATAGACTGTTTCACCTCCCTCTGGAGCTCTGATCAAGAGATCAGCTACATTTGCTTCCTCTAGCTTCTCTCCGATTCTTCTACTTAACTCTTTCCTCTCTTCTTCTCCACATTCCAAAGAAACAGAACATTTCAATAGCTTGATCAAGAATCCACAAGAAACACTCTGTTTCTCACTAGTCAACATCGAAACCAATGTCTCCAACAAAGATCTTTCTTCCATCACATCTTCATCATCATTATCATCGTTTTGGATCATGAAACAAGGAATTCTCTTCGCTGCATATACCTCGAGAGCTTCTCCGATAACCTCAGGCAAAACCCCGCCTTTTCGTCTGATAGTCGAAATCACTCTTTTGAATAAATCAATACTAAGCTCGGCGAGATCCTCGATCCACCAGTCTCTTGGTACACCATTGTTGTTAATCTCAGGCGGAATAAGCTTTCTTCGGTTATACGTATAAGACCAATCTACTCTTGCTGGATCAATAGCAGCTTTCAAAGCGATTGACTCCAGACACCGTACATCGATTTTCACATCTTCGGACCATGGATAAAATGATCTTGTCGTCTGGAGAACTATGATGGAGTCTTTCCAGCTTCTTAAAACACTCGAGTTCAAGAAAACCTCGATCTTGTAAACAAGATTCCCGCTTTCAATCGATTCATACATCTCGAGATACTCAGCAGCGCAACGCACAGCTACAACATTGTATGCGTTGAGAGTCACAGTCATTCCGTAACAGAATTTCGCGCATATCTCAAACGCTGGAGGCCCTCCCGGGATATCGGGAATGCGGATTTCATCATCAGATTGTTCATCGGTCGTGGTTGTGGCGATCAACTTCTGAAGACGAGCACTCTTGGACAGAAGAGGGAACTGTTTTATACCCAAAAACATCACTAGATTAGTAGCTAAGACCAAAATTGTTAGTTCTTGATTTCTGAAAACTTATTAGTTCTTGAATATTACCTTATGAAGATAGAATTTCACGTCTCCAACATTTACAACTACATCAGTCGCTAACTCCGTTGCTACATATCTATAAACAGCCACAAAAAGTAAGAAGATTCTGAAGCAAAAAAACAATGATAATACTAAAATCTTGAAGACATTTTTACCTTATGCAATCTTCATCAGACTGAAACGAATCCGGTTTGGACCCAAGTTTCATAAACTTCATTTCTCACAAATAAACAAACCAGAAATAGATTTTTGTTCTGCTCTCTTCTTCTCTTAACTTGGAATCTCTGAAATAGTTTTTGTCACGACAAGAGCATTAGTGATTCAAAATCTGAGATCCTTATTGGATGCCAAAGGGATCAAGAGTAAAGTATAATCGAGCAGAGTATTGTTGAAGCATAAGCTGAGAAACATTTTATATATGTTAGACTTTTAGACTTAAACTAAAAGAGAAGAAACCTATTTTGCTTCTTCAGTACTGATAATAACCTTAAGAGAGATTAAAGGAAAACATGAAAGTGCAAAAACAAAAGAGAGATGCTCCACTTGCTCGACACGTTGCATTCTTTATTATCAAACAATTCTCTGTTTCTTTAATGTTCTGTTTCTTTAACGAATCTTTTCAGGTTCAGAAAGCATCAAAGGAAGAAGAAACAAAAACCCAGAACCCTAGAAAAAAGTGCGAATATCAATAAGAATAAAGCTGTTCTTGGTTTGTGTTGAGGAACAAAAGCATTAAAGAGAAGAAACAATGAAGTAATCAGTGGAGAGTTGCTAAAAAAAGATTCTTTCATGTTAATTAACGAGATAAAACAATTATCCAAAACTATAGACTAATCTAATTAGAAAAATAATAATCAGATCGACCCATTTATAGAAAATCGAACAAAATTTTGGTCTTTAGACACCAAAACATGTGGTTAATAGTTTCAAATCTACAAAACTAAGAACTTTAAATGTGCCGAATTCACAACTTACACACAAACTCTAAAAAGGTGATTTTTAGAGTTTTTATTTCGATTTTTGACCTCAAAGCAGCAAATTTCAGAGTAAATGAGTTGGAATTAACGAAAAATCATACCTTACCTTTGGTGGAAAAAAAAGAAACCTTCTTTAGGACCAAGTCGATGAAATGAAACAAAGACAGAGGCAAAAAGTGTGGGCTATATTGCTGCTGCTGTGTTGTAGTAGACAGAGAGAGGAACAGAGAACTCCTATCTAATCCAAGAGTAATCCGACAAAACACAAAACAGCAATCCAACAAAAAAACCAAAGAAAGAAAGAAAGAGAAAAAACAGAGAGAATCAAAAGAAGATGAGCTGTTGTTTCTTCGTCTTCCTTCTCCCTTTAGTGCAAATCTGAAACTCTTCAGAATGTTCTGTCCCCTTTACCTCTCTCCTCTCTCTCTCTCTCCTCCCAATACCCCACTCTCTGAATCAGCACCACCGCCTCCACCACTCAACTTATATAACTTTATTAAATTATTAAGATCAAAGATAATAAAAAGAAAAGCTGTTGTTTGATAATAACCCAGGATTTGTCTCACTGTTTTCAATCGAATTCAGTGTGATGTGTTTTTTGCTTTTCTCTTGTGGTTGTGGATATAAATTGGAAGCAATGGTTTATAGCTTATTAAAAAGAGAGTACATATTAGCAAGTAGCAAAAGATTGTATGCGTATACATAAATTCAGTCACGCTAATATCTGACAAGTTAAACTGTGGTTTCCACATTCTGACTCTTTTCTTTTGTAAAAAAAAATGAATATTATCGCAAGAGAAAATAAATAGTTTTAGTGATTTGAGTCAATATTTTGAGTCAAGTCAGTCTTTTCGGTATGTTTGATGTTCCATCCACAAGGATTTGTGCCAATAGTTTGGTTTGATGGGTTGACCATTAAAACCCTTTTTTTTCTTTCTTTCTTGGAAGCGTTTACGGAAACAATTAATGAATTAATAATGAAAAATTTTCTTTTATCAGAAAAAGTAATGATTTTTTTATATTAGTTGTTGGTATTTTTATCAAGAGAATTTGCTATATCTTTTTTTTTTCTTCTTTGAAAAGTACTGTTATTTGCAATGTTTTTTTCTGCTACAAATTTATCGCGATGGAAGAATACAGTAAATGTTTGTACCTACCAAACAAAAAAAAAAACTATTTAAGTTCTTTTATTATGATTTATATATATTTTGGATAAATGATAGACCGATCAAACACAAGTGAACCCTTCTTTTGCCCTAGTGGACGAAAGGGGACCGCACGCAACATTCTTTTTCTTTTTTTTGTTAATAATTATGTATGTATTAGATTTTAACCCGCAGTACACCGCGGGGCTATATTTTCTTAAAAAAATCAAAATGTAATTTGTTTGATAGATTATTTTGATTGTTAATTTTAGGATTTCACCCGTGGTATACTATCTTTTATAAATATCAACCCAAACCCGTCCCATCATATTACCCGTCTCGTGAAATTAAACATCATTTAGTTATTTTCTTTTTAATAATACTTTTATTTAAAAGCTATATAATTCAAGTCAATTTAAAAATTTCTTTTAAATGGTTCCCATAAGATATATATACATATATATTAAATTTGTATAGAGTTGAAAAATATTAATATTACAAACTTTTTATATAATTTAAATATTATAAATATTTTTAAAAATATGCAATATATATTTTTGTTATTGAATAAGAGGATATTATGTGTAAGAAATGTAGAAAATAAGAGTTTAATATTTTTATTATGGAGTCGCAAGAAAAATCTTTTATTTCTATACATGTTATTCTTTTATTAATAATAAAAGAAAACAAATCCTTTAAATTAGATATTAACTAAAATAAACGCACCATAATTACTTATTAAGTAACAACCAATAAATTTCACCAAAAAATAGGTAACAACCAATAAATTCTAAACGCAGTAATTAAAGAATGAGATATTAAAAAAAATATCAAATAAGATATAAGAATCTTAAAATAATTGAATATCTAAATAATTTAATTGTTAGTGTCGATTTTAATGTCTTCATTAATGTGGATTTTTTTTTTTACAGAGAAATATTTTCTAAAGATTATCACATTAATGACTCAGAAAATTAAGGAAGATATGAATTTATGATTCTCGAAATCGTGTTGGTAATATCTTTAATTAATATTTTTCAAATTTAAATAATTAATGTCAATGGCATTCATCCGTAAATACATTCCAACTCCAGGATTTATTTGCTAAAAGTCATCCAAAAATGTATATATAGATTAAATTATATCTACTTTGTAAAAATAACAAGGAAATTTGTTTATAATATATTTCTTCTGCCTTTTAATTCTTTCTATAGACCCCAAACACTGAAATCCAAAAGGATCCAATGTCAATTTAATAATACGTTTAACTATAAACTATTCATACTAAAATTTTAATATGACTTTTGGCCACGTCACCTTCGGACTCATCCGCATGAATGTGCAATTCTTACATTTTATAATAAGACATAAAAATATGAATTAAACAACTTAAAAATTCTTATAAGGAATCTGACGGCCATCACCCTAAATTGTAAGGCTACGTAATTTGATAAAAGCTGTTTAATGTGATTAAAGAAAAAGATGAAATGTCTAACCCAAATGTCTAACCCAATAAAGAAAAAGATTAAACTTGACAAAACAAAACTAACAAATTTTAAGAGAAGTTTTTAAATTGTAGAACTAATGAAATAAGGAATTAAACTGAAAAAGGAAAACATAATAATTAGATTAAAACAAAAGGAGAAGCATAAAAAATTGAGGGTCACATGATTATGGAGAAAGATAAGCTAAGGTATCTTTACTTAAGAGTTTGGTCGGTTAGGAGAAAGCTGATACTATATGATTACTTTCAACGGTTTTGGTCAATGGACTTTAAACATTGAACATTACTACATTTCACATGTGCTTTGCGGATTTCTTCAACGTCCTATCGAATTTATATCAAGTCAAGAGTTTCTTCTCAATTTGTTAATATTTGTCACTGATAACTCTAATGACTTCGATCGTGTTTTTCTGTTATATTGGTTTATATTTGCTTTCTAAAAGATTGATGTGATCCCAGAAAATGATAGCATGAATGATCATAATATCCAATTTTTTTGCACGAACAACTATTACTAACATAGTCTAGCTAGCTAATAGGCATGAGTTGCTTAGTAATCAAATTAGTATTTGATACTTTCGTGGTAAAAAATATCGTTTAGTTTCTTATATATTATCGGTCCTGTATAATGACGTGAATTAAATTAGTAAAAACAAGATTAAATTGATATCGGAAGGGGCACATGGGAGAAGCAGATTCTCGTAGACAAACAAAATCGAATGCATGCATATATGCTGATTCACCTCAGTGTGTGGGTAACATGTTCGAATCATTACAGTCAAACTTCTTGTAGTTTTCAATTTTAATCCCTCTACAACAAGTTTACCTTATTTTATTTCTCGTTTATCATTAAAATATATAGTAAAACCTCCATAAATTTATACTCTATAAATTAATAACCTCTCTAAATTAATAACTTTTTTCAGTACCGAATTGGGACTAATGTAAAATATGATATAAATCGATAAATTAATAAGATAATAATTTTTTTGAAAATCTCATATAAACATATAGTCTCATATATATCATAAGTTAATAATTGTATTAACTTATCAATATATATATATATAAATTTATATATGTTATATATGAATTACTATTATATATATTTAAATTATTTTCTATAAAAAATTTGATGAAATATGACTCTATTATTCAAAAAAAGTTTGTGATGCTTTTTAAACTTAATAATTGTTTCGTAATTAGTGTTTAAAAGATATTGTTTATAAAGAAAATATTTATTTTTAGATGAGTTTTTTTAAAAAAAATTATAAAATTAGTAAAAACATTATTAATTTATAGTGGTTTTACTGTAAATTAACTATCGAAACATGCATTTCTGCTTTGCACTATTGGGCCATTAAAGAAAAAAACAGACTAACTAAATACATGGGCTTCTTAAGTTGGCTGAGTTCTCTCTCGTATCATCAAATGGGCCTATATTTGAATATTAAGATGGTATAGGGCCCAATTCGGGAAAACTTGATGTCGGTCCACTGCGTTTTAGACCCCCATCAAACCACTAGAACAAGGGTCTTCAACTTTAGTACAACGAGTCTACGACAACGATTTTAGATTTTGGATCGAAAACAAAAAGTTTAGATGGAAAGTCATTCATCTAACAAAAAATTCAAGTTGCACACTGGAAAATCATTTTGAACAAGTCAGAGTATTTTTAGTCGATCAAACGTATTATTAACTGAAAAATATGACAGACATGATATTGACTACTTATTTTTTGTAATAATTATATAGTTTTTTTTTTTTGTTAATTAATAATTATATAGTTTATGTGAAGGAACAGATCACTAGGAGCTGTGTGGAGTAACAGAATTCAAGTGGCTTTCCTTTGCTTGCGGAAGTAAATGAAGTATAGATTACGAAAAAAATATTTCTAAAAAATAATAATTCACGATTACAGAATGGTCCACTATATAATAACGTGTACGATCCAATAATCCATCTCTGCATTATTATTATTTTTATAAAAAAAAAATTTTAATATCCCAATTGTTTCCTCTAATCTATAAACAAATCCAACAACAAATTAACATTTCCTTTTTCAAAAAAAAATAATAATAATGCAAGTCCACTCCAATCATTTTCATTACAGACTCAGTCAAGCTCAAGCCGAAGCAACTGGAAAGAAACGACCGTTAAGCTTCACCGTCCACTAACCCTTCTTCTTAGCTCGGCAGTTGACTTTTCTCCCAAACTGAGTCAACGTTAAGAAATCGTCACTGAGACTTGATCAGCCGGTAAATTTAGGTCAAATCCACGGTGGCCACCAATAGCACTTTCTTCCGACGATCTCTCGTTATCCACATCGCTGACGTCACTACCAGCAACGACTTCTACGCTGTTGCTGCTACTTCCGTTACCGTTACCGTTACTGCCACCGTCATAGTGACACCGTTTGTGTCCACCTAAGGCTTGACCTGACGAAAACGACTTGAAACAGATCGAGCAAGTGTGAATCTTTCCATTTTGACTAACACCGTTACTAGTATTAACGGTAACGTTAATAACAACGGAACCGCTGTTACTGTGACTGTTATTTGATAGTTCTTGGTTACCGGAAGTGATACTGTTATTCGTCGGTTTCCGGTGACTCGTCTTGTGTCCACCTAAGGCTTGGTAAGACGAAAACGATTTTCCACAAACGGAACACTTGTAATCTCGGTGATCGGACGGTGAAGGACGTGACGGTAGAGGAGGAAGAGGAGGAGATTGTACGGCGGAGCCACGAGCAAGCATGAGGAGACAAAGAGCGAGATACTCTTCTTCAGAAGGAAGGTGATTCTTATTCGTTTCTTGATTCTGATGACCGTGATCAAAACGTTGACGTTTTGTTCGTTTTCTTTTAGCCCATTGCTCGAGATTCTCAGGCTCCATTTCTTCACGATACCGGAGAAGAGGACGATCGGTGGTGGTGGCTGTTGGAGAATTGAGAGTCTCAAGAGCCATATGGTTTTTAATTTTGAGATGTGATTTTGATGTATTTAAGAAGAAGAAAGAGTGAAGTGTGTGGTGTATTGTGAGCACGTCTTGTGTTTGTGTTTCTGAGAGTTAGTTTTGATTTATATATATATATATATATATATATATATATATATTTTTGTAAGAAATCTTTAGAATTGGGATTGAGAGTGGGAACGTGGGCTATGAGTGATCAAGTGGTGCTGCTCTTGCTTTCTTCAATCCATTAAATTCCTTTATTTTATATTGACATATAGATGTAATATGTTGTCATTAATTTTGGATTATTAATTAGGGTAACTATTTTACCAAGTCAATGCAGTGTTTTTAGTTAGAAAACTGCCAGACTTGTTCATAATATCTTCCAATTTTACGTTGAATTGAAAAAGATTACAATACTATACGTCACTAATCACTATATGTAGTTTATATACATTTTCGAGTTTATCCACTAAGCTACTTATGTCATATAACTGAATTTTTGTTATTGATCATTAGCTGCTAACTAACTATACTTTTTATTTTTTAGTTTGTCCTAATTAACCTTTTGTTTATTTCGTGCTTGTTCAATGGCTTATTTTATCCACTTGCATTTTCTTAAATTTCCCGATCAACTATGAATTACCCATTAGTTCCCACCAATTGATCGAGAACTCTTCGAAGGTTACTAGTTAAATAAATATCGAAAATTTGTATGACTTCCAAGTTGATTCTATATCACACTTTTCCCGGTAGGCACCCAAACTTTATATAATAATAATGCAACAAATTAAATAACGTTAATTAGGAATGTAAAAAACTAAAATTAGGAAGACAATTGTTCTTGAAATGGAGTGCCATATCTTCGGAGCTGTATTAAAATAAACAAAATAAAAGGAAGAAGAAGCTTTTGCCACTCTGGAATATAATCTTTTTCCCGATTTGTGATATGTGGTGGGATTGATTTATTGCTTATCTGGCATTCTCTCATTGGTTAAAGAAGGCTGGATTCTTCTGGTGGACCACGTGGCGTAATAAGAATGGTGAAACTTTTCGGTGGATAGTTAAAGTCGGTACGAGACTAAAGGGCTCAGGCTAACATGACGGTGACACTTCGTTGCACCACCGTCAACACCGTCACAAACACTATTAATGTTTGTTTACCTTCGAATTTGATTGGTTTGTTTTTTATTATAGAAATAAGAATAGCTCACTTGATTTTTTCTCAAAAGAATGTACATAGGTTTGTGTGTGTAAGACTTGCCACTAGTCAGTAGTCCACCAACCAAAACACAAGAGTTAAAAAAACAAAAACAGAAGAAACTAAATGAGATTAAAGTAATGTGTTAAATTAACAATTGGGGTTCGTTGACGGAGATAAAAAAACAAAGTGGAGTAAGTCTTTAAGTCTTCGAGTTTGTTGTTGTATTATGAAGTGGGTCGTCGTCTTTGCTCATAACAGTTTTGTCTACTTAGTCAATTCAACTGCCAAAAAACGCTTCAACGATTATCTTAAAAGCTGTCGTTATGCAACTTATGATTGGGAACTTTTCTACGCGGTTTAATGTAGAGTCATTTTATAGAAACAGTCCTTTGAACATTTCGCAACCTTTTGAATACGAGGAAAAAAAAAAAAAATCACTATCAGTAATCACTTGGGACCAAAAGCCCATCAACATAACAAACGAGCCAAGGTTTAACTAATGGTTATATAAAACGTTGATATAAACGTGTCAACAAAATCAGAGTGGCGCAGCGGAAGCGTGGTGGGCCCATAACCCACAGGTCCCAGGATCGAAACCTGGCTCTGATACGTGTTTTTGTTTATTTTTTTCCGTTTCCCCTACAATAAGGCCCATTCCGGTCTCGGTAAAACAAAGCCCATTAACAGTACCAAGTGGGCCAAAGAACGGATTAATTAAAAGTGAACCCTAAATGATAAACCATGATTTATAAAATTAACAAAACTATAGATCACTACTTAATTAATATCATCTATCTTCTTTGTTTCCGGGGTTTCTCAGAGTCCAGAACTCCAGATCTTCAATGGCTGACAAATCTCAACTCAGAACAAACCGGCAATGCTGATAACCTACAAAAACAAAATCAAAATCTCATGAATTTGTAATTATCTTTCTCTATTGAATCTTAAAGGTAAATCTGAGTTTTAAAAACTTACTTGGGTCAGTTGTGATAAGCATGGCGGTTCCACCGAAAGAGCAAGTACCTCCGTTACGTTTAGTCTTTTGCCAATAACTGTTGAAAGCATAAGATGCGTGAGCCATGACTGTGTCTGGATAGTAACATATCCCGTGAGGTTTAATCTCATCGCAATTGGCTCCTCCTTGTCCACACGCAAAGTCCAGAGATTGTTGCAATGTCTCCGCCGCTACACTCGGTTTCGCCACGCACCATAGCCCTTCCACGTCCTTCTTCTTGACAGGAGACGGTGACGGCGCCGGATGGTAAGGAAGGCACGGCGGAAGAGAGATCCCTTGATTTGATTCCGGTGGAAATTGGGGAGGAGAGGGCATCGGAGATTGTGAAGGTTCTGAGAAATAGGGTATAGTAGGTGGAGATGGAGATCCGATTGAGGAGTGAATTGGTGAGTTTTCTGGTGATGGAGATGGTAATGTTGGGAAAGAGATTGTGAATTTGCTGGAGAGATTGATTAAAGATCTCAGATTTCTTCTTGTCATCGTCGTTGTAGATTCTTGTTCTGGTTCAGGGTTTAAGAAATTGACTTTGTTGAAGCTCAAAGATCCGAGCTTTTCAACGGAATGAAGCAAATCAAGATGATTATCAGGTGAAGAAAGGAAGTTTTGAGGTGGGTTTATGGTGAAAGTTGAGTTTATGGTTTTGAGGAAGATAAGAACAGGTTTGAACATTTCTGAGATTTTTGGGTTGTTTAAGCAATTGTAAGAGAAGCCAGAGGAGACTTTGATGTTGTTCTCAAGACCCCATCTTGTAAGAGAATGGTAAATGTTTTTCAAAGAAGAAAGAACCAGATCAGAGGTGGGTTTGTTTTGTGTGGTTTGGCAAGAATCAGGGAAAAAGACAACAATGGTGGTGATTTTTGTGGAAGGGTAACGAGAGAGGACATGGGTTTTAAGCCAAGTTTCGGCTTTTATGATACTTGAGGAAATCTCAGTAATGGTTTTGTTGTCACTCACAGAAACAGCGAGATCAAGATCAGTGGTTTGAGGAAGTTGAAGGAGATTGTGATGGAGATTTAGAGCTCTAATGGGTGTTGATTCTTGACCAGCTCCTGCATAAAAAGATCATAGCTATGAGTTGCAAAAAAAAGAAAGTATATACATTTTTGTTTGTGGTTTTTGTTACCTGCAAAACCGAGAAAGGCAATGAAGAAGAAAATGTAAAGAAGATGTCTCATTTTGGCTTTGGCACAGGTTTTTTTCTTCTTTACTTGTGTTCTTGGTTTCTTTCTCAGCACATGAGAGGTTTATAAAAGATAGGTTTTTTCTAGAGTACAGAGGAAGAATCAAAGTAATGTTATTTTTTACTTTTAAGGAAAAAAAAGAAAAAGGAAGATTAGTGTTACACAGTGACTGTTGTGTTGTTCTTGCTGCTTACTATAAAGTGGTGTATGGAAAATAATGCCGTTGAATATGTTGAATTGTTCTGTTTTAAGAAACCGTACATTGCGACACGTGTCTCTAGTGGTAACAATGCACAACAAAGTTGGTTGCTTTGTTTGACTGTTGGGTCACTTGAGTGTTGTTCACATGATTAATTTCAAATAGAGGTGTTAGACTGTTAGTTTTAACAAGTATTAGAATATGGTTCAGGCTTTAGATCGAAATTGTTGTAGTTTGATTTCGGATTAGATTGGTTCGATTTATCAACAAATATGTCTTTGGAAATGAAGAACTATAAAAGATAACAATGAGGTCGCATAACATTCACGGTAGGCACAAACATCGTGGACCCTCGATAACGTTGGAAACATAGCTTCTGCAAAACATTTTTGATGGACTTTTAATACCTAATCCTTATACGACGTCATATTTAAGTAGCCTTGAGTGATTTATTAGAACGGCATGTAATGGGCTTTAGTTAGGGCCTTTTTTAAAAGCCATAGTATGGGCTTAATTAGACCTCTACTTCTTTGCTTCTTTGTCCAAGTTCAGCCTTTTTTTTTTTTTTCTGCTAATAAGGAAACATTTTATCGTAAAAAATAATAATTTATATTTTATCTTCACAAGCAGATTTCCATTTCGATTTATTTTATTTAAAAGGCTGTGATTAGACTGATATTATTGAGTGAAGTGGTGTGGGATTCTAAAATTGCTTTGAACGTTTTGAATAATCCTGTCATAATGATTATGACAACACTAGCAAGGGATTTGTCTAGTAGCTTTATCATGATTACCACCTCAATTAATGTTTAAATTAACCAGATAATAAAAAAAAAACTAACGAATCAGAAGATGGCAGTGTATTAAAATCCAAGCATTGACCCATCCGACCCATGATCTTCTCGGATTTGTCGGTATGATTACATGCTACTAAATAGTCTTTTCTAACGTTAATTTTGTCTAACTACATCAAGAAATTTGTTTTGACAATAATATATTAGAAAAAAAAAAACTCTATTCGACAGTTTAGTTCTTAGGAAACTTTCACATAATATGGAACTTTTTACAAGAAATTAGTTTTGGAAAATGCAATATTAATTTAGTTGTAGATATACGGTTCAAAATAAATCTGCGAGCCTCTATTTAATAAATTAAACCCCCAGCTTAAAAACTATAATCATATTATAATTCTGGCTTGTGGATCCAATAGAAATATAAAAGAGTGACAATAATGAGTAATGACAGAAAAATGAGTACAAAAGTGTTGAAGAATATTATTTATCTTGAGCTTTAAGTATATCTCTATAAGACTATAACACAAGCGTTGTGCAAATTTATGTTTACGTGGGACAGAAGAAAACTTTTTTTCCCTCAGGATTTTTTTTTTTTTTTTGGCGTATAGGAATATTTGTTTCTTCTAATTGAAAATGCACATGCTATTCTTTACCAAAACAAATACAGCTAGAAGTTAAGAAAATACAAAATATACCAACTTGAAAAATAAGAATGAAAATTACTATTTTTGATTGAACCTCTTGATTTTGTATAGTCAGTAACGTTTCTGCATTATTTTGTTAGTAAAAGGATAAGAGATTTATGGCACAATTGTAAATACGAGGAAAAGAAATGGACATCCCCAGCAAATGAAAATGGAAAAAAAAAAGGTATAAAGATGAAAAAAAAAAAAGACAATGAGAAAGTTTTTTTGGTTTAAAACAAATTAAAAGAAAAAAAAAAGAAGAGAAAAAGCGAAACGCTAGAGAGCGTGTGGTTGACCCCTTCGTTCGTCACTTGTCGATTACCATTAATCCATTACCATTAATAAACATAAACAACAGAATGATAGTCGGTGGATGTATAAATCATTTATTTTTTCTTTACCTAAAATATAAAAAAAAACCTGAAAAAATAGAAAGAATAAAAGACAAAAAAAAGGAAAAGATAAAAGATAGAGATGTAACGTTAAGCCCGTTGTGAAACTTTATTCCAAACTTACATGTATGGGTCTTCTTTTTTCTTCCTTTTCTATTCACTATTAAATCTTTTTTAATAGATTCGCTAAAAACTTGATTTATACGTATTACCTATTTCATGTAAAATATTTCCCTTGTCTGCGAAAAATTGTTAGAATAGTTAACTAAATCTTTTAAATTTATAGAATCAAGCAATGGAGACTTTCTTATATTAATAGTATACTTTACTTACTTGTGACATTAGCTAAAAACAACCGACACTTTTGCAGTTTGTTTTCAACTCGATAAATTGGTTGTTACTTGTTAGTGTTAAAAAACAAACTTTAAATAGTCTTTTGAAAATTGTAATTGTTGGCCCATATTGTCATATGACTCATATACGGTACACTGGACCACAGAGGATTGTCTTTCCGTCTACAGAATCAGCCGGACTAGTTTTGTAACTTTGTTTAAATTATTTGTAATCGTAGTTTTAAGTTTTCACTAAAAGAATAAAAGTGTAAATATCGTAGAAAAATATAATAAAATCGAAAAGTCGATGGTGGAGGTAAGTACGTGTCTTTTTCCTCTTGAAATCAACGAAACAAAATCGGAAATTTTATACGTTGGACGGAAAAGGACAGTCACATTCTTCTTTAAATACTACATACTAAAGGACATTTACGTCTTTAAGCAGCAAAGCCATAGTATGTTTGTAGTAGTATTAGATTGTTGAATCTCACGTGGCGAAAATTTCCAAATTATATGAAATCTAATGCAAAGCAACAAGACCATGAGAGTCCACCATAATTTTAATTACAAAGTTGAATTTTTATTATAATCTTAATAGTCAATTTCCACGAAGCTTGACGTGAATAGCTAGGCTGTCTATTCTTCGTTTTTATGTCTTTTACTTGAGCAACTGGTAATTTTTATTTGTTTTTCCAAACATATTTTTGTTGTTGTCGTTCACAAATAGTAATACAAATACATTTGTGGTTAGTAGACTACAAATAATGTGATTATTATTTGTCATTTTAATACGTATGTGTAACTAATTAACGAATAAGTAAACGAGGTTAAAAAAAGCAGATTAAACGATCCCGGAATGCTGACGTCAGCATCATAAATCTCAGATCTCGAAACGAAACGGACTTTCGCTTGCTCTCTCTCCTCTCCTCTGCTATTCCTTTCCCTTTTTCACCTTTTTTTTTCTTTCTTTTTCTTTAATTTTACCATTAAACATTTCTTAATTTTTTCCTTCCTTTGAAGATATGATCTGACGAACAAGGAAAAGAGAGAGAGAGAGAGAGCAAAAAAAAAAAAAAACAGAAGAAGAAAGAAGAAGATGAATTTAGAGGAGAATTGTAAAACAGTTTATCACGATTCGCCATGAGAGCTTTTCAATTTAGATTCTTCTTCTTCTTCATCTTCTTCTCAGTTTCCGTTAGTAGTGAAGTTCATCGGAGAATCCTTCATCAGCCGCTTTTCCCGGAAACTTCTACTCCTCCACCACCAGATTTCGAATCAACGCCGTCTCCTCCTATACCAAACACTCCCGATCAGCCATTTTTCCCGGAGAATCCTTCTACGCCTCAACAAACTCAGTATCCTCCTCCGCCACCTCCTGTTTCCGCCGACGTCAATGGCGGATTACCGATTCCAACAGCTACTACTCAATCAGCGAAGCCTGGGAAAAAAGTTGCTATCGTCATTTCTGTTGGAATTGTCACGCTTGGGATGCTTTCTGCTTTAGCTTTCTTCTTGTATCGTCATAAAGCGAAGCACGCGAGCGATACTCAGAAGCTTGTTAGTGGAGGTGGCGATGGCGGCTGTTCTCGAAGATTCCAGGAAGATCCAGGACCACCGACGACGACGTCGTCTACATTTCTCTATATGGGAACTGTTGAACCGAGTCGTGTATCGGCGAGTGAGTCTAACGGCGGAACTAATGGACCGGTTAATTCGTCTCCGTACCGGAAATTGAATTCGGCTAAGAGATCAGAACGGTATAGGCCGAGTCCGGAGCTTCAACCGCTTCCTCCGTTAGCTAAACCGCCGCAACCGTCAGATAACTCTCCGTCGGCTTTATCTCCTTCTTCATCATCTTCCGGTGAAGAATGTCGTGATACGGCGTTTTACACGCCGCACGGATCTGCGATCAGCAGCGATGACGGTTACTACACTGCATTTCCTCGCTCCGCCAAATCACTTCCTCACTCGAAGAGAACATCTCCGAGGTCTAAGTTTGGATCAGCTCCTGCGACGGCAGCATCTAGGTCGCCGGAGATGAAACACGTCATCATCCCGTCAATAAAGCAGAAACTGCCGCCACCAGTACAACCTCCGCCTCTAAGGGGCTTGGAAAGTGATGAACAAGAGCTTCCTTATTCCCAGAACAAGCCTAAGTTCTCGCAGCCACCTCCACCGCCGAATAGGGCGGCGTTTCAAGCAATAACTCAGCATAAATCACCAGTGCCTCCACCACGGCGGTCTCCACCTCCAGTCCAGACTCCACCACCACCACCTCCTCCTCCGCCTCTTGCTCCGCCTCCACCTCCTCAGAAACGGCCGAGAGATTCCCAACTGCTACGAAAAGTCACCAATTCGGAAGCAACAACCAATTCCACAACGTCACCTTCAAGAAAACAAGCATTCAAGACTCCAAGTCCTAAATCGAAGGCTGTTGAAGAGGTCAATACCGTATCAGCAGGTTCTCTTGAGAAAACAGGTGATGGGGACACGGACCCAAGCAAGCCAAAGCTAAAGCCACTCCACTGGGACAAAGTACGAGCGAGCTCAGATCGAGCCACTGTTTGGGACCAGCTCAAATCAAGCTCATTCCAGTGGGTAGCATTGTTTACTACATTATCGTGCCGAATACATTTGAATTTGACGCTTTTCAGTAACTTTTTTGATCTTATTATGCTCTACAGATTGAACGAGGACAGGATGGAGCATCTGTTTGGTTGCAATTCTGGAAGTTCAGCTCCAAAGGAGCCTGTGAGAAGGTCAATGATGCCTCCTGCTGAGAATGAGAACAGAGTGCTGGATCCAAAGAAATCGCAGAACATTGCAATTCTCTTACGAGCTCTGAATGTAACACGTGAAGAAGTGTCTGAAGCTCTCACGGATGGTAAGTTATTTTTGATGCGAAAGCTCTATTTGCATAAAGCAAGAGTTGGCATTTTCATAGATCATCATGATAAGTTAGTAAGCTATCTACATTTAGGTTCCTCTGTTCGGCTCATAAACTGCTTTCAAATATTGATGCACTAATTGAGATCTTGCTGATAGTAGGTAAAATATTAGAGATGCTCATCAGAGGTAACAGTGGTGAGAATCTAAATTATACAAAAAAAGGCTTAGGCCTCAAGTTATAATCATCGCAAAGAACAATGACATATGACATTATTATCTCTGCTTTATATTGGTTCTAACATGATAGTTCAACTTATGAAACATACCACATGTAAAGGAGAAAAAGGGCCATCCTATAATATTTACAGGACTAGCAAATATGATGCAGCTGACATTCATTAAGATTCTCTGAGCACTATTGATTTTATTACGTTATTGTTCTAAGATGCATGAGTATTTGTGGTCCCTATCCTATTATTTTAATTTAATTTTACTTGTTGGACTGTAACAGGTAATCCCGAGAGCTTAGGTGCTGAGCTTTTAGAGACTTTGGTGAAAATGGCTCCAACAAAGGAGGAAGAGATCAAACTCCGAGAGTACTCTGGTGATGTCTTGAAACTAGGGACAGCTGAAAGATTCCTTAAAACCATTCTTGATATCCCTTTTGCCTTTAAAAGAGTTGAAGCAATGTTGTATAGAGCCAACTTTGATGCAGAAGTCAAGTATCTAAGGAACTCTTTCCAGACATTAGAGGTTAGTTACTTTTCAAGACACTTAATGATCTAATTGCTCAGACGGATTCTGATCCCTTGGTTGCTTTGTAGGAAGCAAGCTTAGAACTAAAAGCAAGCAGACTATTCCTAAAGCTCCTTGAGGCTGTCTTAATGACTGGAAACCGAATGAACGTTGGCACGAATCGCGGAGATGCCAAAGCCTTCAAACTCGATACACTTTTAAAACTTGTAGACATCAAAGGAGTTGATGGCAAAACCACATTGCTTCATTTTGTTGTCCAAGAAATCACAAGAACTGAGGGAACAACAGCAACAAAAGATGAAACCATCCTCCATGGAAACAGTGACGGTTTCAGAAAGCAAGGATTACAAGTAGTTGCTGGACTCAGTAGAGATCTGGTTAATGTGAAAAAAGCAGCCGGAATGGATTTCGATGTACTGAGCAGTTATGTGACAAAGCTCGAAATGGGTCTTGATAAACTCCGATCATTTCTCAAGACAGAGACAACTCAAGGGAAGTTCTTTGATTCGATGGAAACGTTTCTCAAAGAAGCAGAGGAAGAGATCCGAAAGATCAAAGGAGGAGAAAGAAAAGCTTTGTCAATGGTCAAAGAAGTAACAGAGTATTTCCATGGAAACGCAGCGAGAGAAGAAGCACATCCTTTAAGAATCTTTATGGTCGTGAGAGATTTTCTCGGAGTTCTCGATAACGTTTGTAAAGAAGTGAAGACGATGCAAGAAATGTCGACATCGATGGGTTCAGCTTCAGCGAGATCGTTCAGGATTTCAGCAACAGCTTCGTTACCGGTTCTTCATAGGTATAAAGCAAGACAAGACGACACAAGCTCGGATAGTGAACACAGCAGCAACTCTTCTACGTGATTGAAACAAAAAGCTGTACAGTTTCTTAGACCAAGACAAGAAGAATTAAAATTGGTGTTTCTCAAACCGGAGGAGATATTGAGTTGGTTTAGTCGGAGAACACGGACCGGTTATAGAGTAACAAACACTATAATGATCAAATTTTCGTAACTAATAAGGAACCCTTTTTCTTTCTTAGTTTTTTATTTTTATTTTTGTTTTTGTCAGCATTTTAAATATAGATAGATATAAATATATGTGAAAATATCGTAATTTCTTGATTTTGGTTAAGTTTTGTGTTTCTTTAGCCTTCATACGCTTTTTGATTCAATACACAATTACACAAAGATCATGATGTTAGTTAAAAAAAAAAAAGTAAAGATAGGTTCAGAATCGTGAGTTTTTTTCTTTGTTGAAGGAATCAGAATCCAATACGAAAGTGATAAGAAAAAGTGTGATTTTTAAAAGGAGGACATATATTACAAGGTACGATATTGGGATTTGGGTTTGTGACAATGAATGTTTGTTTCTAACCTTGCTTATTTAATGAAATAGAAACGTGTGATGTGAGTGAGACCGATTTTGTGTACACTTGTACCACGTCCTCTCTGATTGCTTTTGTCTTGTTCTACGTCACTTTTTCCCACCACGATCTTTTCGTTTCTCTTTTCGAGTTTTGGAGTTATTAAAAATAACAAAGCAAGTTGGGTCCTATAAAATTTGGTAGATTCTTCTTCTCCTGTTTATTTCACGACAAGATGACTCAGCTTATTACCAATTTTGCCGTTGAGTAATTAAAATGACAAAACCACTAAACCGATCGTCAAACCGGATTTGATACTCTTGGCCGACCAAAATATGTGTCATTTATTCAAATTCATTATGTTACACTTGTTTTTAAGATAGGATCACAAGAAACGCTTAAAACTCGCCCTTCTTGAGATTGACAAAATGGTGAAATCTTGAGACCACGTTTTTTAACAGCTTGTCACCGGTAAAAAAAAAGGAGAGCCTCCGACTTTCTTACTCCCCAATACATTCTTCACCAGAAGTTTCCATCTCGATTCATCTTTCTTGCTCTGTTTCTCCATCTTCTCCTTAAAGTTTCTGCATAGAGGGACTCGACATTGATCAGAATCTGCGCAAACACGTGAATGCAATTCAAGGAGTTGCCACATTCTCTTGCAATGCACGCAACCTCCTGGAACTCTAAGCTTACAGCCTGCGAAATGCCGGATCAGTGATTCTAATCCCTTGCAAGCTTCATAGTTACACGGTGCGTGGTCCGGTTTTAAATCTTTATCATGTGGTCCTATTGTTTTACATCCGTCTCTGCATATATGAACAAGAGCTTCCATTGCTTCGTATAGCTGCGAATATATCCTCTGATCATTGCGTTTTCTGATCCTCTCTTTCCGCGTCTGCGTTTATGTTCAAGATTTAGAGATTTGGAGAAAATACAGGGGAAAAAGGATGTTTGTTAAATCACTTACATTTGCTTCGATGATCACTGAGTCTCTAACTTCTTTCTCAAGAAAGGGATGGCTTTTCTTCATAGCTGTCCATGCTTCGGTCGCGGAAAGCTCCTTAAAGTGTTTCATGATCATACGGTGAGATATGAGGCTCAGCCGAGGGAAATCACACAGCAGCGCAAGCTGGAACACATCAATCACATTCTCAGTGGTAAGCAAACCATGTTCTAGATGCCATTCACAGACCCGTTTCAGCTGAGGAACCACATACGCGTGCGACAGAAGTAGCAAATGCATGATAAACTCGTTCATTTCTTCTTTCACATAGCTACACAAAGAAAATCAGGTTTAGTCAGTGATAAGATACGACAGATGTTAAAAGAGGCAGAGCAAATAAGTATAGAACAGGAAATGGATTTGTACCAAGAAGAGTAGAGGAAACGGATAAAAACTCGCACAGCATCGTGAGGGACACCGCGGATTGAGATTGTATGCCACTTGCCATGTCTCTTGGCTTGCTTCAACATGCCTTTGATCACAGTGGAAGCAGTTCCCTATTAATTCAAAAAGACAAATGTCAATATCAACCAAGTCTAGAGCTTTATGGAACCAGGAACACTTTCCAATCAACCGCTAAAGTCTGTATTCTCGTCTTTGCTAGAGATCCTAACTACACAATGACAATTCTGTTCATAGGAGTTAGTTATAAGGAGAGCTTACAATGATGTTGGCATGAGCATAGATGATGCTGCCATTATCTGTATAGATCACTACATCAGCTTTGTATCCATCATTGAAAAGACGATCACACATATCTCTTGTGGCTGTCGAAACACAGCTAGGCCCGAGTCTTTTCTTGTGTCCATCAGATTTTGATGGAAGAGGTGGAGGAATTGGCACAGAAGATGAATCCGCAGATTTGAAGGATTGATGAAGATCCAAACAACCAGTCACCATTCTCTTGTTTAGCTTATCTTCTCTTTCCTGCGTCAAATATAAAATAAACATTCTTTGATTCTTTAGACACAAAAGCTTCATTGTTGTCCCTTCCAAAAAAATGTTGGAAAACGATTCGGAATATTTGCTCAAAAGTTAAAGACAGATCTTGCTTTCACTCAAAACATGTAAAATGAAAAATCCAAAATCATTTATACGAAAAATGTGATTCAGACAACAATTTTCACAGCATTATCTAACCAGATCTCATTTACGATTACGAATCGAACAAAACACGAAACTCTATCACTCGACAAACAAGAATTGTTCCTCATAATCAACAAAAAGCAAAACAGATCGATAGAAAATGGATGCTCTAATATTTTCCGACATACCTTGAAACGATTCAGACCACAGAATTAGCTTGTTTCGAAGAGGCAAGTCTATCAAAATTAACGAGAAAATCTCCTCCTTGGTGGAAAGAGCAGGAGACGAAACTCTATAGAGAAACTTGAGAGATCAGAGATCTCTTACCATTATATAAACACACACACACTCACAAAAACAATAGAAGACGACAAAATTTCCAAAAAAAAATCCACCGAAAGGATAATTTTATTATTTTAATTTCCTTAATTTCTCACTTTTTTGTTCAAAAATTTAGAGATATTTTCTTCGTTCATATCATCAAAAGACAAGACAACCACCTGCGAAAATTACCGAGAGGCGCGTGGAGCCTACAGTTACGAAACAGACGGCTGAGAATCCACGCGCCTTAACGGGTTTGTCCTCGTTCTGAAAAAGCTTCGTCAAGTTGGTTTTTATTATCGCTTTATCAATTGAAACACGACTCTGCATGTTTTTTTTTTAATGATTTAATTTATAAGAGCCGTACAAAAACAGATCTGTTTGTCCTTTGTTTTGTTCTTGTTCGGCGTTACACAGCTCATAATTAGCTGTTCGTTTCTTTTTTCAAATTTTTATCCGTATTATTATCCTTCAAAGATAAATTTAGATTAGTCTTAATTTTAACCACAATATCAGATACTCTGTCGTCCGCAAAATTGCGTCATAAATATTTTGTTGGTCACTTGATACTATTTCTTTTTGTGTGTGTTTTACAATAATGCCACGTTTCCTCTGTCGAATAATCTAGAAAAAGAAGAAGGTGAAAATGCGTTATAGGATCATTTTGGGTATTTTTCGTGTAATTTTATTAGTTTTGATCAGAAGTAAAAAATTTGAAATTTGTTTAATACTAGTATTAACTTCTGTTTTTTAAAATAGTACTAGAACCTGACCCGCACGTACGTGCGGGATTTCATATTTTAAACAATATTTTCTAATAAAATTTAATTCAATATAGATAAGACAATGAGAGAAAGTAGTGTCGTCACGTTCCGTCTCGTTGTCTATCTTAAAATTTCTCGTCACATAACTGTTTCTTTTAAAATAATTACCAATATGAGAATGTTTAATTTAATTCAACAGAGAAGAGAATGGGTAAGAGATTTAGATGGAATACCCGTATTGTCTTTACTTTTCTTTTCGGGATTTAATTTTTACAAAATAAATAGAATCTATCCAATTTTTTTTGTTAAACATTCTCTAATTGTTTAAAACGCTGGTGCGAGTTGTATTTGAACACTTATTTATTTGGTATAATATTCATAATTTGACAAACTCACGAAATAAATTTTCTAATTCATACTTATAGAATACTACATAAAAACCTTATTCACCTGCGGTCTATAAAAAATGTTTTGTTTTCTCTAGTTGAAAAAAGCTTCATGGACTGTCAAAAAAAAAAAAACAAAAAAAAAGCTTCATAGTTGTAAAGACTCAAACACAGAGAATAATAAAAACATCAAATACTAATCCAACTATTATTCTATTTGTTTTAATTATCTCTTTTCAAACTGTAGTAACATGATATTTTCTGTTTGGATTATCTTAATAAGTTCAAACTTAGACATATGAACTATTTTTATCACTTTTTTTAGTATTTCGTTTGCGTATGTCAAATGTATAAAATATGAGCACTCTGTAGGAAAGATCAAAGTTCATTAGCATTTGTACTAACTCAATTAAAATATTTGGTTTCTTTTATATATAACTCACCCATTACAAAAGTGGAATCAAGAGCTTATAAAAAATCTATTTGCTTATATTCTCCCCTGATATTGTTGGATCATAGTCATAAATTGCGTGTGACTTTCTTTTGCCCCAACTCAGTAGAAGCTAAGCCATGCCTCGACAAACCTATGTAGTTAATTTATAAGTTGTAGAAACATAACGGAAATGAGAGTACAATGTTCTATTTGTAATTATCATCACACAATTAAAAGAAATGTATCCAAAATTCAAATTTATAAACAGAGAACAAAATTTAATTAGTTCAACTTACATTTGGAATGGTAGGCTAAAGAATATTTGTGAGTCAAATTTTATATATTTATAGGGAGAGATGAAGTTAATGAGAAAAATTAGGTTTACCTATTTTGAATTTTAGAAAATGATTTAATATCTTAATTGATTATTTATTCTCATTTCAAATTTTAAGTCAAATCTCTTGTTTAAATATTTCTTATCTTTGAATTTAATGACAACATATTTATATTTCTTTCTTTTTTTCTATCATCAATATATTGGTCTAAAGATATATTAAGAAATCAATTTTAGTATTAAAATCATATTAATAGAATATAGAATATGACTTTCGTTAAATTTCAAATCATTATTTAAATTTAAACAATGCTCTTAAAATTTTTTGAAAATAACAAATCCAATAATATATTTTTCCTAAATTAATTCAATTAATTCAAACTAATTAAATCAGTCAGAATTAATTATCTTGCCGATTAAGTTTGAACTTCCAAGATTTTCTCAAACTATTAATAACTTATTTTTTCCCTAAATCCTGATTTTTAGGCAATAGATTAGATTTTCGGATTTTATATATTTTAAGGTCATATATATAGTTTTTGTTATTATTTGTAGTAAGATTTGGAAAAATCGAGATTTGGAAAGATTGAAAACTTTTAGTGATATTTATTAGGTAATTTTATGGTATGATTTGCATAGTTTATTTTATAAGAATTCTAATAATATAGGATTTTATATAAAAATTATTATTGGATTCTAATAAAAACAAATTTTGATTTTTTTAACCATATTATGATGATTATTAATTTCTATAAATGTTTGTTTCTTTAATGATAATAAATTAATGATTGGATATGAGTTTATTAATATATCCAAAATTTATGGTTGCAATATTTGCAAAATCTTGGAATTAATATAATTGTTATTAATATCACTAATATAGTTGCTATTTTTTCTCCTTCTTTAAATTTAAAAATCTCAATGGTATTATATGTAATATTTTACCTTTTATAAGGTTATTTAATTTTGAGTGATTCCCAATTAATAGTATAGATTGATGTTGTTGTAGTACTTATAGAAACTCAGAGCATGCAATTTTTTTTTCAGAGCATTACTGTAAAACTGTAAAGTGTAAGCTAGAGTTTTGGAACAGTTATCAAATACCTAATTACTACAGTAATTTGATAGAACTGATAATATAATTGTTAATGCAGTTTTTCTAACTACAATGATTGAGATAATTCATTCCTAATGAAATTTGATTCCAAATCAAAGCTAGAACTAGAGACGAAAACAAAATAAAAACTTCATAATAATACAGTTTTATGGAATAATTATGTATTCAAATAAACATTCCCAAGCAAAGGCAACGAGCCAATATGAATCAGAAACGTTTTCTTTGATGTTCTCTATTATTTTGCAGATACATGACATAAAACGATTTTTTTTTTCCCACTTTTCCCAGAAATAGTAAAAAGAAGAACTCAAGCTAAAGCAATGAGATTCATGAATCGTCTTAGAAATCGGAGCATCGACCACGTTGTTCCCAATCGCCGTACCGAGTCGGCTCAGGACCTCTAGGTCCTCCGATCTCACCAGTATCTTTGTTCACAAACTCTCCACCTCCTTCTCCTTCTTCTTCCCCTTCTTCTTCCTTCTGCAGATTCTGTTGAAGATTCTGATCTGGCTTCACGTTCTGGTTCAGATCCTGATTCGGAGACGGGGATGGAGCCTGCGGCGGAGGAGGAGTACCGGAGCTTAAAAACCGTGACACTGGCTGGAGCAATCTAGAGGAGGCGGATCCGCTTGGTGCGATCAAACGGACGATGTTGTTCGTCGCCATTGTTAGATGTGTCGGCCTAATCAGAAGAACAACCTTCGCAATTTGTGAGATAGTATAGGGTTCGTTAGTCGTTTTGGTTGAGCCATAATTTGACAACAAGCCCAGTAGGATCTAGGCCCAACATTTGACATGTTTATAAAAAAAATCTGAGAGAATTAATTACTGGGTCTGTTGCTTTTGTGCCACATCAACGGTTGTGAGTGGTTGGTTGGTCACTAAAGAAAAGTCACAAGCTGTTATTATAGTATTGGATATTCGCTATTTATTTCGTCTACCACGAGAAAAACAAGTCGTAATTCTTCTATCTTGATATCTTCACCGCCTTCTCCTCCAAATCTTCGCCGATCTCTCAATCTCCGATCAACCATGAGCAACGGTCCAGGACTCTTCACCGATATCGGCAAGAAAGCCAAAGGTATAATAATCATCGTATCGCTCTTCTTCTATATCCCTTCTCTCGTCACTTAGATTCCGGTTGAAATCGCGCAATTAGTGCGTGCGTTTATGCCTGTTCATTGATTCCAAGTGCTGGAGTTTCGAATTTATTTATCCTGTAGATTGATAGATTTTGAATTTGTTTTGGGTGATTCTGTCGATTTTAAGCTGATTCTGTTGATTATTTGTTTTCCTTCTCGGTAGATCTGTTGACGAGAGACTACAATTCTGATCAGAAGTTCAGTATCTCCACTTACAGTGCCTCCGGCGTGGTACGTTTTATTATATCGATGTGATCTCTTTACTATTCTCAGATTCTTGTTCGATTTGGCTTTCAATGCGTGGTGTATCGTTTTGATATTCTTTTTCAACCATTGTGTTTCTGTGTCGTTTGTATTTAGCGTTTAGACCCTTAAGAGTATATGTTCTTGGTCTGATCGATCTCCATGTTGAAATCGAATTCATAAGTTCCGTAGTAGATCTTGGGGAATTGTCAAGGGATCTAAGACACAAAACGAGTATCAGGATGATATTTCTTCTGTTTAAGAACTAGATGTTTGATAATGAGTGAAAATGAGGTTAACGTTTGTATAGCTTTCACTTTGGTTACAAAAGTATGCCATAAGAACTTCACCATTGTACAATTTCTTCTTTAGTTGCGCTGCTAGCTTATAGTAGAATTATTATGTTATTGTTTGTGACAGTATCAATTAGCTAAGTGCACTTTTTGTATTTAGAAGCCTAATGGTTGTGTGCAAATAATCTAGCAGCCTAACTCCATGGTTAATTATACGAATGGAGAGCCTTATTTTTTTTATTTTATTTTTGTCTGTGTTCTGTTGTTTAGGCCCTTACGTCTACTGCTCTGAAGAAAGGAGGAGTTCATGCTGCTGATGTTGCCACCCAATACAAGTACAAGAATGCTTTGTTTGATGTCAAAATTGACACTGATTCTAGTGTAAGTGTTGTTGTAGAGATCTAGTATACAATCCGTCATCTAAAACCATATTATTCTGTTAAGCGTGTTTGTATGTTTTTGCTTGGCAGGTTTTGACAACAGTCACACTCACCGAGATCCTCCCATCAACAAAAGCCATTGCCTCCTTCAAAGTCCCCGATTACAATTCCGCGAAGGTTTATAATCCTTTTTTTTTATGAAATCACAGATGTTTACTTCTCAGTCGTTTGAATGAAAATTAATCCTGCAGCTTTTGAATTTCATTAACAGCTTGAGGTCCAATACTTCCACGACCATGCAACAGTTACCGCTGCTGCAGCTTTGAAACAAAACCCGCTAATTGACATAACAGCTACCCTTGGTTCGCCAGTCATCTCATTTGGTGCTGAAGCCGGATATGACACAACCTCCAAAACTTTCACCAAGTACAATGCTGGGATCAGTGTGACAAAACCTGACGCTTGCCTTTCCATAATATTGTAAGAACAGAAATTTCAAAATAAAGCAATCACTAGCTCTAGCTGTGTCCTTTTGTGGGTCTGATCTGAGTTTTTTTCCCAGGGGAGACAAAGGAGACTCACTCAAAGCATCGTACCTTCATCACTTTGATGAATTTAAGAGAACCGCAGCAGTTGGTGAGGTTTACAGGAAATTCTCGACAAATGAAAACACGATAACGGTTGGTGGATTGTATGCAATTGATCATTCGACTTCAGTGAAAGCTAAGCTGAACAACCATGGCACACTTGGTGCTCTTCTCCAGCACGAGGTCCTGCCCAGATCACTAGTGACTGTTTCCAGTGAGATTGACACCAAGGCTTTAGAAAAGCATCCAAGGTTTGGTCTCTCTCTTGCTCTCAAACCTTGAGAACACACACACACACACTCACATCAGACCTGCTTGAGTGTTCCTTCTTTTCTCGTATGCTCTCATTGTTGATTTCTTCTACGGCTGGACCCGAGAGTTTGCGTTTTTTCCCCCTTTTTTTCTTCACGTTTAGTTGGAATCAATAAATAGTTCCGCAGTGAAATTGACGGATAATTCTTTTTTGGATATGTTTTGGTTTTTTGACCTTTCTTTTTTTATTAAGCACCATTCTTGAATACACTCAATTGATTTTTTAAATCTCTTTAATTTATTTTATTTTTACAATCCATTTTAAAGAAAAAACAAAGAATCAAATAAATAAGCTGATGTATGATGTAAATCTCTCATACACTAGCAAATATTAAATTATGGCTCCGACTAGTAACCAATAAAAGAACAAAAAGAAAAGGAATAAAAAGAATAATGCGGAATGGAATAAACAATTTTTGAGGAACGAAAAGGAAAAGATGCAGAGAATGAATAAAATGTACTATTACGATGAATGGTAACCAAACATTAAAAATATCTTTAAAGATATATTAAAAATAAATCAAATTTCAATGAAAAATACTAAATATTTTTTATATTTATTTATTTTGAAAATTTGTGAACTAAATTTATATATATCATTTTAAATAATAATATTTAATATTAACATAAAATAAAATTGAAAGAGTAATTTAAAATATATTATTCTTTTACAATATAAACATTTTTAAATTTATTTTACTATTTATATATTTTTCAAGTGAAGTCTTAAGAGTAATTCAACATGAAATTCATATCAAAAATATTTTTTCTGTTAATATATTGTGAAGATATGAAAATTATTATATAATAAAATACAAATATTATTGATAAACTTTATTTTTTTTTTATTTTAAAATAAAAACGAATTTTAATATTTGTTCCTTTTTTGTTCCATTTGTTCCTTATCAATTTTGGAGAGGAATATTTTTGTTCTAGTGTTCCTTTTGTGGTGAGAAATGTAGAGGAATGGTATGAAAAAAATATTACATATAAATGATAAAAATATTGAGGAACAAAGAGAAATATCACATTTCTCCTCATTCTTTTTACCAATTGAAGCCTATATGTAATCTAAATAGCTCCTAGTATTAGAATGATAATGGGGTTCGCATAATCTTGGAACAATGATCGTCTTAAAGAGGATACAAATAACCCTTTGACAGTGAGCCAGTTTGGTTAGGTCAGCTTCTTGATTGAACCATCGAGGTACATTTGCAAAGGAGATTACCCCAATATCGTTGAACCCAACTTCTAAAGTCCCCAATAAGATCTCACATGTTACCATTTTTTTGTCCGATTATGTAGAGGTTTACAATCACTCTCTATACCCATCTATATCCCCGACACCAAGAAGATCGCACACAACGATTGATTGAAATGAATAATGAATTATCAATAACGATTAAATCCCAGTCCAATTCATCAATCATCCAATTTCAATAGCTAGAAATATAAAAGTATAAATGATGGTAAATTGATACCAAAACCACAAAATCCAACTTCGAATTCTGAATCATATCATCATCCTTGAAATCAGAATTTCGTATAAACTCAAATAAAAAAAATAGAAAACTAGAAAGAAAGAAAAAAAAAACCAATACGTCAATCTCAATCTACGTTCTCCATAACATCTGCCGCTGAAAACTTGGTTCCCTTCTCCTTATCCGCGGCGGCGCGTCCATTAGCCTTACGCTCCAAAAGCGATTTCCTATCCTTATCAAGACGGAGCTTAGTGATCATCACATTCGAAGTATTGATTCCGACGTTGACCGTCGTTCCGTTGACTTTCTCCCTTGTGATTCTCTCGATGTGAATCACCCACTTGCGACGATACACCTGCATCACCTTCCCTTCTCTTCCCTTGAAAGTCCCACGAACAACTTGCACTTCGTCGTCTTTACGAATCGGCATGGATCTGACGTTGTATTTGTGACGGAGATCTTTGGATAGCGGCGAGCTCATGAGAACGCGCCTCACGCTTGAAGGAGCTGTGAAGTGAGCCTTCCTGTTCTTCCGGCGAGAAGAGGTCACACGCGGATTGTACTTCATCGCCGCCGAATTTGTGAAAAAATGAAGAAATTAGGGTTTTTGTGTGGCTGGAGAGGTGCAGCGATGAGTGAATGAGTTTATATGAGATATTGAATGTTACTTAAACGCCGCCGGTTTGTCTCATAAGTGAGAATTAGGGTTTTGAAGGTTTCTGGGTCTGATGGGCTTCAAGAAGTTATATATGGGCTTTCATTCAAATGTCTATCAAAGTAACCGTGTTGTACTCAATTCTAAAACCAATTACACTAAAAGCATTAAAGAGTTTGTATTTCTTTTTAATTTTTTTTATGTTTTCTCTTCAAAACAATGTGTTGGGTTCTTGAGAAGACTGTATTAAGATTTTCTTATTTTGTGGTGTTTATATTATAAAATAAAGTTGAATGAAATGGTATGGTTAGTGGGCTAGTTAAGTCTTTGAGATAAGGAAATCAACATATCATAAAAGATCCATTTTAAGTTTTAAATAAATACACACACATATAACTAAAAAACTTATTTAATACTAGGATCATTCGATAAGGTTTATCTCTAAGTCTCTAACTAATAAAACAAAACATGCCAAATCACATACAATCTCACTAAACAAATGGATTAGGTGAATCTGACAAAAGCCAATGATGCCGTCACGCTCATAAAACTCGGGTCCAATCGTGGCTAACTAACCACTCGGCTTCCACAAGCCCAAAATAAACAACATGAATTTATTTGACTTTTTTTATTTGTTATAATTTAAAACCGACTTAAAATATAAATTTAAAGATCGTTAAAAACAAAACTGTACAATTGTTTTCTGATTCAGAGTTCACCGTTGAGCGTGTTCAATTAAATCGTTGAATCTCGCGGTGCCATTTTACGTTGCTTCTTTCGAATCTTTCTTTACTTGTTTTGAGATATGGATATTGCCGCGGTGGCGAGATGTGTTGGAAGGTGCTATGTATCGCCGGCGTTCGGAGAATCCGAACCCCTCCGGCTATCGGAGCGGCGGTTTCTGAAATTGTCTAGCGCCAAGAATTCGGATCCCGCCTTTAGTAGAAGTTTGATATTTGGCGGGAAAAGTTACCGGAGACTTGGCTTCTTCCGTCCGATCATGGCTACAGATGAATCGATTTCATCGCGGTCCTCTGATTGCGCCGGTAATATTTCCGATCTTGTTCATCGCTGATTCTAGTTTGCAAGATTTGGATTTGACTTAAGCTAAAATTTCATGGGAATCTTCTTCCGCTTATCTTTTGCTTGCGTGTTCAATTCAATCCACTCTTCTCTCTCTGTTATAGAATCTTCTTGAGATCTTTGAAGATGGGCTCTTTGCATTGTTAATCCAATTCTTGAAGAATTCTTCTGATTTTCCATAGTTTTAGCATAAAGTTTGGATCTTATTAATGATGAGTAATCAAATACGTATATCTGAATGGATCTGATCAGGTGAAACAAAGCAAATCAACGGAAAGCAAAAGAACATTGTCTGGCATGATTGTCCCGTTACTAAATCCGATAGGCAAGAATTGATTAAGCAAAAGGGATGTGTTATTTGGATTACTGGCTTAAGTGGTTCAGGTTTGGTTCTTCTTCTGATTGGATCTTTAACTACAACTTGTGAGGTTTCTTTTGGATTTCTTTCAAATTTTTTAAATATTTCAGGGAAAAGTAGTCTGGCATGTGCTCTTAGTCGAGCTTTGCACAATCGTGGGAAGCTTTCGTATATACTTGATGGGGACAATGTTCGACATGGTTTAAACAGCGATCTTAGTTTCGAAGCAGAAGATCGAGCTGAAAATATTAGAAGAGTTGGTGAAGTGGCTAAACTGTTTGCAGATGCTGGTATAATCTGTATTGCAAGTTTGATATCTCCTTACCGGAGAGAACGAGCTGCTTGCCGTGCATTGCTACCCGAAGGAGATTTCATTGAGGTTACTCGAAACTCATGAATGTGAATCCAGTGTCAACACCAAAATTTAAACGAATGTACTGAAGTCTCTTTCTCTCTTGGTTCTCCTGTTAGGTATTTATGGATGTGCCACTCCATGTTTGTGAAGCTAGAGATCCAAAGGGCTTATACAAACGTGCACGTGCTGGGAAAATCAAAGGTAACTTTGCTTTTTCTCTGCATATGTTTTTAACTTGACCCGGTTTCTGTTAGTTTTCTTTCTTTAATCATGAGTTATAACCTTCAAAATTGTTCCCCAAAACATTTCTTCCCCAGGTTTTACAGGAGTAGATGATCCATATGAACCGCCTTTGGATTGCGAGGTTCGTATATATCTAATTTTTTGTTATAGACAGTTGGTATATAGTTCATCCTCAAACTTGAATGTAATGTTGTGTTTCCGACTACTCATTGCAGATTGTAATACAAAACAACAGAGACAAGGGTCTTTCTTCTTCATCTACATCTTCTTCTCTGTGTGAAATGGCAGAGATTGTTGTATCGTACTTGGACCAAAATGGATACCTCAAGACGCCTTAGAAACACTCCACAAAATCACATAATTGTATACTTTCCTTGTGATAGGCTCTCATGTATGTGATACTAAAATCATTGTTGTAACGTTTCTTAAACCTATTTTACCTTTGGATGATTACATTGTGAAAACATCAATGTATCACAATCTGCAAAGAATAGCCGCGAAGTTGGCGCCAACTCTCGGGCTTTATAAATGTAATCGATGAATTGGGCCTAAAATTTGTCGGCCCAGTTTGAACAAAACAGGCCTTTTTATATCCGGGTCGGATTCTATTAAGGCTGGATCGGGTTCTACGGCGGCGACTTCTGAATATAATAAATATATATAATAAAACAACACGCGGTGGGGAGGGCGGTAGTTTCAGATCTCAAGCTACTTCGAAAATCGCAACGGTTAGGGTTTCAGCTCCTGAAATCGAACTTGAAATCTATCAACTTTTCGATCCGCAATTTGGATCATTCGAGTTTAAGTTTTGAGAAAATCAAAGTCGACTTGAAGAAGAAGAAGAAGTAAACAATGGGGAAGAAACAACACAGCAAAGATCGGATGTTCATAACGAAGACGGAGTGGGCAACAGAATGGGGAGGCGCTAAATCCAAAGAGAATCGTACTCCTTTCAAGAGTCTTCCTTACTATTGCTGCGCGTATGATCCTTCCACAATTCTCAACTTCGTTTGCAATTTGGATTCAATCCCTAATTTCAATCAATCTCTTTGATGTAGGCTTACGTTTTTGCCATTCGAAGATCCTGTGTGTACAATTGACGGTAGTGTTTTCGAGATAACGTGAGTGTAGTTTCATTGTGTTACTAAGCTTTTTTTACTTAAGCATTAGAGCTTACTTTTTATTGATTTTGGGAATTGGGTATTTGAATTGCAGAACTATAGTCCCTTACATAAGGAAATTTGGGAAGCATCCAGTTACAGGAGCACCATTGAAAGGAGAAGATCTAATTCCTCTCATCTTTCACAAGAACTCTGAAGGTTTCTTCTTTCTTCTCTCTCTCTCTCTTTACCTATTAATATGATTCGTTGTGATTCTCATCCTTGTTATGTGGCTGCCATTGTAGGAGAGTATCATTGTCCTGTTCTGAACAAAGTCTTCACTGAATTTACACATATAGTTGCTGTCAAGACTACCGGAAATGTATTCTGCTACGAGGTTTGTGATTTTCTTTTGGTGTTCTTTTGGAGTCATCTTGCTTGCTTATTTTTGGTGTCGATGATTCTTATTGTTGATGTATAAATTTAGGCAATCAAAGAGTTAAATATCAAAACCAAGAATTGGAAGGAGCTTTTAACAGAAGAACCATTCACAAGAGCCGACCTTATAACAATTCAGGTAACTAACCTCTTTCTCTCTGCTTTAAGCTTTTTTTTTTGTAATGGGTTTGTGCGTTTAAGCATTTTTTGGTAATGTTTTGCAGAATCCTAATGCAGTTGACAGTAAAGTGACGGTGGAGTTTGATCATGTCAAAAACGGCCTTAAGATCGATGATGAAGGTTAGATTTCAGTTTTATATTCGACTAAGCAATTTATCATAATTCCGTGTTTTGTTTAGGTTGGTTACGATTCCATTATCTTGTGTTTTTTTACAGAGTTGAAAAAGATGAACTCAGACCCAGCTTATAATATAAACGTGTCTGGAGATATCAAGCAGATGCTTGCGGATCTTGGAACCGAAAAAGCTAAAGAGATTGCTTTACATGGTGGAGGTGGAAACAAGGCACGTAATGAAAGAGCCGCTGCTATTGCTGCGATTCTAGAGTCAAGATCGAAAATCAAAGAGGATTCTAAAGCAGAACAACCGAAGCAGATCTACAGTGTTGTGGATGCTGCATCTGCTTCGGTTTTTGGAAGAAGTGCTGATGCAGCTAAAGCTGGTTCTAGTGATAAAACAGCTGCACGAATAGCTATGCATATGGCTGGAGATAGAGCACCTGTTAATTCTAAAATGGTTAGTTTCTTGTACGTAATAAACTCGGTTTAAAGCTTTGTGTGTTGTTGTTAAAACGTTTGGTGTTTTTGTTGCAGGTGAAGAGCCGTTATTCGTCGGGTGCTGCTTCTCGTTCTTTCACTTCCACCGCATTTACTCCTGTAACTGAAAACGATTTTGAACTAATTAAAGTCGAGAAAAACCCAAAAAAGAAAGGGTATGTTCAGTTTCAGACAACACATGGCGATTTGAACATAGAGCTCCATTGCGATATTGCTCCTAGAGCATGTGAGAATTTCATCACTCTCTGTGAACGAGGTTACTACAATGGAGTGCCCTTTCACAGAAGCATCAGGTATATATATGCCTTGGAAATCTGTTTTGTTTTAAGAGTTTTTATGGGGTTATTATCAATATAAACATGATCTTTTGACCTTTCTTCTACAAAGGAACTTCATGATTCAAGGTGGCGATCCAACTGGGACAGGAAAAGGAGGTGAATCCATTTGGGGGAAGCCATTCAAAGACGAGCCGAACTCGAAGCTACTTCACTCGGGAAGAGGCGTAGTTAGTATGGCTAATAGTGGTCCTCACACAAATGGTTCTCAGTTTTTCATCTTATACAAATCTGCAACCCATTTAAACTACAAGCACACAGTGTTTGGTGGAGTTGTTGGAGGTTTGGCAACACTAGCAGCAATGGAGAATGTACCTGTAGATGAAAGCGACCGTCCTCTGGTAATCACCAAAAACTCAACTCATTGTGTTCTTGAGTAGTTTCAGTCTCCTGAGGGTATTTTGTAATTTTTGCAGGAAGAGATTAAGATAATCGAGGCAAATGTGTTTGTGAATCCATACACGGAGCCTGATGAAGAGGAAGAAAAAGAGAAAGCTGAGAAAGAGAGGAATGAAGACAAAGACATTGTTAGTATCATCCCTTCCACCAAATATTATCTCTCTTTGTTCTCTTACTTTGGATTGGTCTGATAAGATTATATTATTACTTTGTGATGTATCAGGAGAAGGTCGGGTCGTGGTACAGCAACCCGGGATCAGGAACAGCTGAAGGTGGAGCCGGTGGCGGTGGTGTCGGAAAATACTTGAAAGCCAAGAGTAGTACAGCCACTAAAGACACTAATGGTTCCCTAGACTCTGATATTTCAACCATTGGAGTTACTAAGAAAAGAAAAACTACTGCGTCAGCCTCCACAGGGTTTAAAGATTTCTCTAGCTGGTAATTGAAAACATTCTCTACCTACTTTGTAAAACTGTTGACTAGTTTTGATAGAGCCCAAGTCACAAAAGCATTTGTATGCCTACATTGAACCTTTGATGTCCAAAAGCTGGAGCTGTGTAATAAAGCTTCTTCAGTAAAAGATTTATTATAAAGTATAATCCTTACAATAGTGTGTATGAATGCCTAATCTACAAAACAAATCAACAACAATGATCAGCACAGAGGGATCAGTAAGAACATATTTGGTTATTCGTATGTCTTTTAAGGCAGCCGCCATTTGCTGTGCCAGTAGATAGACACTCTTGACCACAATGGGAACCCGAAATTGAACTCCAAAGGCTGATCAGCAGGTCCACCTATAACTAACGGTAACCACACATATCTGGAATCCCGCAAATCAGCCGGGTTCCACCTATCTGCCATGAATATAAACGCACCGGGAACACCCGGTAACGGAATCACATAAGTGCTCTGCGCAAAGAATGTTGTTAACCGGAAAACTTTGTTACCACCGATACACGGATTCCCCAATTTCTCCCATGGACCCATTATAGATTCTGCCGCATGAGCCAAGGCTTCATTTGGTGCCCAACCAGTGCACCAGGAAGTGACCATGTAATAAATATTCTGATACTTGAAGATAGCTGGAGCTTCCCTGTGTTGTCCCACCATTACTCTCTTCATAACCGGTGTCACATCGAGGTAATCTTCCGTTAAGGGTCCAATATGAAGCACGCTGTTGACTTCAGACGAATATATCAGGTAAGCAACACCATCGTCATCTTTGAAGACAGTCATGTCCCGACTATCGAATCCGTGTGGACGTTTACTGTATAGATACTCGAAAGGACCTGTCGGGTTATCGCTAATGGCTACACCAACTGAAGCTTTAGTGTAGTTTGCATCGTCGATATGCATCCACATCACATACTTCTCTGTCTTTTCATTGTAGATCACTTTGGGTCGCTCAAGAACATTGGATTTATGCAAATCATGGGTCTTGTTTGTTTCATCAGCTCCGAGTACAATGCCTTCATTTTTCCATGTCCATAAGTCCTTTGAAGAGTAACAACCAACCCCTATTATATCAACCTGAAGACAACACAAGATCGAAAATTTACCCCAAAATACCGACAAGGGAAATGCTAAAAGACTATAAATCTGAGGACATGTGAAATATAGTGATACTTACTCTAGCTGGTCCTTTCTTGTGAGCATGGTAAGTTGGACCATCTTTATATTCTCCATACCAATAGTACGTGTTAGATTTCTCGTCAAGCAGAATCCCTCCGCCATGTGCTTGAATTGGATTCCCTTCTGTGTCCATCCAAATTTTCCCAGGGAAGTAATACGAGGTCTCGTTTCCCATATCCTTGGTGGGACCAAAAGCGGCGGTTTTGATACCGGGAAAGAAAAGATGCCGTATAGGTGACTTCTCGTCAAGAAACTCTTCAACCATAGGGATCGGTTTTCTCGATCTCCGTTTACTAGTACGAGGAGAACGCTTCCTAGGTGGGGGCATTCTCAGGATCTCTTCTTCAACTCTTACAAGTTCACGAACAACAGGATGATGAAGATGTTGATGATGTACTAATTGTAACTGATCAGAAGAAACTTGTTGATGAATGTTATCTTTTCTGCTATACAGAGAGATAAGATGAGCCACCAGGAAAAAACCGACGACGGTCCAAACAATAGTAAGGAATGAATATCTGCAACCTCCTGCATCATTGCAATGCAAAGATGTTGATTTCTTATTGTATTTGTTGTTGTTCTTCATTATCCTCATTCTTTCTCTATGTCTTCTAAAACACTGTAAATATACAAAACCCAACAACTTGTGTAGATCCAAAACATAACTCTAGTGCAACAAAATTTAAGTCTTAGCTTCAAAAACTCTAAATCAGTAAATTAGTCAAATCTAACTCCAGATGAGCTCAATTATAGATATCAGATCCGACGCTAACATCCAAATTAGCAGAAGCTTAACCCTAAGAATACGAAGCAGAACACAACTAAGCTCTATAAAATCAGAGAGACGAAGTCATCGGAAAACTTTACCTGAAAATCCTCGGAGACCGGCAGAAGCCGAATATCCCGACATGTATATATAATCTCAGAAATTATACAGAAGATTATCACTTTCTCCGAACCAAACACCAAATCGGAAACACTTTTGTGTTCTGTCAGATGCAAAGCTTGGTCTGGAGACTGACCCGAGAAATCCAAAGCTAGATTCTTTTTCTTTTTGGGAGATTCAGAAAAGAGTAAACAGAGAAGTCTAGTTGAAATGGATCTATCAAAGGTCTATTGATGATTCAGACTTGCGAACGACGACGAGACTGATGACGATTCTAGTCTTCTTCTTCTTCTTCCTCTGATTATATTTATTTTTTTCTGCTTTCTCGGCGAGTTTTCCCCGTTGTATTTATATTATTTAAAAATAAGTAGTGATTGAATGGTGATGATTATTAATTAGTGCAATAATGTATATTCTTAATGTTTACAAGTTTTAAACTATCATTGATTCGTAATTTTTCATATATAGAAATAATTAGTATTTTCTTTTTATTTAAGGATGAGTTCCAGTTTTTTCTTTCTCAACAAATTCCAATTGATTCTCTTAATTTAACAGTGATTAACATTTAACAATGGGTGTTAGTTTGTTATCTACTCAAAGTTATGTACATGCACATGATATGTGACTTCTTGAGTGGTTGATCAATTCTTTTTCCACCTTTCTTTTTAGGTTCATCTATTATTCAAATAAAACTTAACTTCAATGGATATAAATGATAAAAATAGATGGTGAATAATGGTATTATTGAATGTAGACAAATACTTGTTGCGTCACGCTTATTACAAATGTTTGATACAATGTCATATTTACACTTCTTATACACTCTCTATATATCTTTCAATGATAATTTTTTTAAAAATGTAAATACCAAAAAAAATCAAGTATAATAGTGTATATATATATATATATGCACACTAACCACTATATATTCACTTGTCGTATTTCTGCGGAAGAAGTTGGATGAATCGAAAACCGAGCAAAACTCTTTCCTTTCTCCTGGAAAGCTTTGGCGAAGAGGAGCAAAACTAGAACCACCATGATAAGTGACAGAGCAAGAATTGATGCCCAAAGGCAATACATCGATGCTTTAAAGGGTTCACATTGGTTAGAGACTATGCTCGATAACGTGTCTTTCACGGCTAGGCATTCTGTTAGGTTTTGAAGAGAAGGTAAGATGTCGAGCATGCCTTGTGCTGAGTTGCTGTAAGCATATACCTTTAGGTAAGCTGCTTCCGGGATGAATTTTCCGGTGATTCTGCAAGTTTCCGGTGGATCTTTGTCGTGGCATGTAAATCTCGAAAGAATCTAACAACATAAAAAGGGTCTTTTTGTAAGAATAATTTCTGTTCTTACGATTAATATACATAGAGATTAATGGTTTAACTTGGGTTGGGTGCTAAGAAGTATAGTTTAGAAGACTTACATTTGGGAATTCGCCGATTGGAATGGCGCCATTGGAGCAGCTTTGTGGTTTGTAACTGTTAAGTTGTTGTCCGCCAAACGGATCGCATATGATTCCAGATTCAGGCGCCCACGAGACAGTATTGCTCCGATCAGCCAACGCATTAGAACGCATTGACTCTGCTACTTTTGAGTTTAACTGAGAACAAGATACAGAGGATTTAGATTTTACCACTAGCCAGAGAGTTCATGAAGTTATATATGAATCATTAATACCTCGGTGATGAAGTTATGAATCATCAAGCTTATCTCGATTAGGGTTTTATCAGAATGAAGAGGATCCATACAAGGGAAAAGATTAGTCAGTGTGCTGTTTTGTGGGTTTTGTACGAAACCTTTGAAAGCTGAACAAAGGTCTTCTGCGAAGCTGCGTGAGCGGAAAGTTGAGGAGTTAGGGTTTAAAAACATGTGGAGGATTTTGATATTAGGGCTTGATTTACTTACGTGTGAATAAAGAAATCGAATCCAGTTAGAACCCAACAAAGAGTTGCTATGATCCAACACAAGAATATCACCCTTCGTAAAAAGAAGCAAAAATGAAGAAGAAAAAGAATAATTTAATCTTTTGAAGTTTAAAAACCAAATTTAACAATAACAATGTTTTGGATTGCTTACATGATGAATCCAGGGTGCCAGTGAAGCAATAGAGGTACTGAGACAAAGACAAAAAGGGTCCATTAAAATTAGTCCAAGATCATCACATTTTCACAAATTACGTGATTTTTAAATGATCTCACCAAAGGCTAGAAGCAGAAGGAACAAGTTGGTCGATGCAATCATAAGATGAGAGACATACCTGAGACAAAAAGAAAAAAAAAAACAGAGCAAAACAATCAAAGACGATTCAAAAACAAAAACAAAAAACAAGAGTTGTTTTTAGATCATACGAGATTTTGATAGCTAGATCAATGGAACGACCGTTGTGATGAAGGAAGGATTGAATAAGGCGAGATCCTTTTCCGAGTCGATGGGTAGTGACGTTGAGAAGATGAGTCGTATTCTGATCGTATGGAAGCAACAAGTACTGTATCTTCGTTAACGACACTATCACCGTGCGGATGTTATGATCAACATCTTCTCCTGCTTTGTCTATGGTTTCTTTCATCTCCTCCGTTCTGTTCTTCGACCTCTCGTTCGCTGATATCACTATCCCTGTCGTTGCCCTGTTTTGTAAACCCAACGTAATGATATTTTGTTATTTCCATAAAAAAAACACTAACATTTTGAATTTATAAGCTTACATGGAGAGAAACATGAAGAGGAGGAGAAGTAAGAACAGAGGAAGATAATAACGGTCGAGATAACGGCGGCACGTGGAAGAAACGCGTCTCCTTTTCTTGGAGAAAGCTACGTACAGTCCCAAACATACGCCGACAATAATCAACACTCCGGCGACTGCGTAACCGTGGATTCCCGTAAATGCAGTAGCCTGAGATTCCGTTAACTAGTTACCACATTAACGTTATAATATCACAAGACTAAAGAAGAAGAGAGCTAGACTCACTGCCCAATAATGTTTGTTTCGAACATCAAAACCTCCGTCGTAATATCTAAAGCTGTTGAGAGGATCGCGTCTCTTAATAAACATCTCATGATCTCCACCGTATGATAAACTTGAAACCGCCAACATTGGAGAGATCACAGCCGTTAAAAGGAGCTGAGACAGAACTCCGGTTATTCTTGATTTTGTCATGTTGAAGAAGTTGATGATCGAAAATCATGTTCCTTGTTTATTGTCCTCTTTTGGGGGATTCTTTGGATAAAAAATAGAGATTTGTGAAGAGTATAATTATTTAAATAATTGCCTTTCTTCTTCGAGTGTTTGGCTTACTTACTAAGGTAAGGATAGCTTGTAAAAGATTGTTTTATAAAAAATCTTTTTTTTTTTTGTTAAATAGAAGAAAGGAGAGTGATTAGAGTAACGTATCTTGAGCCGTTTTCTCTGGATTTTTATTTGACTCAGCTCTTCTTTTTTTGGGGTTTACTTTTTTTTCCAAAAAAGGTTAAAAGAAGTGGGAAAAGATCAAAGTATATTAACCGATTCTTCTTGCAAAAACATTTTGGTGGCTTGTTTGGCTTCAGGTTTAAGACTATCATCAATCAGGCGTCGTTCCAAACCCGCTAAAAGAGAGAGAGTGTTTTGTTATGTTTAGTTTCACTCATTCACAGAGTCCCACATCGCTAACAGAAGAAGCGTGAAAGAAAATAGGACTAGTATAAAATACGAGGCCATGGGTCTAAACAATTCATACCTTTCTCGGCCTTTTGGCTAAGATCAAGTGTAGTATCTGTTCTTATCAGTTTAATATCTGATATGTGGGCCATCGGCCTACACGATATTAACTCTATTTTTTAAGGGAGAAGGTCCATTAAGATAGCTTGCTATCTGGGCTTTCGCGAGTCGCTCATGTGTTGCACTACTGCACGGGCTTGGCTCAACCCGCCAATTATTTAGTCTAAAGAAATTAAAAAATTTAGAGATAAAACTGGAAAGCTAATTAAAATTCACAATGGCCATGAACGCGGGTTATTCTTTTATTTTATGGCCCATTACAATTGGGCTTAAGAAGCCCATGATCAAACCTATCCAACGGTGCGTAGAAGAACAGCTTCCAATATTGGTCCGTGGTAATCACGCGGCCTCCTTAACGCGAATGGTTCTAAGAACACATTCTTTGGTTTTTTTCTTATCAATCTAAAATTCTTCTTCCGAACTTCTCTCTGTCCCATCGAATCTTTCTTCTGATTGGCTAATTGTTTATTAGTAATAATTACTACTACAATACAACACAAAGCTCCATGATTTTCGCTCTGTCACAGACAGCTTCAGTTTCCCTACAAAACGAATTCTAATCAGATCTAGACCGTTAATCTCGCGACGTAGAGGAACCCACATAAGCATCGACGGTTCAGATTTACTGACTTTTTATGTAACTTTAATTCGCCGGCTCTCTTGCCGTGTTTTCGATTTTGACAGAAACGAAAAAAATCTTCAAAGGGATAAATATCAGCAGCGGAAGAAGGATTGAAAAAAGGAAGCTTTCCCTTTTTTTAAGCCCATCAGAGATCCGTGGAGGAGAATTTCTAGCAGACCGATCTGTCTCTGTTTCTACGAATCTCTCTGTCTTTGTCGGAAACTTGAGTTGTCTGAAATCATAAATCATGGGTTTGTGGGATGCTCTTCTCAATTGGCTTCGCAGGTCAGTTTTTATATTTTCTACTTCAAATTTCTTGTCTTGGTTCGTTGGATTTTTGATTTGGTTAGCGACAAAATTAGGGCTTTTAGCTAATTTGATTCCTGATGCAATGAGGAATATACGATCACATCAATCTCTGGCTAAGAAAGCAACAAACTTTCTCTGTTTTTAAGCTATTAATGTGATCGTCAAATCCACCTTTTAGTTTTGATTATCAAGTTTTAAGTTTAGACAATACAATTGTGAAATTCCATCTTGGATCTAGAGATGGTTAATCAGTAGATGAATATTGCTGCACAAAATATAATATATAAAGAATCCTATGGAACTAGTTGTGAGCAAGAACTATTGCTTGTGATATGCATAGTCTCACAATGCCTTATTGCAGCCTCTTCTTCAAGCAAGAAATGGAGCTTTCATTGATAGGACTTCAAAATGCAGGAAAGACATCACTTGTTAACGTTGTTGCAGTAAGTACTATGCTTCCCCACAAACTGTTCCCTCCTTTTTCCTCTTAATCACTCGTTAATGGCTTCCTTTTACCTTTCCTTGTTCAGACCGGTGGATACAGTGAAGACATGATCCCTACGGTGTGTTATACTACTTCTTATGATGTTTACTTTTAGGTAGCTTGATTTTGGACTAATCGTTAAAAGGATTTTTACTCTTTCTTAGGTCGGATTCAACATGAGGAAAGTGACAAAAGGAAGTGTTACAATCAAGCTTTGGGATCTTGGTGGTCAACCTAGGTTCCGCAGCATGTGGGAACGTTACTGCCGTTCTGTTTCCGCGATTGTGTAAAGATCTGTTGAAACTATTTTTCTTACTATCTTTAATGTTTCAGCTTTAGGTTTCAGATGATTAAAACTCTCTGACTCTCGCCACAATGCTGATTCTGGTTTCAGGTATGTAGTTGATGCTGCTGATCCTGACAACCTCAGTGTCTCGAAGAGCGAACTCCATGATTTGTTGAGCAAGACGTCCCTTAGTGGTATCCCTCTTCTAGTCCTCGGCAACAAAATCGACAAGCCTGGAGCTTTGTCCAAAGAAGCTTTAACTGAGGAAATGTAAGCCTTAAACCGAAAACATGACAAAAGACTTGGCACTTTTTACTTTGATTCTAATAATGTTTTTTTCCATTGTTTGCAACAGGGGACTCAAGTCACTTACAGATAGAGAAGTCTGTTGCTTCATGATATCTTGCAAGAACTCCACTAACATCGATCAAGTCATTGATTGGCTTGTAAAGCACTCCAAATCATCGAGCTAAACTTTGCACCAAACGAACAGAAGTCAACTCTCTGCAGTTCTCAGTCTTCTTGTGTTTTTGGTCCTTTGATGATGATGATGGTGATTGTGATGGTGGAAGAAGACACAGCTTTCTCTTTTATCCTGTGAAAAACAAGATTTGTCTATGTTTTCTATCTGATTCTTTATCGTCTTTCTCCTTGGTGTGTTGCTGTGTTCTCTGTATATTAGATTTGATTGGTTTCCCTCTTCTTAAAGCCATGAGATCACTTCCTTCGGGGTCAGCTTTTTCAATTTTACCAGTTCATTGCATGATTCGAAAGAACAAAAACATATGTGGCCTGTTTCGTAATTTTGAAAAACTTGAGGCCAAAAACGGATATTTAAAAAAAAAGAAGCAACAAGATAAAACTAAGGACTATATATATAGGCTTTACGCTCACTTAATAATATCGACAAAAAGAAGTTACATCTCTCATATCCATCTGATTCTTCGCAGATAAACATGTCTTTACTGGAGTTGATATTCTTCACCTTATTAAACTGATCATCATTCATGTTCTCTCTTACGTTTTCATATATAAATTTTGAGAACAAAAAAAAGTTGATTTTTTGTAAACGTTATACCAAAAAAGGAAAAAGGATACAACCAAAACGAAATTTTCTTTTTGGTTAGATTGAGTAAATGGAAATCGGATATAATTTAGATTAATAAAAGTAAATGGAAATCGGATCTAATTTAGATTTCCTCTATAAAACTGATAAATCTCAACGGTTAGATTAATAAAAGTATGTAAATAATCTCCAACGGTTAGATTATTAATAAGCAAGGGTTCTTGGTTTATTTCCTTTTTCTTAAAGAGTCTCAATCATTGCTTATAAATAATACACACTATAACGCATTCTGTTCTTCTTCATTCTTGAGAAATCAAAAATTCTCTCTCTATTCACCTTCTTCTTCTTCTTTTTTCTTCGAGAGAGAAACGAAAACAAAAAAAAAACAATATCTATCAATCATCATTCTCATCCATTTCTCTTTTTAATACCTAATCGCCGATGATGATCCATGTATGACTCAACATTGAAGTAAGCTCGTGGCGTGAATTCGAGTTCATCATTGAAGAATGATCTCCCCTACCGTCTCCAATCGAGAATTGATTTCAGTTGCGTTCGGGTCGCATACTAATTTGAGTTTAGAATCTGAAGTTGAAAATCAATCAATCGATCACCTGACGACGCTAATGTCGACGCCAACACTCTGATGAACAACAGCTGAGAGCAATCGATCCCACACGTAACGGAGGAAACTAAGTGAGAGGATCAACAAATAAAGAAAAGAAATTCGAAGTGAAGAATCTTCGTCCAAAAGTGAATGTCGCCAGTGGTGGATGATGATGTCACGGGAGAGCTACCAAAGAACGATGGGCTCGCTCAAATCTGACTTTGGAATGGGTTTTTTTCTACAAGCCTTCTATGCTACCAAATCCAACAAAGGTATTACTTTCTTCACTCTTATTTTGTTTCCTTTTATTTTCTTTAAGATTAGTTTAAATATTTAATTAGTTTTAAAAGATTAACTGTTAATTAAAACAACTAAAATAATGATTTCAAAAATAATAATTATTTAAAATTTTAAATAAACACTTAAACTTTAAGAAAATAATGCTTTAACCCAAAACCATGTGAATTTCAATATTACTTTTTAAAAATTAGTTTAAGTGTTAAATTTTAAAAACGTCGAAAACTAACCGCACCTAGGCATCCTGTCCTTAGTTGGTCCGTAAGCTTTGGTGTTCGAAGTTCAGCAATGTTTTCACGTAATATAGATTTAACACTTAAACTCATTTTTAAAAATTAATAATGATTTTCACTAAATTTAAAATAAATTTAACACTTAAACTTTAAGAAATAATGCTTTAACCCAAAACCATGTGAATTTCAATATTACTTTTTAAAAATTAGTTTAAGTGTTAAACTTTAAAAACGTCGAAAACTAACCGCGCCTAGGCATCCTGTCCTTAGTTGGTCCGTAAGCTTTGGTGTTCGAAGTTCGGCAATGTTTTCATGTAATATAGATTTAACACTTAAACTCATGTTTAAAAATTAATAATGATTTTCACTAAATTTAAAACAAATTTAACACTTAAACTTTAAGAAAATAATGCTTTAACCCAAAACTATGTGGTTTAAGTGTTAAATTTTAAAAACGTCGAAAACTAACCTCGCCTAAGCATCATGTCCTTAGTTGGTCTGTAAGCTTTGGTGTTCAAAGTTCGGCAATGTTTTCACGTAATATAGATTTAACATTTAAACTCATTTTTAAAAATTAATAATGATTTTAACTAAAATTTAACACTTAAACTCATTTTAATAATGCTTTAACCCAAAACCATGTGAATTTCAATATTACTTTTTAAAAATTAGTTTAGGTGTTAAATTTTAAAAACGTCGAAAACTAACCGCGCCTAGGCATCCTGTCCTTAGTTGGTCCGTAAGCTTTGGTGTTCGAAGTTCGGCAATGTTTTCACGTAATATATATTTAACACTTAAACTCATTTTTAAAAACTAATAATGACTTTCACTAAAATTGAAAACAATTTAACACTTAAACTTTTAAAAAATAATGCTTTAACCCAAAACGATGTGAATTTCAATATTACTTTTTAAAAATTAGTTTAAGTGTTAATTTTAAAAACGTCGAAAACTAATTGCGGCTACGCATCATGTCCTTAGTTGGTCTGTAAGCTTTGGTGTTCGAAGTTCGGCAATGTTTTCAAGTAATATATATTTAACACTTAAACTCATTTATAAAAAATAATAATGATTTTCACTAAAATTTAAAACAATTTAACACTTAAACTTTAAGAAAAAAACCATGAAATTTTATTAAATCTTTTTTAAAAATAGTTCTAAGTGTTAAATTTTAAACACGTCGAAAACTAACTGCGCATAGACATCATGTCTTTAGTTGGTCTGTAAGCTTTGGTGTTCGAAGTTCGGCAATCTTTTCACGTAATATAGATTTTAACACTTAAAACTTACTTTTAAAAATTAATTTTTAAAAAATAATTCTAGTTTTCTCTAATTCTTTTAATATCACTAATATTTTACACTTAAACTTTAAGAAATTAATGCTTTTTACATGAATTCACTAAAAAAATTTAAAATTGTATTTAAGTGTTAAATTTTAAATACGTTAAAAACTAACCGAACTCAGACATACCCATAAAATCCTACTAAACCACACACGAGTCGGGCCAACTTGGACTTGAGTTTGGATAAGTGGGTCTTCGATAGCTTATCTTTTTGTTCACGTTTTAAATTTTGTGATCACTACAAGATTTGATTTGAATCAGTCAATGCAATAAACTCTCAAATCTGTAAACAGCTCACGAGATTCTTCTTAATGTCCTTAATTGGTGCATAAGCTTTGGTGTTCGAAGTTGGTTGTGTATGTTGTTTTTACTCTCTCCAATTCTTTATCGTCTGCGTATGTTGCTGTGTTCTCTGTATATTAGATTTGATTGGTGTTCCCTCTTCTTAAAGCCATGATGAGATCACTTCCTTCGGGGTCAGCTTTTTCAATTTTACGAGTTCATTGCATGTTTTGAAAGAACAAAAGAATATGTGGCGTGTTTCGTAATTTTGAAAAACTTGAGGCCAAAAACGGATATTTTCGAAAAAAGCAACAAGATAAAATAACAGGACTATACTATAGGCTTTACGCTCACTTGCACTATATCCTCTTCGCAACAATGGATGCTTCGGTGGTGAGATTTTCCCAATCGCCGGCAAGAGTGCCGCCGGAATTTGAACCAGATATGGAGAAGATTAAACGGAGGCTGCTCAAGTACGGTGTTGATCCCACCCCCAAAATCCTGAACAATCTCCGAAAGAAAGAAATTCAAAAACACAACCGTAGAACCAAGCGCGAAACCGAGTCAGAGGCGGAGGTGTATACGGAGGCGCAGAAGCAATCTATGGAGGAAGAAGCTCGTTTCCAAACCCTAAGACGGGAATACAAGCAATTCACGAGGTCAATTTCTGGAAAAAGTGGCGGCGATGTTGGTTTGATGGTTGGGAATCCATGGGAAGGAATCGAGAGAGTGAAGCTGAAGGAGCTCGTTAGTGGTGTCCGGAGAGAAGAGGTTAGTGGTGGTGAATTGAAGAAAGAGAATCTAAAAGAGCTGAAGAAGATACTTGAGAAGGATCTTCGTTGGGTTCTAGAAGACGACGTTGATGTGGAAGAGTATGATTTGGACAAAGAATTTGATCCTGCGAAACGGTGGCGTACCGAAGGAGAAGCAGTCAGAGTTCTCGTTGACAGGTTTGAACACTCTTTTTGCATTTCAATTTCTGCAAATTTTTGATTCTTGACGAAATTGTTCGATTGATTTTGTGTGATTAGATTGAGTGGTAGAGAAATCACTGAGAAGCATTGGAAGTTTGTGAGGATTATGAATCAATCAGGGCTTCAGTTCTCTGAAGATCAGATGCTTAAGATTGTTGATCGATTGGGACGTAAAAACAGTTGGAAACAAGCTTCAGCTGTTGTTCATTGGGTGTATTCTGATAAGAAGCGTAAACACAATAGGAGCAGGTGATGTTTTCATGTCGATAATCGAAACATTGTAACTTTTGATGGCCATCGTTTCTTGAGGTTGAATCTGTACAACTTGCTTTCTACAGATTTGTTTACACCAAGCTTTTGTCCGTTCTTGGGTTTGCGAGGAGGCCTAAGGAAGCTCTTCAGATATTCAGTGAGATGCTTGTAAGTAACTTCTGATTTGTGTCAATTCGTGATAAGGTTGATGTAGATGATCATTATACTATAGCATCTTGCAGTTTTTGGATTAACTCTCATTCCTTAGTCACTTTAGGGTGATCGCCAGTTGTATCCTGATATGGCGGCGTACCACAGTATTGCTGTAACACTTGGGCAAGCGGGTTTATTGAAGGAGTTGCTTAAAGTAATCGAGCATATGAGGCAGAAACCGACTAAACTAATGAAGAATTTGCGGCAAAGGAACTGGGATCATGTGCTTGAACCAGACTTGGTTGTATACAATGCTGTAAGTGAGCATTTTCGAGTTTTTAAACTTCTTTAATATCTATTTGCAGCGAGTCACTGTATCTAAATGCTGTGATCAATTATTGGCTTAACTGGTCCCCAGATTCTTAACGCTTGTGTTCCAACACTCCAATGGAAGGCTGTTTCATGGGTATTTGTAGAGTTAAGAAAAAATGGTTTGAGGCCTAATGGAGCTACATATGGGCTTGCGATGGAGGTAGCGTTCTTGTTTTCCTACATAAACGAACTGCTTAGATACTTTAAGTAAGATGTGGTGTAGTATTTGTGGGTAACCTCAAATACGTAGAGTTGTCTTTAAGATGTCGTTTTGACAGGTTATGCTGGAGTCAGGGAAGTATGATCGTGTTCACGATTTTTTTAGGAAGATGAAAAGCAGTGGCGAAGCTCCAAAAGCAATTACATACAAGGGTAGCTGTTGATTCTCTCTGCATTTAAGTTACTTCATTTTGGTATCTATAAGGTGATATGATTCTCACAGCGCATGATTGATTTTCAGTTCTTGTCCGAGCTCTTTGGAGAGAAGGCAAAATCGAGGAAGCTGTTGAAGCAGTCAGAGATATGGAACAAAAGGGAGTTATAGGAACGGGTTCAGTTTACTATGAATTGGCATGCTGTCTGTGCAACAACGGGCGTTGGCGCGATGCAATGCTTGAAGCAAGTTCCCTCATACTTTACCCATTTTGCTTCTCAGAGAAACCCACGAAATTAAGTTTCTTCATAATTCATTAATGCAGGTGGGGAGGATGAAAAGACTTGAAAATTGCAGGCCGCTTGAAATTACCTTCACAGGACTCATAGCGGCTTCATTGAACGGTGGTCATGTTGATGATTGCATGGCTATATTCCAATATATGAAAGATAAATGCGACCCGAATATAGGAACTGCGAACATGATGCTTAGAGTTTACGGAAGGAATGATATGTTTTCGGAAGCTAAAGAATTGTTTGAAGAGATTGTCAGCAGAAAAGAGACTCATCTAGTTCCAAACGAGTATACATACAACTTCATGCTTGAAGCTTCAGCTAGATCACTGCAATGGGAATACTTTGAGCATGTTTATCAGTTGATGATTCTTTCTGGTTACCAAATGGATCAAGCAAAACATGCATCAATGCTTATAGAAGCATCAAGAGCCGGGAAGGTAACAAATCTTCTTATAGTTAAAGTGTTTATGGAAGCAAAAGCTGTTGTCTAATTTTGTTTGTTAATGCAGTGGAGTCTTCTAGAGCATGCCTTCGATGCAGTTCTTGAAGATGGAGAAATCCCTCACCCATTGTTCTTCACTGAACTCTTGTGTCATGCCACAGCTAAAGGCGATTTCCAAAGAGCTATCACACTGATTAACACTGTGGCTCTCGCATCTTTCCAGATTAGTGAAGAAGAATGGACTGATCTTTTCGAGGAGCATCAAGACTGGCTTACTCAAGATAATCTTCATAAGCTCTCTGATCATCTCCTTGAGTGTGATTATGTGAGTGAACCAACAGTCTCAAACCTCTCAAAGTCATTGAAATCTCTATGTGGGTCTTCTTCTTCTTCTTCTTCTTCTTCAGCACAACCATTGTTAGCCGTAGATGTAACAACTCAAAGTAAGGGTGAGAAACCGGAGGAAGATTTGCTTCTTCAAGATACAACAATGGAAGATGCTAATGGTGAAGCTTGGGAATTTACGGAGACGGAACTCGAAACGTTGGGTCTAGAAGAACTCGAGATTGATGATGATGAAGAATCTAGTGACTCTGATTCACTTTCAGTTTATGACATTCTAAAAGAATGGGAAGAGAGTAGTAAGAAAGAAACATGAAAAAGCTTGTAAATTTCCTCAAAATCTTAATAGAACAAAATCTAAATTTATCTCTGCTTATGCATCTCTCTTCAAACCAATTCCAAGGTTACTAAACAGATCAGCCACATACATTAAAAGATCAGTTATACAGAATCTCAGACTTGGATAAAGAACATACATATGATCAAACTGTGGATTTACACTGTTACTAACCAAAAAAAGAGAGCATAAAGGTTTGGAAACTTTTTAAGACTCTGCAGGTGATGAGATATCGCCTGATTCAAGACCGGAACTCTTAAGAAACCAGTAAAACTACTAAGTATATATGGCTTACTTTGTTACAAAACTTCCCCATGATGGCTATTTATTTCTGTTTCACCAAGGATGATTACGGATCCTGAACTTCAAAGCTTTCATTGCTGCCTTTGCAAATATCTGAGCAGCTTCAGCTTCTGCTTCTGCTCTTTCTGCCTCTTTTGCTGCTTCTTCAGCCTCTGTGATAGCAAATTCTGCCTCTGCTACTGCTCTTGCTGCAGCCTCTGCAGCTTTTTGAGCTGTCATGCCTTTTATCATAAATAACTCACCGTCTACTCGGGACTTAGTGAGGCTTTTGGCGCCGTTCTCCTCGGGTTTTGGTGGGTCTTTCTTGTTGTTTCCTTCCAGAAAGAGTTGAGGAGACATCTGTCTTGCTCCTACGGGGATAAAATTAGAAGAAAACCTGTACTTGTGCTTTATCTGAAAGTGAGAAATCACCAAGTAAGTATTTGAAAATTCTGAGAGTAAGGAAGTGTTTGTAATCATGGATCTTATGTGTGTTTACCTTAACTAATGTTCCATTCGATGATAAATGCTTTAATCGTACTGCGACATGTCTTTTCATATTCGGTGGAGTCTTGAAATTCTCCTGAAATTTTAACAGCTACTAAGTATGCAGCTAACCCCAAAGAAACATAGAATCCCAATGGTAGAAATACCTCTATATACAGAAAGATCGATGTTCTGTCAGAACCGCGCAGTTCCTTCAAGTTAGTAATTGCCTCCAAGATGATCTTATCCAAACTACAAGAACAGACAATAGCTCAAGATCAAATCTTTATGAACTCAAGAAAATCTTTATGTGGTGCATGAGTCAGAACTTTGCATGAAGCAAACCTTGTAATTGATCTCTTTGAAGCACAAGAACCTCCAGGGGAAGTTGGTTTTGCCCGTTCATCGTCATTAGCCAAAGCCACAATGCTAAGAGCTGTGTTGTTATCATCCTGTATAGTAGCCGGCGGAGTCATTTTAAGCGCAAGTTTAGCCTTCTTCCTTGAACCCCATAAAGCTGTCACGCTTATGTTTCTCCATTTGTCCTGTTACGCTTTGAACTATCAAGATTAGTCCGAAACAGGCGATCAAAACCTCAAAAAGCAGATCTCTAAGTGCCACAATTTCTTGTATCGAGTAATATTCTATTACCTTAAGATCAACATTTGAGCGAGACTTAAGGATTAAGCTAAACTCAGTATCGGAGAGTATGGTACGCCACTTCCCAGTGCCATGCTTAAGAACTCCAGCTTTAAGAGCTGCTTCTTCTTCCGGTGTCCACTTCTGCTTTGGGGCACCCATCCACAGTTATCAAAAGATCTCACTTTTAAAAAAAAAGAAGTTGAATTTTCTTCTATTCTCTGCCAAGAGATGCGAACACTAAAACCTTAGAATCTGTGAAATGAGCTGTGAACAAAAACAAAAAGACCACATCAACGCCATTGTTGAACATTCAACTGATATGTAGCAACCTATTCTTATCCAAAAGAATCTAAATTTTGAAATTGGAAGTAGAGGAATTTTGGTCATCTAACAAGTGATTTGTGAATGCTTTTTTTTTCAACCATTTTTGTTACAGAAACAAGCACAATGGAAATCAATCTAATCCAGCAGATACACAAAGCCATAGAAATGATGGCGAATTAAATACGCCCCAAAGCTCAATTCAACAAATCAACGAGTGAATCTCGAACCAAAAAGAGGATCAAATTCCATTAACAACGTCGCAAATCAACAGGAATTTGGAAATTCAGCCAACAATCAAAATCATTAGCGAAATTACCGACCGAAATCAAATGGGGCAATCGGAGAAAATATAAAAATGGAAAATTCGGAGAATTAAAGAGAACCAGCAATGAGGAAGGAGGAGAAGAAACATGCCAGATCAAACGAAACCAAAGGAGAGTATTCGAGAGAGACACTTGATGATGAAAGCTAATTCCTTGTGTAGATGTGTCATAGATTAAATGCGAATCTTAGAATTTCGCTGAAACGAACGAAGAAGAAGAAGACCAGAGAGACTGTATAAGGAAGAATATCCATAGAAACGAAAACACAAACTTGAGCTTTTCTTTTGTATTCAGGCTAAGGAAAGATGTAACCCTTCATTTCTTCAAATTCACAAATTTGCCTCAGATTTTATTAAATTACACATAACACCTATTAAATAAATAAATAGGCTCAACCAGAATAATAATATTTTAAAATAGCATATACATATAGGATTTATTTATTTTATATGATAAAAACTTTAAAATTATTTGAAATACAGTAAGATAGGAGGAATTGGGTTAAATTGATACCACAGATAGTTTAGGGAGAATTAAATATTTTCATATAATAGTGACCGAAAGCATAATTTATAAACATTGAATGGCCAGATTGAAATATGTTTTTGTTTCCCTTGGCCATTTTTTTTTTTTCCTAAAATCACAGAAATAGAAGAAACCGAAGCGAAATCAAAAAGCTCAGAGATTTTCCAGATTTCTCTAATTGCGTGACGATGGCGCTTCGTGCTACTACTCAAGGGACTAGCCGTATCGCGGCGACGCTCCGGCGTGTTGCTCGGCCTTTCTCTACTGACGCGGTGGTTGAGTCGGATTACAAGCGTGGCGAGATCGGTAAGGTCTCCGGAATCCCAGAGGAGCATCTTTCCCGCAAGGTAAAGAAGCATTCGATTTAGAAAATTAGGGTTCGTGATCGGAGAATGTTCTTAATTGAGCTAAATCGTGTGTACTTGGTTTGATTTCTGAATCGAATGGTCTAAAAGATATTGAATTTGGAATTTGCAGGTGATAATATACTCACCTGCTAGAACAGCTACCCAGTCAGGATCTGGAAAACTTGGAAAATGGAAGATTAACTTCGTCTCCACCTTAAAGTATGAACCTTTTCTCATTCATTTCTTAGTTTTGTCTTTTTGATTAAGATAGTCCTCTCTTGGCTCACTCTTTGATCATAATATGAGTTTTATCCTTAATGTCATATCTTTGCAATACTAAAGTCTTCTGCTTGTGAGTAGTAGTAGTCCATCACTTGTTGATTAGATTTAGCCTTTGGCAGGCCAATAGCTTCTGGTATCAGTTATTTGTTCCATGTGTAATGACGTCGCTTCTCTATGGCATTGATATGTTTGTAGGTGGGAGAATCCATTGATGGGATGGACTTCTACAGGTGACCCCTATGCCAATGTTGGTGACTCTGCTCTTGCTTTTGATTCTGAAGAAGCTGCTAAGTCTTTTGCTGAGCGTCATGGTTGGGATTATAAAGTACGTTGTTTCCTTCTGCAATTTTTTTCTCGTCGTATTCAGAGTACTGAAAAATTTACATCTAACTCATTGCAGGTCAAGAAGCCCAACACACCGCTATTGAAGGTTAGTAACTATCTTTTAGCTAATGCCACAGTTATGACTAACGTGCTTTACTCATATGAGGCGTTTAAATCTAAGCTGGAGATTCACAGGAACCTTTACATGTTAATAGATAGGATATTTTAGTCTCTAATTTAAGATTGTGTTTCATTAAGGAACTGCTTTAACTTAACTCATATTGCTTCATCAGAAATGGTTAGCTGCCTCTAGTTTAAGATTAGCCGACTAGTTTGGACAGCGATTGTCTCTTTCGCTCCTTGGATTTATTGGTAGAACATTCTTTAGATTGAAGTTATAACCTAACCCTTGATGGTTCATCATCTACTATCACTGCAGGTCAAGTCTTACTCGGATAACTTCAAGTGGAAAGGCAATCCTCAACCAGAAAACTGATCTCACACCTTCTTCTTCCAGGAGAAAACCTCATTTGATAAAAATTCTCATGTTTCTGTGTTATTTAGCATCTTTGAGCTTTTTGTTTGAAAAGAACCATTATCCATGGCTTTGTTTCCTTATTACAATAATATGATGATGATGAAACACACTCCTTTGATATGTCATCAAGAATTCAGATCATTTATTTTACTGGTTTATTTCGAATTGGTGTGAATATGAAAAAGAGAGAGATGGTCAATAATAATCCATAAGATACCAAAAAGTTAAAAGACAAATTCGAATTGAAAGAAGATAACAACAGAAGAGAGATTGTTGAACGAGACAAGAAAATCTTGTCTTTTAACATTACATAACATATATGAAATAGAATCGTTGACTGAGGCAACAACGTATCATCATCCTTCGATCAGAAACATGCATCCAAGAGACAGCAACAACAGAGCGCAGCCAAACTGTGACGTATATATGAACAGAGAAAACGCGTATTAATACAGTATTAAAACCTAAATACAAAACTAAACAATAAACTAAAGTAGAGATGGGATCAAGAACGTACCATCCTTCAAGCATACCGGCGTTTTGCTTCTGCTGCGGAGCTTGAGAGTATTGCTGCGGAGGATAACCTTGAGCAGGGTATCCCTGAGCATATCCCGGCGGAGGATAACCGGCCGGAGGATAACCGTCCTTAGGTGGATACCCTTTAAACCGGAATTCAAGAGCAAATTAAACTAGCAGATCGAAGAAGAGAAACCAACTATCCAAAACTAAAGAAAAGAAGAAAAAGATAATACCTTGGGGAGGAGGAGCACCGACAGGATGTTGTTCTTGATGATACATCTTTCTTCTTTCCTCTTCTTTTTTTTTTTTTTGAGTTCTTTGAGTTTTTTTCTTTCTTTCTTTCTTTCTTTATCTCTTTGTTTAAGCAAACTCTGTTTCTTTCCTTTATAGCGAAGCTATGCCGGTGAAGAATAATAGATATTTTTTTTAACTCTTCTTAATTTAATAAAGCAGAAAATAAAGAAATTATTCTTTTTTTTTTTTTTGGTGAATATAAAGAAAATATTCTAAAAAAGGGTCTTTCTTGCATCATAAAGCATACGAATAAATGTTAAGGGTATTTCTTTGAAAATTAGGTGATCTTCTGTGCTAGACACTTGACCGTACAAGAATTTTTAATTTTATTTCAACTACTCTACTATTAGAATCATTAATTATGGAATAAATATATCAGAGAAGGGGTTTTAACACTGCTTCATAGTTTTAAATTCAGACACTTGACCGTACAAGAATTTTTAATTTTATTTCAACTACTCTACTATTAGAATCATTAATTAAGGTACTATGAAGTTAAAATTTAAGCTTCCCTCTTTTGGGCTTTAGACTCCGGGGATATCTTTGTTTTCCGCCGGCTTAATTAAATTAAAAAGAATTAAGCAAATTATGTAAATAAATTGATTTAAAAATTTAAGGTACTATGAAGTTAAAATCACTATTTGACATAAAAAAAAATTCATAAAATTCAGTCAATTTTTCACTATCAACGTTTTCCTTGTACTTTAAGTTTATAATAACAGAAGAAAACCAAATTTAATACAACCTCCTCGCTTGAATAGAGAAAATTTCAGAATTCGAGAAAAATATGACTTTTAAGTTTTAACCACCCATATGCAAGTCCATGTTCCCATGTCATAGATAATCTTATTGTAATATTCGAAATATTAATATCCATTCACATCACCATGAAAAGTAGAACCCATTAAAGACCATAAAAAAAGAAGGCTCATTGCATTTTTGTCTACACACAAACATGACACAACCTAAAAACCAATTAGGATCGTCACAACAAATCGTGGTCTCATCAACAAAAAAGAAAGCTAAAACACTAACCAAGTCATAAAAGAAGAAAGCAACTTTACCTACACGAGCTCTCTCTCTTTCTACAAAAGAGTTCATTTTCTCTCTAAACGGTATGAAACTTAAAACTGGCTTGGTTCAGAACCAACGCAGCCATTTCCGTGGTCGGTTTGTGCTAGAAGACCCTTTTCTTGGTGTTACACTGATCCTATCGGCATTTACTGCTGCCCATTTTCCAAAATCGGGTGACGAAACCAATTCTTGAACGGCCTTGGTTGTGCTATCCTTAGTGAGCTTTTTCCATTCTTCTTTTGTTAGTTGGCTCCTTTCAGGAGTTTTATGGAAAGAGGATGGAAAGGTATCTGATTCAGATGGTGAAGATTCTCGCATCCCGTTGTTGATTCCTGAAAAGAATCATTGCAAAAGCTTATTCTTGGTTTCAATATAAGTATAAGATTGTAATTTGAGAGAGAGATCAAATATCAGACCTCCTGATGGAGAAGCAAAAGTAACACGGTTGCGAAATTCAGAGGCATCAGGACTCTTTCGCATAAAGTCATGGAGATATCCCGGGACGGATGGTATATCAGCATCACGAATTGCCTCCCAGATTCCTAGCAGTAAATTCAATGGAATCCTGTTCCAAAGAAACCAACTTGCATTCAAAATTGTACATTTTCAGGGATATAGATGCTGTATAATCAGGCGAACGAGAACAAACATAGTTTGGTTTGTTGAAGAAAACAGATCAAAGAGATTGGTCGCAACTCACTCGTATAAAAGTAGAAGGAACTTCAGTCTGGTTATCTTCTTCAAAGTCGATGACATAAGAATTACAGATATCAGGGCTCCTCCAGCAAGCAGCGGATCAACAGAGCTCTGTAAACAACAGATTCTTGTTAAAAAGATCAATTGGTTAAAAGGAGAAGTATACTTTGAGGGACACTGGAAAAAAACCTGAAGGATCAAAACGGCAGCCATAATTCGGATGGACCAAGAAACAAATAGTGATGTGCTAACGTCAATGGAGCCATCTTCAGTCAGCATAAGTTTCCTCACGGTCCAAAATCCGAAAAATGCTCCACCCAAAGATAGAAACGCCCCCACAAAAATCGCTACCTGCAAAACCAAATTGCGGATTATTTCTTTAAAATGGGCGTTTTAACCAGCAAATGCTGACTGATGCAAGACACACCTCTAAATTTACAACAGCTGCAATGTATTGACATTATCAAAACTTACATACAGGTGTGTACATTTCTTCGTCGATTCCCATCTCTGTTAGCAGACTTTGAAACAATCCAGGTATGTAGCGAAGAAGAAAACCACCCAAACCAAGCTGGAAAGAAGGAAACAATCTTGTGAATGGTACATAAAACAAGAAAGTCAGAGAAAACGAAAGAGCAAGAAAAAGGAAAAATTATTCAACAATCACCAGGGATGAGTAAATGAACAATGCAAATGAACTCCGTCCAGTTGGTAGAAGCTTCATTCCCTGTATACATAAAATTACAAAACCGAAATCAGAGAGTTAATACCCTCTCTTCTACAGGTCAACACGATAAACAAAGTGAACAAAAAAACGAAGTTACCTGAAAGAGAACAAGCAGCACGACAAGGATAATACCAACAGCCATGGCACTACTGTAGTAAAACGCTAAAGATTGGCTCAGTGTAGAAGCCGAAGCCAGTAATACAGCACCAAGGATTAAGAATACTATGCGATACATAAATAATTCTGCAAAGCCGAAAATTGATAGATTAGAAAAGTAGAACAAATTTCCAAACCAGAAAGAAAGAAAGAAAATGCAAGGCACCTTCTACAGCAGACATTTCCAAAGTGACCTTGTTAGAGCTAGCTACTCTAACATCAAGGATTTTGTGGTCGAAGGGGGACATTGTCTGAACCCATGAACCCTTAGAGGCTTTCTCCCACCGACTATGAGGGCACATTCCAATTGCACGCGACAAATTCCTTTAAACACACAAATCATGGAAACATTTTAGATCTATGATAACCGAACCATATATTCTGTACCAAGGAACTTACAGAAACTGGTTTGGACTATAAAATATGAAGAAATATCAAGAATTCAAGTCCAACAGCAAAAGATAAAAGACTCACCGGTGGAAGCAAACGTCAATGCTGCTTGTTTTCCCAACGGTTGACGCGTTAACTACCAACTTGAGTGAATGTGCATACTTGTCTATATGCTTAAACCTTCGAAGTCCATGGATATGAATCCTCTCACAAAGAACTGTTCTATCTGGCTTCAATCCAGGAGAACCCTTAACCTCTAAACTAGGAGTCACTTGAAGCTCTCCAGTTTCTCCCACAACTGTCCCATAAGGTTACAAGACATTAACCACAACACAATTACAAATTCATTCAACTAGATTAGTAAAGTATATACTAATTTGTCTTTAGTCGCTTACGAGAATCAACAATTTAGGATTTTCAGAGCGTAGGAATCTCAAAGCGGGTCAAAGAAAAATCAAATTCGAGTACTCAAGTGCTCAAAATTACTTGAGCGATAAACCCTAAATTACTAAAATTTCAACCCACAATTTCACAAAACCAAAACTGGACAATAAGTAAAAATTAAGAAAACCTCACCGAACTGGAGTTCATTGGATGATACAAGAGAAGCGAAAGCAAAGAGATGTAGCAAGATGATTCCGACAACGACGCCGGAGTTTCGGAAAAGACGATAATCACCCATTGATTTCTTCTGGGTTTCAGGGCGCGTACTTGAATCAAAAAAGCAAATAAGAATAAATCCTGAGGGTATTTATGGTAACTTGAAAGAATATAAAACACCGTGGACTCTCGGCCTTGTTAATGGGCCTTCGTAAGCCCAATGCTAAAAGATGAATAAATTCCATTGCTTTTCCTCTATTTCATGCTTCTATTTTCTTAACTAGAAATGGACCCACGCGTTGCGTGGGTTTAATAATATATATTCAAATTTTTATAGTTTTGTAAATTACATTATTTAAAAAAAATTTACTCGAATACTATTTAAAATATATATGTAATTCTATTGGTAAAAAGCGGTTATATAATATAATATAAATGTTATAAGTGATAATTGTATAGATGTACACGTCTATTTATAATATGCTACATATATTAAACGATTTTTTTTGTATTTGACTTAGTATCCTATGACCGTTCATTATATATATTCTCTTTCAGTGCATGAATTCTTATGAATAACATTTTTTTTTATAATTCTAGAAACTCAAATGTGATATTTTAAATGTAGTTTATTTTTCTAATTTATATCTATTGTATTTAGAAGAAAAAAAGAAAAAAAAAATACTTATATATATCTCATTTTATATATTTGCTTTTTCTTTAGGAATTTAGCTTTCTGACACTAATTTTGTCACTATTATTTTTTTTTTACTTTTTTGTTTCTATCTTATTAAATTCAATGTTGTAATTGTGCTTTTTCTACTTCTTTTTGATATTTTTAAAATAAACTTTTATATTTTTAATAAGTGCATAATATTTGTATTACTATCAAATGCATTTATACATTTACTTATATAAAATTTTATATTATATTTATAAAAAGCTAAAATATTAAAAGTATACATAATTATATTTTATTTTTTTTAAAATTATTATACACGATACTATTTAGCTATATTTTAACATTTTGTTTACTATAGTTTACAAACTAATCAACTATTGTTTCAATTAGTAATATGTCCTAAGATTCATCACTAATTCACTATATAGTTTTTTAAAAATCTAAAAATGTATGCCTTTTCAACTTTCATAAAATTTTAGAATTACCCAACATATTGATTTTTAAGTATTTCATGATTCATTACTATATTTGTTTTTTGAAAGTTAATAAATGTATGATCTTTCAACTTTCATATAATTTTTGCAATATCCATCATATTGATTTTGAATATATCAATTTTAAAAATGAAATATCCATCATATTGATTTTTAATATCTCAATTTTAAAACAGAAATGTTTATAAAATTTTAAATATGATTAATCTTAAACATTTTCTCGCTAAAATTCAATTTCTATTATTATGTATAAGTTTATATTTCTTTGTGTTTTACTTATAATATTAATTCATTTGTATTTAACTTAAATATTTTTAATCATAAATAACAATAACTAAAAATAAATATATATTTAATGAGCATTTAAAATAAATCATATTTTTAATTTTTTGATTAAACGCATGCTTAGGTGAATGATGATGTTGATAGCCTAGATGGAGAGAAGACTAAATTATATTATTATGTATAAATTTATATTTCTTTTATTTATTTATAATATTAATTTATTTGTATTTAACTTAAATATTTTTAATCATAAATAACAATAACTAAAAATAAATATGTATTGAATGAACATTTTAAATAAATTATATTTTTAATTTGTAATTAAATGTATGTTTAGATGGATGATGATGTGGATAGCGTAGATGAAGAGAAGACTCTCCTATTATATCTATAGATTCCACTACGCTTTGGAATTTTACCCAAAAAAAGTCATAGACTACTCACTTTTTTCATTTGTTGATAAAAAAAAAAAAGTCATAGACTACTCGATGTGACACATTATTCGTCTATACACAATTCTTTTGGCGGTATAATGCAATTTGGGAAAAATATTATTAAAATTCACAACTTATTCAATTGATCTAAATCTTCAACTCACAACGAAAAGAAATAAATATTAAACTTATATTGACTTTCCAAATAAATATTAAACTTATGTTGACTTTCCAAATAAACACCAAACTTTCATGGACTTGGCCATATTAGGCATGAAGTGTGTTAACAGACAATGTTAACGGGATTAATTTTCTGTTAACAGACCCGCTAATTAAAAATGACAATATTGTTGAACTATAATCAAATCTCATCTAAGTCATATAACCTAAAGTCGTATTCATATAAGTTAATTAGTTATTTACCTAAGAGTCACGAATTTACGTACGTATAGTTGTGTATATTCGTAAAGTTGTGTCTTTTCGATTAACACATATACGTACACGTTGTTTCGTGTTGTATAAGTAGATCGAGTCAAACTCAATAACATTATTGTGTGTAATACATTTTATCTTATCAATAAAGATCAAGTTTCTTCGTACTCTATTTTTCATTTTGGTTTTGTTCTTCATACTCTGTTAAAACAGAGTTCGTTTGTTGATCAAAACACTAACAAGTATTCCTTCTAAACATAAAACGACGTTGTTTTGTCGTAACTGTTCAATAAAATCCCGAGTTTCAAATCATACTGTATTTAAGGTTAGGGATTTTGCTCGATTTGGGGATCTAAGATTGACTTTAGGGATTTAATTCAATCGTTACGACAAAACGAAGTCGTTTTGTTGTTATATGAAACAATGTCGTTATCAATTAACATATATGTTAACAGAAAATTACCTCCGTTAACGAGATATATTAACGCACTTAACGTCGTATCTAATATGGTCAGGTCAACGGAAGTTTGATATTTATTTGGAAAGTCAACATAAGTTTGATATTTATTTCGTTTTGTCATGAGTTGAGGATTTATTAACCCACTTAACGTCGTACCTAATATGGTCAGGTCAACGGAAGTTTTATATTTATTTGAAAAGTCAATGAAAGTTTGGTGTTTATTTGAAAAGTCAACATAAGTTTATTATTTATTTGGAAAGTCAATATAAGTTTGATATTTATTTCGTTTCGTCATGAGTTGAGAATTTAAATCAACGTTTTGAATAAGTTGGGGATTTTAACGAAATTTTTTCCCAATGCAATTTTAAAAATAAATGCTCAAGAATCATTTCTTGGTGAAGAAAATTTAATTTGGTTATTAATGTCTGTGTATATCACGTCCAATGCCGTGATGCTTATAAAATATGGTTGCTTGGATGGTTAATGGTGGACTATTAAAGAGACTGAAAATGATTGAGCTGTTAATTACGTTACGTCGACTTAACTGAACAAAAGGGAATGATGCATTAGTGATTTATTTGAATTATTGACTGCATAACTATGATTGACAAAAAATGCCGACCAAATGATCTGCCAACCATATTTTAAAAGCAGACAATGAGACAATACATTTACATTTTCTTACAAATAAAAATGTAAACTATAGTTAGTTATTCAATAATTACCATTGCCTTAATACTCGCTCAACGCTTATCATTTGGTTAGTTGACTCTTGACTGGTTGTTTAAGCCTAACATCTTCACATGAAACGTTATGATTGGATCATACGATATGACGTAAATTCTAATTAGGTCCAACACAACAACAATATCCAAACGTATACGAACTGTCGGTTTACCCTTTTCATTATTACATACATTGTTTCAGGAAATAAATGATTTGTGGAATCTTGAATCTGCAAAATATTTCCGGTTATATACAATCAGTAGGTCCAGTACATACATGGGACAACATTTAAGCCGAAAAAAACACAGTTTTTGGATTGAAACAAATATACAATTAGGTATCATGTCGCAAAACAAAAAGTTTGAATAAGCTTAATTCAATTATCGGTTGATAAAAAATTATGCATACCTTAGTAAAAGATAACCTTAAAATGTCATATTTCAGCCACACAATTTCGTTTTTGCATTTTCGATACGAAAATTTCGAAGAGATTCGTCTCTAATGTGCGTTAATTTTGTTTCCGATATCTTTAAAACTCTTATGGATATTTCTATTTTTTTTTCTTTTCAAGTGTTAGAACAATTGTAACGATTAAAGAAGTTCTTGAAAATATTTGTCCAGACTGAATCTCATTAAAGCCACATAAAACAGTAACATCGCTTTACATAAATCTTTCAATGTTGTCGGATAGTTGCTTTAAGAATATCTACGCTTTCAAGATCTCTCATGAGGATCCAAATTCGGGGATGCTGTGTAAAGCTGGCCTCCACCCACCGCCACCTCTTCCTCCACCGTGGCTCCTCCTCATAAACCCATCTCCCCCGTTTTCTCCGGCGACCTATAAGATCGGTCGAATTAAATTAGCATTCGTATAGATTCATAATGATAAAAGGACAAAGCGATCAGAGCAATGTGACCAGGACAGTCATGTACAAATATCATATTCATCATATCTTAATTAAAATCAAACTTAGTGCTCCAATAATATATTTTATGATGAAAAATAAAATCTGAACGTGGTAAAACGTAAAAGAAAGTCCTCAAAGTGACGATGAGAGTATTATTAACATGCACTTACCGCATCATTAGCTCCATCTTGGTTCGGATCCGGGTTGACTCGGCCCGTTTCCTGATGATCCAGCTTCTTCTTCCTGTGTTTCTTCGTCTTCTTCTTCGTCAAGTCAAGCCCTCCTCCTTCTTTCAATAACTTCCCAAGCTTCACACACTTCTTCGTCGCAAACTCGTTCAAAACCTCTGAATGGTCAAATTGTCAACAATTTTTAATAAATCATTATATTACAGAAAAACAAAACAGAGAAATTGAGTTAAGAGTGTATACCTTCGAAGCTGACGAGACGATACACATGTCCGATGAGTAAAGTGTCGTCAGGACGAAGGAGCTTAAGCTGCTTCAATGGCGATCCTTTCTCGTTCTTCATCGTAGGTGACGTCACCACCACCGCAACGTAATGACCAGGATTGGATTTCATGACATCACTCGCTGTCACTGACCAGTAAATCCTCTCCACCTTGTTCTCCGCCGGGTGATGAATCAAAACCGTCGCTGCTTCCGCCGCTTGACAATTCCCCATTTTTATTTTTTTGCAAAAAAGAAAGAGTTTTGATTTTTTTTGTTGGGTTCCTGTCTGAAACTAAAGTACTATATAAGAAAAGATTGTATCGGTTTTAATAAATAGTGACGTCAGAATTCTTCATCATTTGGGATTGTCAGGTTTGACAAAGAGGTCGCTTGAGATCGATAAAATGGATTAAAGTATTAAACACAAGCAACAAAATTAGGAAAATAAAAAGAGAAGAAGAAAAAGAACACAGAGAGAAGAAGTTGTAAATTAAAGATGTCACAAGAGATTAAGCAATGAGACGAATAAATAAAGAGGTTGGGGGTGGTAGATCTATTTATTTTATTTCTTATGTTTAATGATAATGACATTTGAATTTCATATGAAATTAATAAATGTTATTTAAGGATCTTGCATATGGCAACCAATGAACTGATTAACGACATGTTTAATTCTCTTGAATTATTAAGTTGACTAGAGGTTATGGTATCTAATTAAAAACCAAATTAGACTGTAAATTTAATGACCAACCATCTTTTTATCAATACTATTCAACCATTTAAATTTAGAAAGTAATATATTGATGATTTGATAACTAATTAAAGGGAAAATAATAATAATTACTGATTAAGAAATATTTTAAATGTGTAATCTATATATTTAGAGGAAAATAATATGATCAAAGGTTGATTCTTCTTCTTTTTTTTTTGACTTTATGTAATTTGTTTTACGTATGGATTGATTGCTGTTTTTATGGCTTTAATGTGTGATACGACTCTCTGAAATGATATCCGAGCAACACGCGAAACTAAAGTCCATTTTACATGTTATTTGAACTAAAGTGTGGTTGATAACAAAATCTTTAGGGATTTGAATATTCATTCTCTTGTAAAGATAAGAAATCCGAATATTCATCTAAATTTAAATTTTATGTAATGACCATTCACATATTTCTTTAATTTCGAATAATGACAAAGATTGTTTTGACGAAAAAAAATATTACAAGTAAAGGCTGTTGCAAATTTACGAAGGAAGCGTGTTGATTTGGAGTTACGGTAACAGTGAGAGATTGGATAGAATGTAGTGTGGGTCCCATTACGAGTCGAATCAGATGGTTTGATGACCGTTGGATTCACGTTAGTCTCATTCTTGACCGTCAGATTAAGAAACGATGTATCTGATAACTCTGTCACAATGGCAGAGTACCGAAAGACACTGCGACTCTTTACTGTCTCTATTTTCAATAGATTTGTTCGGCTTTTTATAATGCATATTTTTGGTCGAGCATTCACCAACGTGTGATGTTTTTATTTTTGATTTACTTGCAAGTGATGTGTAAATTAGATGAAATCAACCCATGAGTTTGGATCCTTTTGTGTGGCCACTAATCATTAACTCTATTTCCACAAAGCCGTTTGTTTTGAAAGTTTATTCGAGAAATATCAAGGACACACGTTTTCAAATTTAGTTAATTATTCACTAAACAAGTTGAAATCGACCCGACCAAGCAAAATAAATTCGTTACACCAAAACACGCCACCAAAAACCGATGAAGTCTGGTAAGAGAACACTCGTAATTAATTTTTTTCTCTAATGGAAGAAGAGCCTTGCATGCGTGTCAATTTTGCCCACTACACACGCATTCATTTACTATACTCGTCTATATTGGGCTTAAAGCCCATTAAAAGTCTTACCAGGCCGAATGAGACAAATTGAACCGAAATAAGTTGACCAAATCCAGACAAAATCAAATTTGTACCAAACCGATCTATATAGAATTTGGTAACATCATTTTTAAGAACCGAGCCCACCCATATTTGATCTAGTCTAACAAATCCATCGTTACAACTTTTTAAATAAAAAGTCCAAACATAATAAATCCGAGTTCAACATCCTAATCATACATATCATCACGAAACATAATAAATAAGGCAAACAGAGATGGATCCTCAGATCTGCATAGCATCTTGTTCGTCTTCTGCAGCAGCTTCATCGTTTTTGATAGGTTCACTGAACATATACTGACTCTGATACTCCACAAGATACTGCATCGATCTCCTCACATCCAAGAACAGTCGGTAAACTCTCTCAATATCCTCCACCTCCACGACTTTCCCTTTACGTTTCTGGCATGACAATGCAGCCGCGGTTATAAGATGAATCGCATACCTTAGAGATGTATCACGTCCGATCAATGTCAAAAGCTGTTTCGCCTCTTCGTTCATCTCAACGTCTTCTTCTTGGCAACGGATTTCTAAGATCTTCCTTATGTCATCGTCTGTGTAAGGTTGGGTAGTGATGATGAGAAGACGGTCAAGGAGATCGATCGGGATCCCGTGGGGTGATTTCTGGTTTGTGCCACGGATTGTCGTCACTCCTCGGTTTGTTGCCACCACGAGGATTGGTGACATTTCGTTTTCGAGAGCTCGGTTAAGGAATGAGAAGCATTCAATGTCGAGCATGTGGACTTCATCAATGAAGAGAACTCCGGGAACTATCTCTGCTTTTCCTTCTTCTCTCCATTCAGCTACTTTTGTATCAATTTGTTCCCGGACTTCTGATCGGATTTCTCCAGTATCGCCAGTGAAAAGGGCGAGAAACCCTTGTGTCCTGCAACAAACAAAGAAGAAATAAAGACAGTTACTCTCTATCAACAGATATTTCAAATTCCAATTTTGAAACCTAAATTGTTCTAACAGTACCAGCAACAGCACCAACAGAAGGTCATAGTTATAGTTATAGAGAGTGTTCACTACACACTGTGCAAAGATGTCTAACTGAACATAGAGCTAAAGAGTTTCAAAAACATATAAAGCAATGAAGTAACCTCAATTGACACATCGTATCTGAAATTACTGAACCAAATCAACTAAATTCCAAATCACCTAAGCAATAAAAAACTTCAATTCTGCAATCTACATTGATCATGTATTCAGGGAATGCTAAAAGTACCTGCTGTTGATAACATCAATCTCGTGAAGTGTCACACAATGCACAACCTCTTTCCTCTTCTGCAACTCACCTTCAGGGCACTGCACAAACTTAGTCTGCGCACCCATAGCATCATAATCTCGAGACCTCGAAAACGATCTTCCAAGCTTAGTAATCTTCCCAGTAGCCTTATCAATGGCAATAACATCACCACTCTGAACTTTCTCCTTGTTCAAAGCCTCAATCATCTTAGCTCCCATATCATACACAGTTTCCATATCCGTCGTCTTCATAGTCATCTTCCCAGACTTCGAAGCAACACCAGAAGAAGCAGGCCTATCAATCTGAACCTCCACAACTTCTCCTTCAATAACCTCAGTCTCTTCTTTGATCCTAACACCAATCGCTTTACGAAAAGACTGAGTCAAAGCTTCTGTCTTTGACATCTCTAATGAGAAAATCTCACTTCCTGCAATCATCGCAAAAGGAGTTTCCAATCCAAGCGATTTCGCCATACCCATCGCAATTGCGGTCTTACCTGTTCCGGGTTGACCCGCAAGTAGTATAGCCCGCCCCGCGATTTTCCCTTCTCTAATCATCTGAAGGATTACGCCGGCGGCTTTACGCGCCTTCACTTGACCGACCATTCCTTCGGAAACAGCTCGCGGCTCGAGAGCTGAGTCGAGACCTAGCCCTCGGATGTGCGAGTGTGCGCCGATTCGCTCGACTCTGGTTAAGTCCCGACTCTCTGATAACTTCAGTTCCGCCATATTCGATAATCGTCTTCGTGCGATTGAGGCGGAGGAAGAAGAAAAAAAGTGGAGGTTTTTAGGGTTTAGAGAAAAAGCTACACAATGGCAATGGCGAAGTATTAAATCCTCTTAATAAGGGCAAAAAGGTAATTTTACTAATCTTAGAAATAAGAATTTACAAATTTAGGGATACACCCTTGAATTATTAAAGAAATGGTAATTAACATCTTACATAAAGGTCTGTATTAATTAGAACCCTAATTTAGAATTTTCTAGTTAGGAATTTTCAGGGGTTGGATCCATCCTGGATATTAGAACTCTCTTTGGCCAGTTTCTTTGCCTCTCTTCTCTTCTTGACTTTTCTCGTCTTATCATTGTCATCGATTTTCCCTACCAAACAAAAGAGTCAGACGCGTAATGTTTGAGTAAATTGCACAAGACCAACAATGAGACAACTTGATGAGCTAGTAGAATTTGATTGAAGTCAAACCCTTTATCTGAATTTCGTACAGATGATTATGAAATCTAGTTAGATAAGTACGAATTTTTCCCAAAAGATTTGAAACTAATGATATCGTTAAAAAGTCAAAAGCTGTGTGTACCTTGTTCCGAGCAGATGTCGCTAATGCTCCCACTAGTTTCTTCTTCGTCTCCATCAGAATCTTCTTCTTCAAAGTTGCTCCCACCAGCATCTCCGACTCTTATTCCATCATGGGTCTGAAGCATTTCAGTCGGAAGTAAAGGTCCGATGACTTTCTTCCGTCGAGCTGCTTCCTCTTTGAGCATCTTCTTCCTTAACCTCTTCCTCTTCGCTCGACTCGGTTTCTCTGCAATCCCCGATTCGTCTCCGATTTCGTTGACGTCCCCGTGATTCGATGAATCGATTTTCAAGTAATCTTCTGAAGAAAACCAAAATTTGAATGTGACTTCCAAGTGTGAATAAGTTCAACGCAAAATTCAGGTTTTAGTTACATTAATCGTACCTGGGTTTATGAGTGTCACATCGAATGGTTCGTCATCAACAACCTCCACCTGAAACATTTTATCGATTCAAAACCAAATCTAGAATAAACAGATTGATGCAAATAGAGAATGAGAAATTACCGGAGACGGTGGCGATGAAGGAGGAGGAGGATACAGTGTTTGAAGAAGAGCTTCGTGAAACTCTCGACGCTTTTCTTCTCGCCGGCGCATCGTCGTAGATCACTTAACACTCGGCAGCGAAATCTCCGTTCGATTCCTATGATGTGCAACTTTTCTTGTGTTTAGCTTTTCTTTTGCGTCCCTAAACTTTAGTGATAATTGATTTATCACCCCGTAACTTCTGAATAATCTCGATGGACTAATCATTTTTTTTTTGGATAAACACATTTCATTCCATGATCTCATATGCCTGGCGAGTCGCGATTGATAATATTTCAGTCTTAGTTGAAATGTAACTAAACAGTCCAAACTGACACAAATGTTGTGTTTGATTTATTCACAGAGTAACTAGAGTTTAAAGTTATATTTTCTCTCTAACAATCTTACAATTTAATAAAAAATGTTTTTTTCAATTCATCTGTCAGTTTTAGATTTGACAGTCGAACGTTGAGGAAATTTAAACGTTAGAAACAATCAAGTTTTCTTACCGTTATGGACTGATGAGTATGAATTATTTAATTAAAAATTGTGGATGATTATGACCTCTATAAATATACTTTTCTCATCTTCGTCCAAAATTCAAAATTCTTTCATTTCTGTTCTCCTTTTATCAAATTTATACACTCTTTTTTCGTTTCCATTCTTCAAACTTCACTTTCCAGCTCAAAACATTGTTTAGTTTCCTCACTTGCTCAAAAACCAACAGAGAGTCTCATCATCGTAAAAGGTAAGACTCTGGTCTGATCATTTTATTTTATCTTTTCAACTAGTTTTTGACTTATTCATCATTTTGGAAATAATTTGAATGACCCAATTTTAGATCTAGCTCATGTATGTAAGTGTTAGAAAAGAAGTTCATATGATGAGGGCATAAAAATGTTGTTGTTGTCTTCATAAGTGTTGTATACATGTGTTGGAAAATAGTAGAAAAGTACGTAAAAATTGGTTTCAATACATCTATAACAACAACCTCTGTTTTTTTTTGTTTGGTTTATTTGTAGATATTGGAGAAAAGATGATCGATAAGAGATCCATTTTGCAGCTGAGGGCATTGAAACAACATGAACATTATGGTAGGTACGTGTCTTACAGTCCAGATCCACCTTTCGCTTAATTCGTGCAAGAGACTAAAATTATAGATGGTACCTTTGTGGAATGATGTATGTAATAGATGTATGTATAAGGTTGTTATTATGTGTGTGTTAGATTAGATGTATGCATAGGGTTAGATAATCTGAGAATGAATAATGTATGTAATAGATGAATGTTTAGGTTTATTAGTATGTGTGTGTGTGTTAGATGTGTGTATATATATATATATGGTGAGAGAATGGATGATGTGTAATAGTAGATGTGTATGTGTAGGATATTTTTATTATGTGTGTGTGGTGAGAGAATTAATGATGTATGTTTAGGGTTATTATTATGTCTGTTAGATGTGTATGTATAGGGTGAGAGAATGAATGTAATAGATGTATGTGTAGGGTTATTATGTGTATGTGTGTATTATGTGTTAGATGTATGTATAGGATGAAAACGTAGCGTCAAGCGACAAATGCTAAAAATAGCTAACCTCAATGCTGCAAAAAGTGATGCATAACACAAAAACAATACAAACATTCTTTTGCAACATGTTACTCGAAACACTTAGGCAAAAAATCGTCTAAAGAAAAAACTTAGGCAAAACTCATGAAGCACTTAATCAAAACAACAAAACACTTAGGGGGTGTATTAAATAGAGGATTTGAAATGATTTGTATTAAAATTTTAAATCCTACAATATTAAATATTTTTCTAAAATCAAGTGTTATTGGATTAGTGATTTTAGTGATTATTGAAGTGACTTGAATGACTTTGGGTGGGATTTCAGAGAATATCTTAGTTAAAGTTAAAATTTCAGAGAATATCTCCAAAATTCACCAAAATCATCTCAAAACTCATTAAAAATCATTCTAAATTCTTTCTTCAACACACCCCCTTAGGCAAAATTCACACTATAGTCGAAACAGTTAGGCAAAAAACTCACACCTTTGTCGAAGACATAGGCAAAACTCGCAAAACTCACTAACTTAGTCGAAACACTCGAGCCGAAACATTTAGGTAAAACTCACACCTTACTCGAAGCACTTAGGCAAATCACACGTTAGTCGAAGCACTTAGTCAAAACAGGCCAAAACTGTTCGAGAAACACTTGGATCAAAACACTTAGTCATGCGCAAACACATAAGAACTCTTCGAAACACTTTACATTACACCAATATTACGCCAAGGAAAATAGAAAGACATACAAATGCTATAACAACAACAAAAAGAAACACCGAACGACAGGCCCGACCCACCTATAAAGCGCTTTAGGCCACAAAATATAACAAAGATTTTAGACCCATATTATTAAGAAACTGGTTAGTCTAGTGGTTATGTAGTCTCTAAAGTAGTGTCATGTCCCAAGTTCGAATCTTTCAGAGTGCCTGCCCAACGAAAACATACAAAATCAACTTTAAATCAACTTAGAATGATTTATAATGATTTAAAATCAACTCAATATTCAAAATCAACTTAGAATGGATATAAACAAGAAAACAAACAATAGTGATTAATTATGTCGAAACACTAAAAACATTCTAAAGTAACAAAAGAATCACAAAATATAATAAGGGAAGGAATACAATGTCAGCAAGGAAAGCGAAATCTCCGATCCGACATATTTCAGTTTTTTTTCCTTTGCGTCTTTAAACTTTAGTGGTGTTTTTTTTATAAGTACACGCAAGACAAATGTAATTAATACGTTGACGTTGGGTGATGTAAACTTGAAGGACTACTCTAGTCTATCGCCTAGAAGAAGAAAAAAAAAAGGCCTAAATAATAATCTCTTTTTGTTTGACCTTTTTTTTTGGATAAAACATATTTCATCTGTCTCGCATTTAGTGTTCGTTGAAATGTAACTAAAATGTCGTAATTCACAATTAGAGTCCGAATGATAACAGCGTATTTGATTGTGCAGGAAAAGCGGTTTTATAGTGCGGTACGGTTCAACTGCGGTACATACGAGAGAATTGTATTTGCGGGACAAGTGCGGTTTTTATAAAATAAGCGGTACAAACTAATATTGATTGGTGAAAAATACTATTTGCGGTACACAATAAAATATGTGAATGATAAAAAAAAAATATGTGTTATATGTTCATAAAAAAAATTATAATATTATAAACATAGAATGTATATATTATATCTATTATAATATTATTTGTATGAATTAATTAGTAATTTGTTTTTGTAAATGTTATTAAAATAAATTTTAAAAATAACTAAGTTGATTTTGTAATATATGTACAAACTACAAAGTATATTTATCTATATACAAATGAAATACCTAACTTATTACTATAATAAAATTTTGAATTAAGAAATTATAGATTAACAAATATGAATCATGACCCGCTTTGTATTATTAAGAACAAAAGCACTCCAAAATATAGATTAAAAACATATATCGAAAGAATAAGATGAGATTCTACAAAAAAATGTGATTATAATTTATTAGCTATAAGCATATCTTTGCATTAAAAAAAAATTATAAGCATATTTTAATTAAACTATTAATATATGAGGAAAATTTTTTTCTACTTTTTGTTTATGTGATTTTTGAAAAGATAGGTGTAATATATATATAGCAAATTTAGTAAACTAAAAAATTAAATGAAAAAAAAAAAACAAAAGTTTTTACCCATTGGTCGCGGATTTCTACCAAAACCGCTGGATAAAACATGATAGGTATGTAGAATTGTGGTTCTGTGTAATATCCAGCCTCAAAATCCGCGATTTGTTGCTTTTTCATTTTTTTAAAAAACGTAAATTGTTAAACATTTTTGTTGATTGGCTGACAAAAAGCGTTTTGACTATTTGCATCTCAATTCCGCTTTTTTCAAGTTACCAATCAAGGCCTTACTTGAGGATGAAACTATTCTTTTACTCTGTCAACAATCTATGTGTACTCCATACTGAAATTTATATACAAGCAAGAAAGTCTATAAGCACACTTGAACAATGCACACAAAAATCAATTTCTTAACTGTTTAAGCATTTTGTATCTAACCAGAAATGGAAAAAAGAAAACGAAAATTTAATCTGGTTTTCATTTTCTTTCTTTTATTGTTGATGAGTAGTGAAAACTCTACCGATTTTTCTTTTTTTGGTATAATCAAATAACAAATCCTCTGCTTCAAACTCATCACAAACCTTCTCTTCATCGATCCTTCCCATAACCATACAACTGTAATTTCTCCGGAGATCCATTTGTCGTCTCATCGCCGCCGTTTCCACCGTGATTTCTCCGCTGCCGGCGCCACGTGAGCAGCTTGTGACAAACCGGCAACGTTCACGTGTTGTCGTGGCGGAATTCAGGGTGAAGCTACGAGGGAGAAGAGTGCTCGGTGCTTCGCAGATTTGGAAATTACCGGCCGGTAAGCCAAAACCGCTGGAGCCACCACCACCGCGGATGAAACCGGCGGAACATGACGTCATGCTACGTATGTAAGCGTCACGTGCCATGATCAAGAAACGAACCGGAGATTTCACCAACCTTGCTAAGTTGCTCTCTTTCTTCATTTCTTTAGCTTTCATGATTTTAAGTGAAATATAAGAAAATCTAAGATTGTAATGAAAAAAAAAAAAGTTTATATAAAAGATTACAGAGAGAGTGAGAGAGAAAGGAGATGCGAGAAGAGGAAGATGCCGTGAATGATAGACTTCGTTATAAATGCATATTTCATTTCAGAAATAATAATAATTAGGGATGTATCTAGTTGGATGTTTACGGTTTGGTGATACTTATCTTATTAAGAATTTACAAAATTATAGTTTTAATTTAATTTACTTTGTTTAAGTCAAAATAATAAGGTTGAAATTGCAATCTTATAGGCCGGCAGCTTTATTTATTGATTTTATTAAAATTTTGAAGTATTTATTAAAAAATTGTTTTAAAAATCTGCTTAAACAACAATAGCCAAGGACTCGTCCATATGTCCTTTAAACACGTTATCAAAGAGTACAACCAAAAAACTATCAAAGTCGATATTATTGTTATTATTAGATGGATTGAGATATGACACCAAATTTCTTCAATTAAAAATACGTAAATAATGATAACTACGATTGGAAGTGAAAGATTCATTGGAAAGAAAAAAAAAAAAAAAAAAGAGTTTTAGATGTATACAAGTGGTATTCCTAGACAGTTGACTTGATTTTATCGTAACGATACCAGTTTCATTGTCAAAATTTAAAACCAAATTGTCAAATAAGAAAGACTGTCAAAAAAAAAAAAAAGATTTGCTTCAACTTGATTGGTTTCTATACAGATGTTTCAAAATGGATTCAATATGTTGGCAACTTGAAATGAGAGCAATAAATTTCTCGCTGACATATCTATCTACATGCCGAATTGGATACTCTCTTGTGGTCAATGTCTCAATGAAGTGTTTATTAGCAATCCAGTTGACTAGTATTTTCTTTTTGACAGATTGTTCGAATCTTTTAGCGATGACTTCTAATTCCGACGAGTGGCCTATTTTTTATATAGAATTGAGGAATTTTGTGTATTACAGGAAATTGTTCTCTATTTTTGATATTAAGTATATCCTTCGTAGTAATAAATAATACCTCCGCTGATCATCTTGTGAAATGTGAAAGAGTTTGCGGATTCTGTTTTTTCCATATAAATTCAACGGTTCCCGACTAGCTCTTTATAACTTGCCCCACCTATAATAAAGTTTCAAATTGACTTTTGAAACTTGTTCGTATAATTTTTGGGACGATATTAAATTTTTGATTTTGCATCTTTAACAACAACAACAACAAAATTCACAATTCCCAATTTTGCATCTTTATCTTTTTGCATGACTTGGGTTGGGCTTTTAAAATCCTAACATGTACGAAGGCAGTGTACCAACATTTTGAGGTACCATTTCGAAGCCTTACGGCCCAATAGAAACACATTATTATAGTACTTTTCAGATAATCATAGGTACATTACTAAAACTAAAAAGCAGCGAAATGTCATGTTAAATAATCTACGAGTTTAGGGACTCACGTGACCGTCTAGCTAGCTACAATGCTTCTTTTTTTTTTTGCAAAACTAGCTACAATGCTAGAAACAAAATAATGCAGTGTAATTAGTTAAATACGACAAATATCAATAACTTATTTCTAAGTTTAATAATCAAATCAAGTAATTTACCAAATTGCAATACACCACTACACCAGTAATAGGTGTCCTGATATTTGTTATACATTAGTCATCAAACATTATTTATAACAACCCTAACCAGCCTGTACTCATGGTCATAGCACTCTATCACATACAAACAGCCCTTAATTAGTAATTGTATTATCGTCTAATTTTTTTTTGAAGTAGTATATCACAATCAATCTCAAATCCACATGGTTTTAGTCGTTATTACTAACACGTCACATCAAATTAAAACTCTTGCCGGTCCGCTTTAAGTTTACTAGTTTGACCGGGAAACTCAAAACATCACCAAAATTGAAACACATCATTCATTGCCTATCTAGATGTTGATAACATACATTATTGAATTTGAATCTTTTAAGTTGTTGTTGATAATAATAGTATTCGACAAATTAATAAAACAAATACGTTTAAAGATGAACCGATCAAACAATATAGTAATTTTATTGGAGATTTTAAACGAGTAGGTTCAATCATACTTTTATTAATATAATGTTTACAATAATATAACACACAATTAAGATTGAATCCGTTATATCTTTGCAAAATGTTCTTTCATATTTGAAAACTTGTTAGGAATATCAAAATTCTGCATTTCTGGCATCGTACTCAGTTCCAACAAATACAACACATGGTCTCAGATCTCTCTGCTGACACTCCCATCAATTTTCGCTTATTATTAAAAATTATCTTCGTTTAGTTAAATTTGGATTAAACCATTCAAACAGCATTTATTAAACTTAAATCACGATGGATTAGGAACTAAATAGAGACGTGGAAGGATATAGGTGGTGACAGAGCAGTCAAAGACAACCGAGACACGATCGAGGCGTACAGTCAAAGCAACAACACACTGTCATGGTCAAATGTCTAGCTGGACCTTTTGCATGTCGTGGCCCCATATTCCTTTTATTTACACTTTTCTCTTTTTCTTTTTGGTGCCAATTTAGGAAATAAACTTACTATAAAATTAAAAATATATAGTATGTTCTTACAGAAAAAAGTGGGAGTAATTTACGGATTTGTTAAGCAACACATATATTTTCCATTTGAATGTTATCAAAGGAGAAACAGTAATGTAATGGTTATATTTTTCATATTGATTAGTGCAATTGTTCTTTCTAGAATATATATAGACTCCAAAAGAAAAGTATTTATAAAAATGCAAGGCGATTTTCAGATTTTTGTTTAAGAAAACAGAGAGTTGTTTAATAGTAGGAGAAATGATAAATGATTCAAATGAAAGGTTAATGAAGTAATTAGGCCTTGAAAGATAGTCGCACGTGCCCTAACCTGTCCTCCTGGGTTTTTGTAGTTTAGTGGTAAGTGTGAGACTGCTAGCAGCTTTTTTGACTTACGTGCGGGATTTTCTTTGCTCATCATCAATAATGACCATTATACCCCTCCTTCTTTTTTCTTTTTTTTTTCCCTTAATTGAGGTACACACTTTACTGTTTTTGATAACACTTTAATTTCATTAACAATAAGAAAAGTTGAATGGAAACAAAACAATCAATATGAAGATTTTGTTTTTTTGGGTAAAATGTGAAGTTTTATACCGTATTTAGTATGAATATTATTATTGGTCTGAAACTGTAAATCACTTCAATTTTAGCTAAAGATGGTCACAACTTATGGGTAAGGCGAAGGGCAAAATGGGTATTTACCCTCAGCGTTTGAGCTTGCACGTGTAGCGTATGGGTCGAGATGACTCGATAACCGGCTATAGCCTGTGAAATCTCGGTCAACATAAATCTGTGTTTTCTGTTTTCTTTTCTTTTCTTATCTTTTTTAGGTTTTGTCTCCTTTTAATTTTTATTTTTTTCCGAGCAAAAAGAGTGAAAAAGAAAAAATCTTAGGTCCAAACTCCAAACCAAAAGAAACGTTTCCTTTTTTATTTGTCTCTTTGCTTTAATAATTTTCCTCCTCACCGAAACACACCACAACCATTCTTCTTCCATCTTCTTCGTCTTCACAAATTCGTGAATTTCATCATCTGAGTTCTCTCAAATTCACTTCCTTTTTTCTGTTCCTAGATTTCAAGGTTTACTCTATGTTCTTTACCTTAATCTTCTGAGACTCTGGGAACAATCCAGATTTTTGGTTAGCAGGTGGGAGAGCATTAATCATGTATTTATGATACACTGCTCTATTATTATTACGAGAGTTTAATGTTTCCTTTTTGACCGTTTTTAAAAGCTAAGGAAGAAGAAAGACTTTGTCTTTAAAACCTTTTTCTGGGTAAATTTGTCCAAAATGCCAATGTTTCAGCCTTTTAAGAACGGTGGCTTTGATGGGCATATCTTAGATCTACACACGGCGGTTATAGACGGTGTGCTCGGCGGTTGCGGCGGCGGAGATGGGAAATTTGTGGTAGTTGTTACCGATGAGAAGAAGAAATTGGATTTGATGAAGATGATTTCTGAGCTGGAATTACCTGAAATACCCTCTGTTTTCATCTGTCCAATCTCTCTCGAGCCGATGCAAGATCCAGTGACCTTGTGTACTGGTCAAACCTACGAGAGGTCTAACATTCTCAAATGGTTCAATTTAGGGCATTGTACATGCCCAACGACGATGCAAGAGCTTTGGGATGATTTGGTCACTCCTAACAAGACTCTTCACCAATTGATCTACACTTGGTTTTCACAAAAGTATGTTTTGATGAAGAAACGATCTGAAGATGTGCAAGGAAGAGCTATTGAGATATTGGGTACATTGAGAAAGGCTAAAGGGAAAGCAAAGGTTCATGCTTTAAGCGAGCTTAAGCAAGTTGTGATGGCTCACACTATTGCTAAGAAGACTGTTGTTGATGAAGGTGGAGTCTTTGTGATCTCTTCTCTTTTAAGTCCTTTTACTTCTCATGCTGTTGGATCTGAGGCTATCGCGATTCTTGTTAATCTTGAGCTTGATTCTGATTCCAAAGCTGGATTGATGCAACCAGCTAGAGTTTCGTTGATGGTTGATATGTTGAATGATGGTTCGATTGAAACTAAAATCAATTGTGCTAGATTGATAGGTAGGTTGGTGGAGGAGAAAGGTTTTAGAGCTGAGCTTGTTTCTAGTCATAGTTTGCTTGTTGGATTAATGAGATTGGTTAAAGATAGGAGACGAAGAAACGGAGTTTCCCCTGCGTTAACGTTGCTCAAATCGGTTTCGGTTCATAAGCAAGTTAGAAACTTGTTGGTTAGGATTGGAGCAGTTCCTCAATTGATTGATGTTTTGCCATGTTTAGATCCAGAGTGTTTGGAATCAGCTCTTTTCGTGTTGGATTCGTTGTGTTTAGAAAGCGAAGGGAGAATCGCTTTGAAAGATTCGGTAAACACGATTCCGCATACCGTTAGGTTACTGATGAAGGTATCTGAGAAATGCACAAACTATGCGATATCGATACTTTGGTCAGTTTGCAAATTAGCTTCTGAAGAATGTTCATCTCTTGCTGTTGAAGTTGGTTTGGCTGCAAAGCTTCTGCTTGTGATCCAAAGTGGATGTGATCCAGCTTTGAAGCAACGTTCCGCTGAGCTATTGAAGTTATGTAGTCTACATTATTCAGACTCAATGTTTATCTCCAAATGTAAACTCACAAGAACAATCCAATAAAAGACTAATCAAGTTTTTCGCCTTTCGGGTCAAAATCACGACACGGGTCAAAATCGCGACACACACACAAGATGGATCTGCCCCATCTTGTTGATGTATATAGAGATGAAGAAATTCGGATTCCAAGCTATCGGTCTGATGGTGCCTTCGAAGGAGAAGCACATGGAGAATGAGACAAAGAAACGAGTTTGGTTGTTGAATTCTACATTGCAATGTGATTGGATTAATAGCTAAGTAGAAGCAAACTGTATAAATCTTTTTGTTATGTTTGGTTCAATATTCGGTAAAAGAATAGATTGAAGAAAGGAATCATTTTTTTTGGCCTCTTGTAACTTACTAGCTGTTTGTGAGTCATAATAAATAATTCGAGAAATTATTGATCTATGAATCCTTTTATTTGGTAAATGAATTTGAGACTCTTAATGGATCTTTGACAAGACATATTGAGGAAAGACCAAATCTTGATAGAACAGTAGGATTAGAAAACTGAGATGGGTAGGTCTCAGATTTTGTGGAGGGGAACAAAAGTCTTATTTATGAACATGCATTGGTCTGATTTTTATAATTCACTGTGTAAATGAATGAACAAGTGAAAAGAAAGGGATGATGATTTGACTTGTGAATCGTTTCAACAGTTCACTGTTTGTTTATCTCTGTTTTTTATTTAATTGGCTATGAGACTCTGAACATATCTCTGTGAAGTGTGAACAATTGTATCAATGAGTGTGATGTCTGTCACTCACTGATGTGAGAGCTCTTGTCTGGAAATAAAATCTAAAACACAGTTACCAAATCTGGAAAACAACTGTCTTAAGTTAGATAGAACCCAAAAAAAAAAAAACATTGCTTTCCCTAAGATGAGCAAATGAGATATCTTAAGATGGGCCTTAATTGAACTATATGGCTATTATCTAGGCCCAGTAATATTTGACGGTCAATTTAAAAAACGTCGTCGTTGGCTCCAAATTGGAATTACGCCAAAACGACGAAATTCGTTTTATAAGATAAAGATTAAAAGATTTAAACATAGATATTATTTAGATTGAATTTAGACGGAGCTCTCAAGTTTGCTTTTGCTTCAGCTGTAACAAAAAGATCACGATCGCAACTTGTGTGTGTGTGAGAGAGAGATTCAGATATGGCTTGGTTAGCTAGATCCATTGCGAACTCACTCAAGCTCGATGAGGAAGATGAAGATGATGATCAAAAGCATGCGAATCAACCGCCGTCGGAATCTGTATCGGATTCACAGTCTCCACGAGGCGTTAAGGAAGACATTAGCGAACTTACCAAGACCTTGAGAAGCCAATTTTGGGGCGTAGCTTCGTTCCTCTCGCAACCTTCTTCATCTCCGGATCTTCAGGAGAGAAATCAGACTCCCGATCATGCGGAGGAAGACGAGGATCTGATTGCTGGGATTAGGAACGACTTCGCGGAGATTGGTGGGAGATTCAGGACTGGGATTTCGAAGCTATCTGGGAACTTACCAGTGTCTGAGTTCACAAAGATCGCTTCGAATTTCTTACAATTGAATTCAGAAGATGTGGATTACGACGTAATCGGAGTTACAGAGGAATTAGTTGTGTTTGTGAAGGATCTTGCGATGCATCCTGAGACTTGGTTGGATTTTCCTTTACCTGGTGACGACGACGATAGCTTTGATGGTAAGTTTTCGTTTCAGATCTTCCTTTGTTTCTGTGAAGATCAATTTGGTTTCTCAGTCTGAGAAAATCAACTTATAATAATAGTGAAGTTGAAGTTTGATTTTGTTTCCCACTCAATTTTCAGACTTTGAAATGGCTGATGCTCAGTACGAGCATGCTTTGGCTGTGGAAAGGCTAGCACCGAGCTTGGCTTCTTTGAGGATTGAGCTTTGCCCTGAATATATGACTGAGAATTGCTTCTGGAGGATTTACTTTGTTCTTGTGCATTCTAAACTCAGTAAAGATGATGCCTTGCTTCTCTCCACTCCTCATGTAAGTTTGGATTCTCAACTCCATTGCTCACTAATGTCTACCTATTTCGTTGTTTTCGAGTTTATGCCTTTCACATTGTGTATAATTGTAATCCTACGCCTGATGCTAATCATACTCTTCTAGAAAGTTTAATGGTAATCGAATTTGTGTCGAAACGGTGATCCTCATTAGCATTTATTGTTCCTGTCACTTAACTTTTTTTTTGTCTTTGCATATGAAGGTACTCGAGGCAAGAGCAATGTTATCTCAAGAACTGCAGAAAAGAAACAAGTTACCTGTAGAAGAAGGGAATGCTGTCATTGTGGAACCTCTTACTGTGCCTCCTTATGAACCTTCACCGGAATCAGGAACTGTCAAAACCGTAAATCCAGTCGAGTCGTCTGACGTTGAAACAGACAAGCACCCAATTGAGAGCAAAGAGATACAAATTGTTGACAAATCTGTCATTGAAGAAAGAAGCACCTCAACTGCTTCTTCATCTAGATTTATCAATGTGCAAGTGGATGACGAAGAAGAAGACGATGCAGATGATTGGTTGAATGATGAAGAGACTTCATCTGTTAGCGTCTTTGAGGGAAGATCAACCTCAAATCATCATCCTCTTGGTGAAGACGAAGAAGATGTATCATTCAGTGATCTAGAAGAAGACGAAAATGGCGAAGCAGACGTCAAAGTGAGTTACAAGAACATTACTAACTCTGGTTCTGATTCTTCAGACAAAAATTCACCAGATTGGGTTCAGCTAAAAGAGGTAAAAGAGAAGAAAAAATCAAACGACTGGCTTGATGTTGATGCAGTGTGAGGGACCTCCAATGTTTCTTTTGGTAATATCTTATGCTTCCGTTAAAAATTTGCTGTGAATAGTTTTGTATACCATTTCATCAAAACCAATATATCTGAAGGCCCTAGTAAAAAACTGCAATGTTTGTATATAAGTCGAAGTTTATTCGCAAAAACAAATGATCAATATTTCTAAGTAACGAGGACAAAACTGGTCTCTCTTATCTGATATCTCGAGACAGCTTAAGACAAAACGATAGTAATTGACCACAAAAATAAGATACAACATTCGTTAAAAGGCTTGTACCACGACGTTGTCTTGGTTCTTGTGCAACTGTATTTTTTAGTCTTGGTGTTTTTAGTACCTCTCGAACTTGCTTTTACCGCCGCGTCTACCACCACGACCTCTGTTAAACTTATTAACCGGTTCTCTCTTACTCTTGTACCCTCCTCGATCTGTCTTCAGAGCAACTTTGGGAGGATCTGAGAAACCGAACGAAGCCGCAACCTCCTGCACATAAACAAAGATTTTCGGTTAACGTTTTAAATCACATTGCAGAAAAAAGAGACAAATTGTATTCCTGATTTCATGAGGTCTCGTTATGTAATGTATGCTGCAGATTTGGTTACCTTGAGATCGAGTCGGTGAACATTAAAGACATCTTTCATAGAGTGAGAATCATATCCTGAAATGTAAGTCTTGTATGCTTCTTTTGCTGACTCCTTTAATGCATAGTTTTTAGATATCAAATCCTCCTGCAATAACATTTTAAATAATCTCTCAACTTTTGTTTCTTGTAGTAAAAAATTTCAGAAAGAGCAAAAATGTTTTAGTTTTACCAGAAAAGATTTCACGTCGAGCAATTTCCCTTCTTCAAATTCATGTTCCTCAACAGGAATTTTCGCCGCCTGGAAAATATACAGTCGGAAACAGATTCTTTTATCAAAATTTCTATGATTTTTGAATAATATTAGTTTATTGAATGAAAACAATTTACCTTGAGATACTGAATAAACTGTAACTCATCTGGAGTAAGGACAAGCAGAGCCTTCCCTTTTGCTCCTTCTCCACGAGCTGTTCTACCAACTCTATGAATATATTCCTAAATCAAAAGTGACATTCAAGAATTCAAGGGATCTCTTAGCTTTTATTCTTGCGCGTGTTTGCCTAAATACTTGAAATTATAAGAGCAACATACCGTTGGGTTATCTGGAGGATCATATTGCACAATCCAGTCCTATACAAGAGAAAATAATCAAAGAGATTTGATTAAGACCAACCAATTCAGATTATTAAAACAAATGGTTAAGGAAGCATACCACATGAGGAAAATCAAGACCTCGGGCAGCAACATTAGTACACAACAAAATACCAGTTTCCGCCTTTTTGAATTGGAATAATGTTGAAGTTCTTTTGCTCTGGTCTATCCCTCCACGGATTTCAAGGCAATCTAATTTGATATATCGAAAGAGTTCGGCATGGAACTTTGTCGATTTGCATGTAGAGAAAAAAACCATGATTTTCTTTTTCCCATGGAATCTCTTCAAGAAGGTAAGTAAAAATAATAACCGCATCCCACTTGGCACAACGCAATAACCTTGCTCCAAGCCTTCATTTGTAACCTGCAGTTTCAGTTTTCACATATTTTAAAAAAGCCGGTTTTGGTCATAAAAGTAAAATGCGAGAAAAGATAATAGAAATTGTGTTAATTGCTACCTTTTGTCGTCCTTCATCCACATCGATATAAACAGGTGAGGCAAGTGACACCCGAGCAAGATCCTCAACCTGATGGTTTAATCAAGTTCCACTAATTTTAATAAACTGACACTAATAAAGAATTAAGTGAAAAAACTATACTGATTGGTAAACATACCTTTGCGCTCTGTGTGGCGGAAAACAGTGACGTCTGTCTAGTCTACACCAATACAAAAAGACGGTTTACCATTATCAACAACACATTGACATGAAAAGAACTTTACACACCTCTTTGATTCAGATTAAACTACGGTATTGAATCGGTTACTTCACTATGCAAGCCGCGAGAATACCTTTGGTAGAAGTTTAATAATCTTCTTCAGGTCCTCTTCAAAGTTCTGTTCCAATATCCTATCAGCCTCATCCATTACAAAAAGCTGCAAGTAAACAGAGATTAAGAGTTGCATTAAATCAATACCATGACAATACCAGTAGCACCCAAAATTGATATCAGACTTTGTGTTTACCTTCAAGTTCTTGAATACAAAACCATTTGTATTTTCAAGGTGGTCAAGAAGCCTTCCAGGGGTAGCTACTAATAAATTAACACCTTTGGCAAGAATCTCAGCTTCTTTCTTTCTGTTCTCACCGCCAATGACTTTTCCCACAGTCTGTGAATGATACTTAAGAAGTTCTTTTGCTACTCCATAAGACTGAAACATTGATGATGTATAATAAGTATCACTCTTTGGCATGATTATATAGAAAAGTGTGAGAGAATTAGGACCTGAATAGCAAGCTCTCTTGTTGGGCAAATGACGATAACACCAGTTCCATTGCGAGGAGTAAAACGAACATGGTATAAAAGCTCTGCAGCAGGAATAAGAAAAGCTAAAGTTTTACCAGAACCAGTCCTGGCAGCTCCAAGTACATCTTTTCCCATCATCAATGGTGGAATTGCTTTAGCTTGTATCTGCCAAGTGTTGAAATTTGTAAAAGGTCGAATCTTTGCTATACAAAAAACATAAGATTCAATTCCAGAATATTACCTGAGTCATGCGTGCAAAACCCATCTCCTTGACAGATTTATAAGTGTTATCAGATAATGACAATGACTCAAACGTTTCATTAGTCATTATACTTGTTCCCTCCACTTTGTCTTCTTCTTCAGACTTCACTTCCTCGTCCTTCCTCTTCTTCTTCTTCGGCTCTTCTTCTGTTATCGCTTCGTCATCAGCATCGTCATCAGCATCTCCACGCTGCTTTAGCTTCTTCTTCTTCTTCGGTTCTTCGTCAATTAACGGTTTGTTCTCTTCGTCATCACCATCTTCATGCTCGGGTTCTTCTTCATCAATTGCTCGCTGCTTTAGTTTCTTAGCTCCGTCTCTCGCTCTTTTCTTATGCTTCTTCTTCTTAATCTCTTCGTTTTCGGATGAATGCTGCTCCAAATCCAAATTCGCCATGTTTTCTTATTCGCCGCCAAATCCAAAGCTCTTATTGACTTTAGAAATCGAAATTCGTCTGCAATTGTGCCGCTCCCGCTCAAAAATTAGGGTTTTCTTCGAATTCGAGAGTGTTCGAATGTGTTACTGTATATCGTCACATTAGGGTTTGTTTACTCTATTTTCCTTTCATTTAATTTCCCGTTATGCCCTTGCATTGACTTGTTAATTACTACTGTAAAGTAAATTGTTTATTTGTCTATGACAGCTGTCAAAACCAAACCAAAATTGGTCTACATTCTACAATATCTCAAAACTTGAATTAAGACGGTATTAATGTTTCCTGTTTCTAAAAACAAAACATAATTCCAGCTGAGCACCATTGAACATCTAAGAACAAATAAGAGTGTCAAGGTTATGATCGAATTCGAATGAATCTATCTCATTAGTTCACATCTAAAACCAATTATATGAATTTCATTTCAATCTTCAAATATTCCTAAATCAAACTATATATATACAACGATAATTACCAGAACGAGAGAGGCAAAATCCTCTAATGAAACACTTCACAACGATCTTATAGACGTTGACAATCTCTCTAACTTAGACCAAAACAATCTCCCAATCGATGACTTAGCTTTGTCTTGCTCCACACTATCACTCGTCGAACCCATCCTCGTAGGCACCATCCCAACCGCTTTAACCGCTGACACAACCGCTCCACCTAATTCTCGTACAACCGCTTCAACCGCATTCGCATTCGTCTCACCTCCATTCACATCGGTGACATAAAACGAGCCAACCGCAATCTCACCTTGCGTGCACATCTCAGCTCTCGTTATCGATAAACCGTTTTCTCTCACGACTCTAGTCACATCCGACAACAAACCCATCTTGTTCTCTGTCCGAATCTCGAGTTTCAAACCTCGTGAAGCACGTCTCGAAATCGCAGCAACCAAACAATGTCTTAGTCTTTCTCTTTGCACTTCCGTTTCTAACGTGCACCCGTTCTTCTTTCTTATGAAATATTCTTGCTCTGCCGTGGAGCCTTTAGCTCCTGCGACGGCGTGAAACACTACGAATTGTAACTCTTTCAAAGCACACACCGTGTCGAAAAGTAGTTTTGGTCTATCTCTACACTTAACATTCACCATTGAATAGCCATTACATGCTTCGATCGTCACGTGTATCCTCTCGCATCTTCCTCTCCACAAAGCATCGCACCTGTCACATGTATCGAAACGAAGCTAAACACATTATTATTTTGCCATTGATGATTATAACTTCGTATAAATTCCAACGCACCTGTCTCCGAAACAATCGCAGTCGAAGCAATTCTCGTAATCTCCTTCGCCGTACATTAGCTCATGAAGTCGTCGCTCAGTGTGAGCCCACCCGACGGGAGCTCCTTTAGCCTCGACAACCCTCACGACAACATGAGACACATCGCCAACTCTGTGATGGGCCTCCATGACTGTATCAAGATGATCCTTTACTTGGGCCTTTCTTATTGGGTCGATTATAGGCCCACCGTTAAACCCGTCTTCTAGATAAATCACCATCGCCGCTCGCTCGTGGTGGGTCCATGCCACTGCAGCTGTCACGTGACATCCAATGTCGGAAAGTACGGCAGATATTTCGGACAGCAGACCCGGTCTGTTGATTCCGGTTATCTCAAAGGCCGTGTGCTCTGTTGAAACGTGGCGCTGTTGCACCTCCCGTTTTAGATTACTCTGCATCTCCTTTGTTATACCTCCCGTTCTACTAGAACATATTGCCTGAATTAAATAAACCAAAATCATTAATACTCTCTCCGTTTTCAAATAGTTGTTATTTTAGAGTTTCTTTTTGTTTTAAATTAGTTGTCGTTTTAAGGTAATAATATAATTTATGCCAATAACTACCCAAATTATCCTCATTTTAATAAACACAAATTATTTGTAAATAATTACTTGTCATTTTTATGAGGTTTAATATAGTCATTGTATACCTTTTCTTAATTTGTCCAAATACAGTTAAAACGAGAACTTAAAAAAAAACAGAGGGAGTAATCAATTGTATCAAAACAAGTAAACTCAAGAAGATGATTTTCCGGTTACTTAGTAATTTTATGATTTTTATTCACACCTGTTGAATGTAGAGAATAAGGCTTCGGTCTGTGAGCTTATTCCCGAGTTGGTCTGTCACGTGAAACACTAACAAAGAGAAATTTCAGATGTGAAGTCATATATGTGGTCCACCATGATGACATGTGAATGATGATGATGATGACGACTTACCATCCATGAACCATTCACCATCGGATGAGATGTAACATTTGGAGATAACGAGATCAAGATCGGCCAACACTTGAACCATGTCCAGTAATATCCCGTACTTGTTCGCGCTATCTACCTACATATATCAACCACATGTTTAATTAAGGCTTATTAGTCCCTATAACTAATTAGCATGATATTATCCAGAGCTTTTATATATACCTTAATAAGTGTGCACTCTGGGTCTGAGTCGTTGTCTACACAAACCCTAATTAGCGCACAAATCCAGTAATATCAAGATTAAACATATTTGTAAAAAAAAATTCTAACATAATGAGAAAAATATTAATAAGGTACTAACCTGGGAGGATTGATTCTCTCGACGAGTGATTCGATCTCGGAATCAATCCGAGGCTGATAAGCTATTTCCATCATCTTAATTAATACGGCTGATATTAATTAAATAGCTCTCAAAATCCAACCTATGTATACACAGAAACATGTTTTTTAGTCAAAGAAAAAAGGAGCAACGCATCGAAATTTGATAGCAAATTGAATAATAACAAGAAGTAAACGAGGTTAAAAAAAAAATTAAAGAGCAACAAAACGTTTAATAATGATTATATTAAACTTGACGATAAATAAGAAGCCGCCGAAGTATTCGGTTCAGGATCAAATCCGAAACCATGTTTCTCTTATTGCTCAGGAGATATTTTTTACCAAAATTCCTACTTCAAATTTCAGGAGAACTCTGGTTGTTTATGTTAGATTTATAGAGGCTGAATATTTCTTATATTGATAGAATGTGTTTAACACATATATATACACACATGATAGAGTGATTAGGGTAGAATTAATTACATTTGTATCCTAAAACTATTAATATTTACATATATACTCTTATAAGATTAAGATTAATCTCCACTTGGAAGAATAGTTGTTCGCGTAGAATCAACTCGCAGTGGAAAAATATTACGAACAGAGCAATAAAAAAGCGTAAGACTAACCCAAGATTGTTAATTCAGGAGAGAAAACAATAAAGATTCGGTTCGGTCTTTGACTAGACGATTCCCATATATGAGAATCTGAATCCAAATCCGAATCGTCTTGAATAACCAGAGAGAGTTTTGTAATTTTCTCAAGAATTTCAAGTACGAAAAAATAATAAGAAAACGAAGAGAGATAGAGAGATATACCTGAGAGTCGAGATTCTGATTCAATAGAGACTAATGGAAGAAGAAGAAGAATCCTAAAAATGGAGAGAGATTCTCCTGAAGAAAATTTATTTTATTTTATTGCTACAAAAGAGGAGAAATAGTTCTGTTGGTGGACGAGAAAAAGAGAAGCCGAAACAGATGCGAAATCGTATCTATCATGTACTTATCATATCTACGCAGGAAATAAAAACACTTATATACACATACATGTAGGATACATTATTATTTTTGTCAAATAAATCCCATCTTTTTTTTTTGACAAATGCATCCCATCTATATTACACAAATCTTTGCAATTTGGTAAACTTTTTAAATTTCTGACACAGTTACCTTACAAGTGTTAAATGCTATGAGATTTTATGGTAAAATAAATATGATAAATCAAAATTAAGACAAATTAGTAAAGAAGGAGATATTTTCTTATAAATGGTTTTTTCAATTATTTGTGGTAATTAAAAGGAAAGGTAAAATATAGAAGAAGACTGTCGATTCTCCTTAACCTTAGGATCATGGAACCACATTACCAAAAAATCATTAGAAAAAATAAATATAAAAAAGAACATGCAAAATTTGCAAGATGATGAGGTGTATTAGCGACCAACACAAGATTTGCCACATGTAAAGATTTAAAGCCACGTGGCAATATGGGTGGACTCTAGAGAGACGCGACGGCTCGCCTCTTCCGAATCGCAAGAATCAAACTGTCTACGTGTCAGACTTTCATTTCAGGTGAATTTCTTTATTTTCGTCTATAATAATAAAAAGTTAAAAACCAATTAGTACTATTTTCAGACTCGCTCATGTCACAGTTTTCTCTTTTGCAGTCTGATTTCTTTCATGTATATCATCAACCAAATAAGTTTAAAATTCATGATTGATATTGATATTGATATTGGGTGTTTATGCAAATTGAGAATACAACTGTTTATATATATATCACGAGTTTTCCGGAATGAGGAAGATAATTAACTTATTTTATAGTATAAGGATACTACTACCAACAAGACCAGCAGCTGTTAATCCCGTTTAAATGCAAGGCACTTACTACATTTGTTACACTTTGTTGCTCTTTTGGTATGTATCACCTCCTACAAAACATTAACAATGCTTCCTTGCAAACATTTGTCCAAGCTCTTCGTTATGATCCGTAACTAAATCAACGGTGATTTACATAACTCTGCTCGTAAATAGTACAAACATCTTTAGGTTGATGAATCTGAGCTCTTTTCAGTGACTTCCTTGGCAACAACAGCTTCTTCTCCTTCGAGCTTCTCTTTCCAGTACTGATCAAGCGGAGGCCCGAAAATCGCTTTCCCTGAAACCACACCAATCCTGCAAGCAAAACAAACATATTCAGATTGCTTCACTCTAGTAACGAATGAATCAGACATTTGACAAATTTCAGGAGAATATAGCATTTGGGCTAAATCTCGGTTAAGGCAATTTACATAAATCCTGATCTGATATTGCTAAAGTAATGATCTTTTGCTACTTACTTTTCAGAAAATTGAAGTCCAATCCTCAAAAGAATCATCTCGAATTCTACCTTATTGACTACTTACAATGCTCAGATCGATTATATTAACTAAATGAAAAAAAAACTTAATTCAAGTTGGAAAATCGAGTAATCTACAATTTACTATCTCTATATAATCTCCAAAAGCCAATAAGCAAAAATATCTACCAGGTCTTCTTGAAGAAACCATAATCATAGAGCATTCAAGATTTAGATTTTGGCCTAATTAAGATTAAACGACTACTTACACAACTGCTCCGATCACCATTGGCAAAGACAGAAACCTGTTCCTCCGAAACATAACGATAGCTTGATAACGGTCGCCGCCGATCGATCTTATCTCCTGCAGCCGTCTCTTAAGCTGATCTTTCCGGTCGGGGACGTTCGCGACGAATCTTAGACATTTATAAGTAAGGGTTTCTAGAACAGAGTTGACGTGTCAACTTTTATATGGGCTTGGCCCAAATTTTAGATGTAATCATTCAGGCCCATCAAAAGCCTTTTCCTTTTATGTCAACGCCCTTACACCGGAGGAGGAGAGACCATAAATAATTGTCACCGACTTCTTTCTCACCGTCTTTTTCTTTTTCTCCGTTTAAAACTTGTGATCTGATTTTGACCCTTTCCAAAACTCTTACGGCAATAGTTTTTTTTTTTTTTTGGGCTAATTTCTCCTAATTTTGTTATTATTGAATATATTGTTAAATAAAGTATAATTCGTATGATGCTAAAAAAATATTAATCAAGCTAATTCTTTGTTTATGTTGAGTATTTGGTGGTAAACAAAATGTGTGTATGTCATTATTGAGAAGTTTGTAGTTATACTTTGAACATCCACACATAATCGCAAATTAAAGCATATATGTCTCTATATGCATTTATAGATGTAGGTGTGTCATTATTTGATAGGTGTATGCTTTTATTATCTTTAATGCGTGTGTGGTATGCTGAGAAACTGATGCTATCAAATGAGGGATTCAATCTTCACAAAACAAAGAAAGTCAGCTTCTTTCATTTAAGACTAAAAAAAAAAGTAGAATAAAATGAGATGAGATTGTTTGTTTGACAAAATAATTATAATGAGATGAGATTAATTAGCTTGTGTGTGGTCAAGAAGACACTAACTATATCTCCAATCTTTATTAACGAAGAAAAAAAAGAAGTGTAGTTCAATAATTTAATAATTTTATACGCATAAATATTCAGATCAAGTGACAAAGATACAATCAGTCTGTGAAGTAGTTTCGTTAATAATTAAGAAAGTACAAAGTGCAACAATATTAAGAAGCTAATTATATGGATATAATAAAACATCATTATATATGGATTACTAATCCAACAATATTAAGAATTGCTAATTGATCATTTAGGGATTGTGGTCTTGAGTGTAGATGTAATCAGTGTGAGCAACTAAAGTTCTTCGTATCAAGAAGCATTCTTCTTCTCCAACACCTTCACAGTTTCCCTCCCCTTGTTCCATTTTCTGCACATAAGAAAAAAAAATATGCCCACGTTACTAAATTGTTAATCTCGATTCTCGATTATAATTCCTTTTCTTTTAGGGAAATCAGATAATCTTGAGCTGAAACCAGAGTGGTCTTTCATTTTTAGGAGAATTGTATAGCTTTGTTATTTAAAGCATTTTCGATCATATTTCTTTATTCACTATATATAGAGCAAATATATGAACACATAAACACCATGAGAATGAGGTTTAAGACCTTGACGGAGATATCTTCAGGATAAACGGAGGTCGGAGTGAGCCGGGCTGATGCGTATGTTAGCGTGGAGCAGAGAAGAAGAGCGATGATGAAGAAGAAAGTTGTGAAATTAGCCATTCTTTAGTATGACTTCGTATGATACAATTCTTGCTATAACTGTGAAACAGAGATCAAATATATTTAGAGAGGTATTAATAAAGATAAAGAGGAAGATATGAGGGATTTAAGTTATGTAATTGAGGCGTATTTATAAAGAAAACATGAGATGAGATAAAAGTTCTGCAGAAACGTGAGCCATATAATCTTGAGTTTGAGTAAATGAACGTCATGAAACCATTACTATACCGAACACGCACATGTATATTATTATTTATAAAATTCTCTAATTGAGTTTTGTTTGTATATAAATAGTTAATGTCGACAAGAAAAAAAAATATCCAAAATGAGAGTGTTCTTGGTTGGTTAATCAGTCTCCTTTGGTGAAATTGATCAATATGGAGTCAACTACATTTTAACTTTTTCTACTTATATTTATATATCATGTTCATATAATAAAATTTTACCTTAATGTTGAAAAAAAAGTTGGTGACGGATGTATCCGTATACTGATTACTGAGATTCACCCAATTATTCTCACGTGAAGTTAACTGAAGAAAGTGTGAACTTTTATAACCAAAATATATACATTTTGTTTTCTCGATTCTATTGTTAAGTGAATATAATGAGGTCCATTAATTTCCTACGATAAAGTGGGATTCTAGGTGACTTTTTATGTTGTTCACTAATTTTTTTGTTTATAAATTAAATTTATGGTGAAGGAGATAGATAAAGTACTGTTTATATTTGACGTTTTCATCCATGTCTATAGTATTTCATCATATACACATGTTATAGTGTTATGAAATCATGTTCACTTTTTGAAAGATAGTTGATGTGATAATTAAGAAGGGTCCATCGCAATGAAAACAACATTCTGCAAAAAAAAGAAGTCTGGTCAATAAAAGAGGGAAAAGGGCTTCCGCAAGCAAGATTCGTTTCAAACATGGAAATTATTTAGTTCTATCCGCACACGTACGGCATACTATATATTAGCCTTATTCAACAATTTCAATTGTTTTGTTTTGTATAATAATACTATGTATCTTGTAAATCAAGATCAAGATTAATCATCAGTGGACTATATAGGCCTTCATTTAACTTGGGCCTGTCTTCTACTCTATTATATGATTTAGGTTTTGGCCCATTTCATAACAGCTTGGGGTTTATTTTGTCAATTATTTTTTTGTCTAAATTCTTGTTATTCACTGTAATGTCACGAGCCACCTGGAATTTGGGAAGTTAAAATTAGTTTGAAATCATGAAAAATGTTGATACCGGGAAAGATTTATTCTTCCAACTATGTTTTTTCTTACAAATCCGGATCCAATTGGTCGAAAGAGAGTAAACAGGTCAGTAATTGATGAAATTTTAATATTTAAATTTAAAATTTGTAAGTTTTGTGACGAATTAATTTAAAATAAGAGGCTAAGTATAAAATTTGAAAATTCGATAACTTGATAATATATAGTCAAATATACACATTTTAAAGTTGGTGTGCACATGAATGCCTATAAAGTGGAAAGTGTTTTGTCATGCTTTTATTTTGAAAATTTTGCATTTTGTGCAGCTTTGAACGCAGCTTTGCCGTTAAGAAAACTAACTTCAAGAATACTCTCTTTTTTTATTCAAGGATTTTTTTTTGGTTTAATATTCCAAAATCACGCCTTTATATATACAAGCTAGTTAATATATAAATGTTTTGTTGTTATAAAATCAAGTCATAATACCTAATAACGTAAAATCCACTATATTTAACATGTGATTTCATATACTGGTTCCAAATATAATATATTATTTTGCATGTATTTGTTATATTATAATTTTATCATTCTGTCGGACTAAAGATTAAATCATGTGATTTCTTTTCTCTGATATATACATAGAATTTCAAGAACCAGAACATATAGTCCGTCAAACTAAAAGTTTTTTGATATACTCGATCGGCTGATCCGGTAAGCCTCGGTAGAAACGCACCGGAGTGCTACAGAGTGGACTCACTACCACCCCGAAGGATGGGCTACCACACTGCCTGAACCGAGTTTAGAATGCTTTCCGACTAATGCTCGGGGTAGCTGGATCGCCTGTTACCAGACTACCAGGTAAATTGCCTGGGCCGAAGCCCAAGCCCAGACTTCCCAACAAAGTGTTGATAACAGCGAGGGAGGAAGATCGAACCCGAGTTCGAGGATTTCACCCTCAACTCCGAACTCGCCCTACCACTCGCCCACCACCTTGCGGACAATCAAACTAAAAGTTCTAAAAGCAACTTAAAGTTATCTTCAATTTACATTATAAAAAAAAGTTATAATGTTATCGAAATAGGAACAAACCACATGGCCGTCAATTTATAAAAGTGAATAAATTATTAGAGTATCGTTGAAGGCTATGAAGAGAGAAAAAAAAAAGCGAAGAAAAAGATTTAATAGTCTTATAATATCAATTTAGGAACGTTTAACAATTTAGTGAAGAAAAAAAAAATGAATCTCAGAACTAATTAGAGAGTTCATTCTTCAAAATATTTCGTATTGAAATCATATAAGATATATAGA